ATATGTAGTGAAATTAGAAAATAGTATAAAAGATTATTAGTTAGAGAATAGTAGTTTCCTTCTACTTGTTATATGGAGACGTTATGTCTCAAATTCTTTTCAACATCTAATCTTGAATGAGTTTGTTTACCGATGAAATTACAGTTTCACATTATTTTCGTTCAAAACACTGACTCCTTCAGAAAAATCAAAATAAAAAAAGAGTTTGAGTTTTTTAATATTTATTTATTATAAAATAATTAAAAATAATTAAATTTGGACCTTCCCGGGATTTCTAATGGACAATCCCGTGTGGCCAACAATCTTACAACTAAATAATAATAACAACGTCAGAGATAGACAAATAAAACAAAGATAATTAACATAAAATTTTTATTAGTTTACATTAATTTACAATACAAATTATTGATAGTATTAAGCAAATTTTCATACGCATATTTCGCCTTTTTTATAAATACGAGCGAATACTTTTGCTTCTAGCCTAGACTCATGAGGTTTTGCCTATTCAAACGGCCCATCATAATCGTTTTCCTTGTCCGATTGATTACCAGTAAGATTTGAAGTGTTCGCTTCCGACATTACTGTATAACTTTTGTGAGAATTAAAATATATAATCATAAGCTTTTCAATATTTTTTGGCTTCAATGAATTTCTCCGAACATAAAAATCCATCTGTACATTGAAAAAGATCGCTCTACGTCAACTGAGGTGAGGTTAGCAAATTTATACACTTCCTCCTCCTCGTCATTAGTGTAGGAAGAAATTTTTTGTACAATGTTTTCATATCATATTTCTGATAGTGTCCAAATCAGGATTTCTATCCATGACATTTTCCATTTTATCTTCTAAGCTCTAACAATTTGCCCATCTCAAAGCTAATCTCACTGCATCAAATATTTCAAATGATTCCATTAGAGAAAGATCGGGTTTCTGTAGTGATGTCAAAGCTGTTGGTATAATTGAAAAATTTTCGTAAATACGAGACAAATCATCAATTTAAAGCATTCTCTATTGATTTTGCCTCTTGACTGTTCAGCACAGACAATACAGATTTAATTTCATCGAAATGCTGCATCAAGCCAAGTACCCCATCTGGTAATTTCAGGTACAAGTGGTAAAGGTAAATCCGGACACATTTCTTTAAAGATTTTAATTCTTTTTGGTGCCTTCAAAAAAACTTTTTTCATATTTGAAATTAAACTGTCAACATTAGGGTTCTCTTTTCTAATCTGCCCCGCAACAAGATTTAGAGCATGGGCTAAACATGTGAAATGCAAAATTTTTGGAAAAGTCTATTTTAAAATTCTACCAGCTGATATCATGTATGCCACACTGTCTGTACATAACATTCTAACGTTATCTAGTTTGCTCTCAAATGAACTTCCCCACATATTATTTAAAGAATCTTGAACAAATTGTGATATCGTTGTTCCATTTACAGTATCTAGCATTTTACATGCCACTAAGTAAGTCTGATGGCACCTACTAGGTTGCAATGGTCTCACTAGCAAATGTACGACAGCTCTTCCTAAGAAATCCGTAGTTTCGTCTACTGAAAGCCATAGCTTTTTATCTACAATCTTACTTTGAATCTCTTGTGCTTTGATTTAAAAAAGCTGATCCAGGTAAACTTTTCTCAATAAGGATTTACTAGGTAGTTCAATATTTTTGCAATTGCAACACATGTACTTTTCAAAAAATGTTTTAAATACGTTGTTGCTCAGTTGAGACAATGGTATGTTACAAAGAATCATAAATTCGATTAAGTCGAAGTAAAATTCTAAAGGAGTGTGGCGCTCGTTCTTCGTGCCTTTATGTACTGCTCCTTCTACATGTCTTTTGACGTTACTCTGACGAGTTGCATTCAAATGTGTTTCGCATTTAGAGCAGTAAATTAATCCACTTGCATGGTCGTAAAATAGCTCCGGATTATCTTTGATCCACTTGTTGACGGTGGCTTCTTTGATTGAACTCTGCGCCATGATAATACTTTTAATCTGAAGCAAAAAAATTATAAATTTTAGAAAACCGTATGGATGTGTTTGTAAGTATGTGAGAGATAGGGCACAACAGTTGCGAAGTTTAAAAGATCTAAGCGTGCATAAATTCATACAGATAGACAGACGGCGAGGAAGCGAACTTTGTTTTATACTAAAGTTTAAAGCTAAAAAAGAAAATCAATAAAAGATTACCAGAAAATCTAACTCCAATCGTAAACCATATAGTCAATCAATTAAAAAAACGAGTCCCGTATGTTAAGCTTCTTCAGTAGCATTTGAAATCATTGTTACTTTATTGTGATTGTATCAAAGAACATCTTAAGTTAAACAATACCGATTTTGATAACAATACAAGAAAACGTTCGACATAGGGAAAATCTAAAAATATGAACAAGAAACTTACCAAGTAAATCACCAATTTCAAATATCCAATTATCCAATATAGTAAGGCCAAATCAAAGTCCGTTAATGCGTGCCGAAATAGTCGTATTAAGTAGAGTCCAGAATCCAGTAAACGAGCCAGGGTCAAACAGGATTAACTACACAAAACACAATAGGAAACAAGTGAGCGCATTCGACGAACCGAGGTAAGCGAATGAGCTGAGTGAATGAGTAAACCGATTCATTGCTAAACGATAGTTTGAATGCGGTAGAAAGAGACACAATCTAGTACATTACGTTAAGTGGGGAGTGCTCCGCATTTGCGTTATTGTATTCTTTTGTTCTCACAAGCTATGTTGTGCGAACTTCAAATGTGGCAACATCGCGCGTATTGGTATTGTACAACTTTGGACATCCGATGTCATTGATGTAAGTTTGGCAACGTCGTGCGTGCAGTAATTTAAATTGTGTAAAAGTAAATAACTTTTTATTTAAAAAATCACGGGATTTTTTCTGCTCTTTAAAATTAATCTCGGGGTTTGAGACATATCCACTTTATTCTTTCGCTTTATGAAATCAGTGTAAATACATGAATAACTCTACCTAATTCCGACCAATGGTCATCAATCTATAAAAATTGCGCGTGATGTCATATGAAAGTAATACCTCCTACTCCTACGATAGCACAAAAGGCAATATATATTTCATTCGATATTAGATTTCGATATGTAAGTATTTTTTCCGAATCTTTGGGGTCTTTCGTGCTGTGTTATATTTACTAGAATATACAATGTCAACGTCAACTTGGATGGTTTGGGTGATGAAAGTTAAACGCTTCTTAAATACTCAAACAAATTATATAATGATCAGACCATTGAAAATTCTTTTCTTGCGTTGCTAACCGACTCGCTGAGAATATATATAATAATAACTAGCTTATGCCCGCGACTTCGTCCGCGTGATGTAGTTACTTTGGGCAACATATATTTTCCAAGAACGCCGTTGTTTTTTGAGCTGATGATGAAATTACCTTGATGTTTATGTTCGAAGATAGTACAACAAAAAATCCAACAAATGTCCAATATGTTTCAGCACTTTTACTTTGAAACTTTAGATATATTAATCCAAGTCAATGCAATTTGAAATACAGATGAAAAAAAACAGTTCTGAAGTTTACAAAAAACTTAATCGAAAACGTAATCTACGCAAAATTCTTTGAAAGAAACGTTACCGCAGATTACTTTAGAAAAACGCCATCTAGAACACCACGCCATCTATTGGGTGTATTTGCAACCTAGATGTCAAACGATATTGAAGAATTTTATCTATGAATCACGGTAAATAAACACTTGCTTAAGAAACAATTAATTAGTACATTTCATTGCTGAGTTACAAAATTTCACTGACACTGAAAACCATAGACTATTACGTCATTATGATATAAGGTGGCTATCGCTTCATGCTTGTGTTAGTAGAATAATTGAGCAATGGAGGGCACTGCAGTTGTTCTTTCAAGACCAATACTTGAGTGATCGCATTCTATCATCAGAAATGATATATAATTTTTTTACCAGTGATATAAACAAATTGTACTTCTACTTTTTAGATTACATTTTGCCGATTGTTAACAAATTTAACATAATTTTTCAAGGCGACTATCCGTGCATTAAAAATTATACGATGATGCATCTAGTATGTACTTGTCGATTTTGGGTTGCTTTATGAAAACTAATTATATCAAAAGCACGGACAACGTATTTACGTTAGACCCAAAGTCTACTATAAATTATTTGCCATTAAATGATATGTACTTAGGGATCCGAGTGGGTCAAGAATTAATCAAACACAGGGAAAACATAAACATGAAAGAACAAATTGCTGATTTTTTCAGAAGGTGCCAATCTTTTTTAATTGAGTTGAGCACACAATTAAAATCACGTTTGCCTTTTGATAATAAAATTTTCCGAGAACTGAAATTTCTCGACCCACACACTGCCGTGAATGAAGAATTTCGCAGTTTAAGAAATATAATAGAAACTTTCCCATACGAAGTACAGCCAGAACAAATGCAGTTAATTGATGAAGAATATAGAACCCTTAAACTTGATCGCGAAGTAAGTGATTTGTTACAATCTTCGAGTTCTGGCTCACCCCTTTCTTGTGAACAATTTTGGGTGGAAGTTGGGAAAATTTTTAATAGTGATGGCACGTTCAAGTACAAAAATTTAACTGCATTCAGTAAATCTCTGTTATGTATACCGGTATCGAATGCTGCATGCGAGCGCATATTTTCACAGATAAATTTAATAAAAACGGAACAAAGAAACAGATTTATAAACAAAAATGTATCAGCAATTTTACATACAAAGCAAGGTGTAAAAGATCAAGGAGGTTGTGTTAATTTTAATCCCTCAAATAGAATGTTAAAATACAATTCTAACATTTATTGTGATGATTGATTAAACTTTAAAATTTTAAAATCAGTATTTTTATTGGTATATTTTCCCTGTTCAAGTTGGTATATTTCAGTATTTTTTTGAGGTGCTTCGGTATTTTCGTAAAAAATAATCTGGTCACACTGTGTGCTGGTTCTTTTTTATCCAGAGCCGTTAAGCTCAATAATAAAAAAAAAGTTCCTTTTTATCATGTGACGTTGCGTTGTCAGTCAAATGTCAAACTTTTAATTCGCACGATTAAAGATATAAATAAATTTATTTACCTGCTATTTAAAAAAATAAATCTAAAAAATATTTCACGTTATTTTTGCAATTTAAAGTTTCAAGTATTTGTGGGCCAATAGTAAAAACCCAGAAGGTGAATTTGAATACATTCACTCAAGTTACCATTGTAATATAAACTTATAGATACAAATTGTCGACTTTACTTATACAATTTAATTTCCTGTTATAATTACTTTAGTTATATATTGCCAACTTAATTGTAAATCTGTAGTTTTTCAGTTTAATTGATATTTTATAGATGCAACTGACATCAGATCCACGGCGCGCAGACCGCGAGCGTCGTTATAAACCTCCACCACCTACTTCTGCCCCATCTGAAGATTTGACAACAGATTACATGAATATACTAAGTATAATAATATTTCTGCAAAAGAAAATATATATTAAGTTTTGTCAAGTAATAGTCTTATGGCCAGTTTCTGAACTGAGAAAAGTACAAAATCTCAACGAATTATTCTCAATAACTTAAGTCTTTTTTCTTTTCACTTGGCAAAAAGTTCTACTTTTTTCACACTGTTATCAACTGATCATTATAAAAATTAAAATCACAAATGAAAACCTGTTTAAGTGATTTTAAGATTTGAGACATACTTTAAAATCCCAACTCAGAAACCAGGTGTAAATTTCAAAATTCAAATGCACTGGAATAATAATATCATAACATATTAGAAAGCAAAGTTCTTTGTCTCAACTGTCTACCTGGCTGATTGTGGCAAACACAATAGCAACGAAATGAATTTACAAGAGATCTGCAATGGATAGAGAATTTCATGTGGATGATATACCTACTAATAAAATAAAAATAATACATTTCTTCAAATGAAATCCAGGAATCTTAATCAATATCTGAGCATATTATAAATTGTTATGAAGTTTAAAGTTTAAAACCAGTTACCATCATAACTGGTTTTAAACTTTAAACAAAATACACCTATATGAAAGCAGAGCACTAGTTGTTTTAAGTTACTAAGACTTTGTACCTACTAATTGTTTTATTCCTAGGTATGATATTCTCAATGTGTGGATTGATGATGCGCTTGAAATGGTGTGCCTGGACTGCAATCTTTTGCTCAAGCATAAGTGTTGCAAATGCAAGAGTTTCTGATGATACAAAACAGGTTCGCTAACATAAGGATAATCATAACTAATACTATTAACTCCTTTCTCTTATAATTAAAATAAAATTTGTCAGAGTACATTAAATGTCACAAGATTACTATTGTAATTTAATCATTTGAATGTTTTTTAAAAAAATATATATTTACACTTCTAGAAATTGTAAAACATAATTGTCTTATATAAATGAACACACTGTTTGCCCATTTCTAATTTAACTAGGTAATTGTTTAGCAGCTGTGAGAATTTTAATTTGAAATGCAACTTTAGTACCACTTAAAGTAATTTAGATGATGAATGACTTAACCTAATTTTTTTTTTTCAGATTGTGAGTTCATTTATGCTGTCAATTTCTGCTGTGGCTATGTCTTATCTCCAAAATCCTGCCCCCATGTCTCCACCGTGGGCTTCTTTAATGACATAGCAAATTTCTCCTACTTTATTGTTAATAAATATTGTAACTTATGAGGTTATGTAATAAATTTAATTTATATCAATATTTTAATTTTTTCTAAGTTGAAAATTATTAATCACTTTGCCGATTATAAGGCTAGGAATGTTTCAATGCTGTTAGTTTTTATATTAAAATAAGTTTTTATTGCTTCATAAACAAAAATCCTGTTTATATTATGTATCCATGAGTCCAGCAGTGTCACAGCTAGAACTCTAACTCCAAAAAACTTGCTAAATCATCATTTAATCCCTTGGTCTGGGACTTACACCCGGTTTCTGAATTGAGAATTTGAAGTTAAGCACGTCTCAAACCGTGCTCAAGACATTTTAAACAGCCCCCCTAATTGTCTAATTTTAAATCTATTGCAATCGCTTTCAGTTTGAAGGTGTTGCACAACCATTGCTGCATAATACAAATACTTTTTTTTCCAACTGTCTTCAGAAACAAGCAATGGTTGTGCAATACCTTTCAAACTGAAAGCGATTGCAATAGATTTAAAATTAGACAATTAGGGGGCAGGTTTTCATTACTGAATTATAATTTTTTAATGATCAGTTGATAGCAATTTGATAAAACTAGTACATTTTGCCATATAAAACGTAAAAAACTTAAGTTATTGAGAATAATCAGTTGAGATTTTGTGCTTTTCTCAATTCTGAAAGAAATGAAATGAAATGAAATAAAATGAAATGGAATGGAATGAAATGAAATGAAAATATCTTTATTCAAGTAGGCTATTACAAGCACTTTTGAATCGTCCAAAAAAAATTTTTTTTTCCCCTACCACTTGTTCAGGACGTCTTTTAGCTGACAAGAAGAACAAGCGAAAGAAACTTACCAGCTTTTTATCATAAGTAATGACATTTACATAAATCATGACATTACCAAAATAATATGTATTATCACAATAATAAATACAACTTTCAAAGTCTGTTGGTCATAGGTTGTACATATAATTAGTCTTTTTAGAACAAAGCGAAGGCTATTAATTCCATGCATTGCGATCCTTAAAATAATCTTCAACTTTATAATAGCCTATAATTTGTGCTGCCATCTAATGACATAAAATTTTGTAGTTTCTTTATATTTTTTTTAATACTTCCTCATTAATAGGGTATTTGACAAAAAAAAGGATTATTGACATATACTGAGAATGTAAGGGACCAACGAAGTAACTGGTAACTCCGATTATCCATTAAAATAGAAATGTTTGCATTAAGGTTTTCTCGTTTAAAAGTTTCATCAATAATTTTATTCATCATGGCAAGACATAAGAACGAGACATAAGGCCTCCGTTGTGACTATCTCTCCCGGCCCTGATTAGCTTAGATACAAAGAGCAATTAAAAGTATACCTTGATTGATACTGATAAGGTTCATTTTTGTAATTACAATTTTTCGGGGTTATTAAGCCTATTGTAAGTACTCAAGTCGTTTGATCGACTTGATGATCGACTCAAAAAGTTTCTTATTTTTATAAAGACAAATTTATCTAGCATAAACAATCTAGCCTTAAGTGTTAAAAACCTGTTTTTCCCCTGAAAACCTTTAAGTTTGAAACTCAAGGATTGAATCTTACAGTAATACTCGTATCTGTAGTTGAGAGAAGTAATTAAGCAAGAAGTCTCAAAAATTAATTATTGATAGTCTTCGAACAAAGTTGATAGTTCTTACCTTTTAATCAGTTGTATTGTCGAAGTTTTTACCAAAGAGAATTTAAACACTTCTTTTTAGTAAGAACGAACAATAGCTTAATTTTGAGACTTCTTATTAAAGAATAATTTAACACTACGTTTTACTTCTTACTTCGTTTAAATTCTCGTCTATTGGTTTGGGAGCGCTGCCGGCAATTTTCTCAGCATTGCCAGTCCTTAGCAGCGTTGCCAACTTCCACGGTCTGGATTACCCAAAAGACTAACTGAAAATCCCCAATTTTGGGGAAAATAAAATCGATATTCCCCACATTTTCCCCGCAAGTATTCAGCAAAGAAAGAAAGTACTATTCATTTAAATCAAATATAATTATTAATTATAATTAAGTATTTATTTATTTTAGTTGACGTATTTACTCCAGCTCTTCACTGCGCTAAATTTGCTTCGTTAACATATCATTAGACGGCTCAAATTTTAGGCTGCTTCCTTTTTTCGTAATACCGTCTTTAGTGGTCATAAGCGCCACAACAGTATCATTCTGCAGCCAATTATGATTTTTTGTTTTCAAATTCTTCAGAACGCTAAATTTTATTTCGTCAGATGCCTTCGAAAAGGATAAAAGGAACAATAGGCTTATTGCATATTTCAAATTTAAAAACATTCCATGACCTGCACTGTTTTTAAGACGGAACACTTTAGCCCAGTATGTTTCTGAATTGTCATCATCTTGTAAACCAAGAGCAGAGTAATCTAACATCGCGTGTGCTCTTCATTCGTCATCTAGTTTTTGAGATGTCACTACATTTTCAAGTATCGGAAATCGTTGCAACAAGTGTTTAAGGGATTTGACTTTCAATGCTGTGCTTGTAATTGATTCACTACAGATATAAATGAAAATAATGTGTCCGAAAAATCAAAACGCTTAGTAAAATCCGTAGTTAGTTCAATATAAAAGGCTTGGCAGAATTTATAAAAATCTGCGATCCGATACCTAGGTAATTTAAGGCAAGCTTTTGATGCTAATAGATGTATCATGTGGCAGGAACACTTTATTAGAGCAACATGTGGCAAATCTTTTTTTAGGAGTGCAAACTCTGAGCAATGTTCACCCACCATCACATTGATCGTATCTGAGCTGAACCCCACCATATTTTCCATGACTATTTTTTTCTTCGTTAACATCTCTGTCAAGCAGCTGTGCCATCCAGACGTAGTTCCTGATGCTATTTCAACCACATTTCAACAAGTTTTGGAACGCAACTATGGATGGAAATAAATGTTGCCATTGTGTCTAATACGAACCTGCCGAATAAACTGAGTTAAAGTTGAACATAATTAATAGATTATGCTTACTTCGATTACTTTTATTACTTCTTAGTTCAGATCTAGGTAATAGTATTATATTATCTGTGGTTCTAGTGTAAAAGTCTCAATTCCCCGCATTTTCCCCACATAGATACTCTCCCCACAAATTACCCAATTGAACTGAAAATCCCCGCAGTTTGGGGAATTCCCCACAGATTGGCAACGCTGGTCCTTAGCGATATGTCCGGTACGGTATACTAGTTTGGTCAATATAAAAAGTCACTTTTGATATCTATCAAGTAGAAGTAGTAGTTTGTTTCATCTATGGGACAGGCGAAGGAACTTAGCCATACTGCCAAATCTTGAGTAACGTCTATCAAAATCAACAAATCAAGGGATTGTTAACGGCATGATTCCATTGGTCACAAAGCAATTTTCCCAATAAAATATAATTATAATAAGAAATGGAGTAAATTGAAATATTTTGGGGTAATTTTGTTATTTGGTTCTATAGAGAAAATTTTATAAATTCACGTATTGGATGTGACCGATTCCTTACAAATATTTTATTTTATGATTTTTTCGAATTATTTAATAGCCATTGGTGAATGCCATTGATGAATGCGCACTTATAATCCCAATGGGGTTATTTGTTCATGTTTAATCATTCAACGTCCGATAAGACCAAACATTGTTTTTCTGATTATTTCGGATCTACCTACTGTTGAAAAAGGCAACGGGTTTTCAGAAAACATAGTACCAGCGTTTAGTTTGTTTAGAATGAAATATATTTATTACATTTAGAGAGGTTTATTGATCAAAATAAAACGTAAACTGCTTTAGTTTTATATTATGACACTTAATATATTTTAATAATAAAGAAACTTGCAATCATACCGTTTCCACAACTTTGAAAATTTTTAAATAATATGTTTACCACATTGCAAAGTTTCTTTGAACGTGAGATTAAGAGATGTCAAATGTGGCCTTTTAAAATATGACTATACTGTCTTTATCTGTGGTCAGTCCCGTCTGTCTTGCTGTCTCGCGTTTGGATTATTTTTACTTGAATATTACCTACCACGCGCATTTTGATACTCATTTAAATACTGTATTCCTTGATAATTATTCCATTCATTATAACTGTAAGAATAGTCTATTTTGACAAGTTGTGTAAGTTTAAAATACTTTATATATATACCAATTCAAAAAATAAATTGAAGAGGTTATACGGCTTAGTTTCTTAGATCCTTTTTTATTATATATCTTTATTATAACTATAATTTTTATCATCTCGTTTTTTGTTTGATAAGTTATTTAAAAAAATATTCCTTTGTGTATTTTATTGGGTACTTTGCCAATTACATACAAATCCTATGCTATAAATTTTACATAGCGACCTTACTCTATTTTAATTGAATTTGTTCATTTTTACAGTCTTTTATTGTTTTTAATTATTTACATTTCAGTTTGATACAGTGAACTATTTTAAAAGCATTAATATGTTTTAGGATGCCTCCCAAAAAGGTAGAAGAACCAGAGAAGAAACCTCTGATTGGAAGAGTAGGTACAAACCTCAAAGTGGGCATTGTCGGTGTACCCAATGTTGGCAAATCAACATTCTTTAATGTGCTTACTAAGAGCCAAGCTGCCGCAGAAAACTTCCCATTCTGCACAATTGACCCCAATGAAAATAAGTATCTGGCAATTTTACTTTGAAATTTTTATGTAAAACTACAAAATGAATTTGTTTTATCTTATAATGTTGTGAACACCTCAATGTTATGCCATCAAAATAATTTAAGGTGAGTCATTATTATAATTTAGTAATGAGCCTTGTATTGGGCCTGGAGTGGATTATGGCCTAATTTTCTATGTATGCTTTAAAAAGTGGGGACATTGTTAGGCACCAGGTTGGTTGTATGATCATATAACCTATCCAATTTGGACCAAACTTTAGGTGTAGAAAGGTTATAATATAAAAATTATGCTCCATTAGCCCCATCTGTATCTGTAGTTGTAATCTTTCAGTAATCAACACTGAGCCTGTATATATATTGGTAAGTTTGTTAATATTTTATTAATGACAAAGGTATCTTAATATTTATTCTGTTTTCACTAAAGCAAAGCTACCATAGTTTTGCATTAAATTGAAACAAGAAAATTAAAAAGCTTGTGGTTGTCCAGATTTAATGTGTCACTATCCTCGTCAAACTATTGTCCCCATCAGTGGGGCTCGAATAGTTATAATAGGCTATGCCCTAAGTGTGGCATTTGATATAAAAAACAACACTTTAGTACCAAATCATTGCACTTTGATGTTTACTTGGTAAAATTTGTGGTGATTTGATATAATTCTTGTGTTTCAAATGTTACTTTTTAATACAAGTCCAAACTTTGGCATTATTATACATAACACAAAACCTTTTTAGTTGTTGTCATGAGCTATTAGAAACAAAATAATCTGTCAATTATATAGGACATTGACATTGACAAATTATTGTCTTAATAATCAATTTAAAAAACAATGGTTGACTATGAGAATTATAAAAATAATTTGGATGTGATAGACAGAGATGATCTTGAATATTTAGATGTTAACAAAAAGGTTATATACAATGGTCCACTTAAAAACATAGCTAAGAACTCTAATGAGCCTAGAAAAAATTTTCAACCTTTGGCTGCAGCTGTTATTGGACTAAATAACACAGCACTAGCTCATCATGGAATATCAGATAATGTTAATATCTGGACAGATCATGACACTCAAGAGTATTATTTGAACTCAAAGCCAACTTGTTATTTAATAGTTGGAAAACCTGGTTCAGGTTCATATACTTTAGGTGAAGCAATGTCTAAGAAATATAATTGTATTCACTTGTGCCCTCGAAATATTTTAGCTGATGAAATAGATCAAAACAGCATGACTGGAAAGTGTGTAACATTTAACATGAAACATAATAAAGAAATAAAATGTAACACAATATTGTCAATGATGAAAAGTAAACTGGAATCAGCAGTCATTAAACATAGGGGATATGTATTAACAGGGCTTCCTTTAGTTACATCGGACATAAGTCTTCAATATCTTAGCAATACCTTATACTCTGAAGAGGCTTTGGATGTAGTTGATGAAATTTTATTTGACATTATAGTCAACCTTAAGAAAAAGAAACCAAAAAAGCCTAAGGTTGGCTCCCATACTTCAATGAGTAGTGATGCAGGAGAACCAGGAGCTGAGGAAGAAATTGAAGAAGAACAAGAGGAAGAGCATGTTGAAGAAGAGACTGAAGAACAGTCAGCAGAACTTCCAAAGTTTTTGTTAGATTTTTGTGCCAATATAATTATGCCTGAAAAACCTCAATTAGTCACCCAAAAAATAATTTTATTAAAACAGTTGCAAGAAATATTCGATTTGGCTTTGCACCCTGATATAATTATATACTTAACTTGTTCAGATAAGGATTTGGTCACAAAAAAGAACCATAAATATTACAATTTTAGAAACAATATATATACATTTCATCAGCTCAATGTCAATCCAGAATCAGAACTCAGATGGCCTGTAAAATATACTTTAACTGAGTATATGAGCCCTTATGATAGTCATAAATTTAATCCTAAATACAATTGTAGACATCCAATAAATTTTGAAAGTAACTCTATTAATCAAATGTGTAATTATAAACAGCATGTTTTACCCTTCATTGAAAATAAACTGAAGGAATTTGATCCTAATAAGATAATTAAACTAGATGCATATGCATCTGTTCATGAAATGATGCATCAACTTACTGGAAGGTTAACGTTTTTGTCTGTAAAGCCTGTTATCATACCTGAACCTTTATTTATAGAAGACCCACCGGAAGAAATGGAAGATTTTTGGAATCTAGTTGGAGAATTGCATGCAATAAAAAATGGAGTTCTAACATTTTACTGCTATCCCTCAATATGGTATAACAGATGTCCTGTAGAACTTCAAAAGAGAAGATCTACCAGAGGATTACCAAAATTTGCCATATCTTTATTTAAACATGTGTTTGTCATGTCTTCCTTGAATTCCTTTATTTCATTTTATAAAAATCCTAGACCTTATTTAAAGATGAAATTTTTGGAGCCGACATGTAGAATAATTGTGACAGGTACAAAATCTACTGGTAAAACCATGATTTCTAAATGTCTGTCCTTTGTTTTTGATGCTCCAATAATTTCTTATGAAAAATTTATGGAAGATGAAAGGCAAAAGAAATATATTATGTACTCAAAAACTATTTTATCGGAAATAATTCCTGTAATTGAAGACGCTAGGTTATTAGATTGGAAAAATACAGAGTCGGAAAGACTTAATAAATTAAATAAATGGACAGAGAACACTTTCAAAATTCTAAAAGAATATATACCCACTCTTATAGAGATTTTAGATTATAATAAACGTGAATTAGATAGCGAAGTAAAACAAGATGAAACTGATGACGCTAAAATTAAATTGATGGAAAATTACGATCGTTTAAGGAGAGCCATTTCTTTCTTGCCATTCATAGATGATGCAGAAAAATGCTTAAGAGTTTTACAAGATAAATCACTTATGCAATTTGCTCCTCTAGATCTAATAACATTTACAAACAAACCGGATATTCCCGCATTAGGAGATGAAGACGTCACTAAAGCGATTGAAAATTATATCATAACCAATGAACTACAAAAAGATTTAGAACCAACTAGTGAAGAAATAATGACTGAACTTACTAAAATATTACTTAGAATTGATGATGAGTCAAAGCAAAAAGAAGATTGTTATGGAAAATATATAGTAGATGGTTTTCCATCGAATCCTGAATTATGGGATTATCTTAACGAAATGAACTTACTACCAGATAATACTATCTCTATAATGGAAAGTAGAGAAATTGAAGCTGACCTGATTCAAAACTATAAAAGAGTTGAAAATGGCCTTAAAAACTATCAAGAAAGGTTTATATTAGCTGACGATCCTTTGATTGTAACTAAGCTTCGAACAACAACTTTGCCAAATACAAATGATGTAGATATTCAAATTATTATAAATGATTTTATTACTGCCTTCCTAAATACGAATATTGTTAATGAGGACATAATCGTAGAAAAGGACACTAATGTAGAAGCTAATTACATTACGAATTTTATTGCTTCTATTGAAAAATTTCGTGAGGACTGGGATAGCGTTAAATTAAAATTAGAAGATGGCTACAAATCTTTTATAGAAGTTGATCTTGATAGCAAAACTGATATAGAAATTGTCGAAGAGGTACTTTTAAAATTACGTAAAAGTTATTTTTTAACTAGTGAAGTTAATGAAGATGATATTTCCGAACCAATGGACGAAGATGATCAGCCTAAAGATATGATTTCTTATAACGATTCAAGAAATTTATGTGATACTGCTACATATTGCCCGATAACGTTCTATAATTACGGTGTCCTATGGGAAGGTAAACCAGAGTTTTCTGTAAAGTATAACAATAAAATTCATTATTTTTCTAAAGAAGAATGCTTAGAATTATTTCAAAATGACGTTACACGGTATCAAGCATACAACCAACCATTTAAACATTTACCTCCTTTAAGATTATGCGTGGTAGGTTGTATTGGTAGTGGTAAGTCATCAGTATCTAAAGTTATTGCTAAAGAACTTGGATTGATTCATATAAACTTTTCGGATATCATAAATGATTATTTAATACCGAAACATTTCAAGAAGGTTGGTCGGCAGTATGAAAATATTTTCATCGACGTTCCGATAGACGAAGAGGGAGTCATGGAATTTCAATTAGATGAAGAAAATGATAATTTAGTTTCTGATATTTTAGCAAATGAAACTGAAATTAGGCGAATGGTTTATAATTATTTTGAAAGAGGTGCACCAATTTTACCTGTTTTAATGCAAAGACTCCTTAAAAAGTTGTGGTTTGAAATACCCTTCTCGGAATCTGGATTTGTATTAGATGGATATCCACGATTGCCTACTGATGTAGAAGATATGATAGCATGTTATTGTATACCTGATTTAATAATAGAACTCGAATGTAATTCAGAGACATCACTACAGAGATTATCTCCAAAAATGTTTAAAATTTGGAAATCACAGCTCAATGAAGCAAAACATATTGCCAAAAAGAAATTAGATGGAGAAACGCAAAAGTGGCTGGAGTTTATAACTAAAAATGTTGTTGTTAAATTAATTTTAGATGATATATTAAACTATGTCATTCCTTCAAGTGGCGAAGAAGCTAATCTTATGTCCACAGGCAGTGCAATTATAGAACCTAACCCACAAGGTTCTTTAAACGTCGAAAACAATTTATTTGTTATATATAATGATATGATACAAGAATATCCAGCTCCTGTTAACCAAAACGAATGGGAAAAATCTGATGAAGCTCACGAAAGAATAGATGCTCGAATAGAAGGTATTTTCGAAGTAGAGGATGAAGGCTTGCAATCTTTAAAAGACATTTTATTAGAACAAAATATCAAATTATTTTCAGTAAATGGTACAAAGCCGATAAACAAAGTGTTACGACTTATATTATTCAAATTATCAAATTTAAGAAATCGAAACCAATCAATATTTGAACAAACTTTTATAATCAGCTATGATATTGCAGAATTTCTATTATCAAAAGGATTTTACTTTTTCAGTAAGTTTGAACGTATGTGCCCGGTTTATATATACGAAAATCCACAAACTATTTTAAATCCTTTTAATATTATGAAGCGAAAAGGTGAACTTTTTTCTGTTATTCACAGATCGTATATATACTTTATATCCAGCGAAGATAACTTGAAGAAATTTCGAACAGACCCATTAAAATATGTGACTGGCGACGCTATTCATTCATTTAAGGAATATCCCATAACAATTGGGATTATTGGGGCTCCAAAATCTGGCAAAAGTGTACTGGCACAAAAACTGGCAAAGCGTTATGGATTGAAATGTATATCGAGAGGGAAGGCATTGAGATATGTGTTAGAAAATCTACACTGGACAGAATTGTCTTCTTGTATAAAAACTGCTCTTAATGAAGGCGACTGTGTAAAATATGGTCATATTGTAAAAGCTGTTCAAATTATTGCTATCGATTATCGTACAACGATTTACGGGTTTGTATTTGATGGGTTTCCGGAATCAGCTGCAGAGGCAATGGAATTAGTAAATGCTGGTCTTTATCCAAATTTTATAATCGACATTTCAAATAATACAAAAAATGTACTCCGTAATTCCCAAAATGAAGTATATTTCGAAATTATCAAAAGGAATCCACCTTATTCTGCACCGCTTATTGAATATAGGTATTCAGAGTGGAGTAAGCGAAGTCATAACATTAGAAATTGGATTAAAAACGATATCCAAAATCTTCATTCGATCGATGGTGGTAAATCTAAGTGGCAGTGTTTCCAGGATACTATAGATCACATAGATAAAATTGTTCCAAAAATACATGCATATTTAATAAACGTGAAAGACAATATTGTACCTGCACATTTCATGTGTATCTCAGACGAAATATTCCGTAATAGAATGTCGGGTTTCAAGGATATGTGTCCAGTTTGTTTTCGGTTAAAAATATTGAGACATAGTGGCCATCCTGTTGATAAAAAAGGAGTTGTCCAGTTTAAAAATAAATTTTATTGGATTTGCGCTGAGCACATAAATTTGGTTCTAAAATATCCAGGTTATTTGTCAACAGATAAAATAGAAATACCTGAAATCCCTGCGATCGTGCAAACTGTAAACCTAGATCTTGTTTATGAAAATGGAATATGCATTGTTACTTATGCTCAGAATTTGCCATCACAAAAATTCGTTCGTGGAATTAATAAGTATGCTGCCAGTTTTCGTGGGAAAACATATTTATTCTGTAGTTCTAAATGTCTCGACACGTTTATAGCTAAACCACATAATTTTTACGACATTGTAGTATTTAGTCACAAAAAGATATTTCCAGAGCTATCTTTAAAGAAGTTACCCAACATAGGCTACCTAGAGCAGACATTGGGTAACATCATTACAGAAGCATGTTGCGCCGTAAATGTGATGAGACCTAAATACCCCGGACTTGACTCAAAAGTTTCCGCTTTACTGTACATTGCTTTATATCTAAAAACGCACAATCCCCTTAATGATGAATCTGCGCTATCCGTATACGAAAAAATAGCAAAAATTTATGACATTAGGTGTAGGTTGATAATAGATATTGGTTTACGGTTGAGATCAATGGACAATCCATTTGCAAAGTATCCAAAATGCTGTCATAAAATTGAATGTATAGATTCGGGTACGGTTATGAAATCATCCAGTTACACTACTGATGCTACGAGTCTTTCAGAAGCTGTTGTCTAATAAATTATAATCTACTTATAAATGTAGTACAATAAAGTCCTTATTACTCACGATGATTTTTATTTTTAATAGTTTATAATCTGATATATCGTAATTATTGTATTTTACTTGCACAAAACATATATAAATTTATTTAATATACCGAATTATAATTCGTTTGGTTCTTTGCATCTTAAAAAGAGAGATATACATCACGTGTTTAAACCAGTTACAGAAAATCGATATTTATTTTACAAAAAATTAATTAAAAAATTTCCTATACTATTTTTTTTTTTTTTTGCTTTTGGAGTAACCCCATTTGGGAACAGCTAGATTGTATGTATATTTTGTTGCTACCGATTTTGTTCCGCGATCCACTTGAAATTGAAATGAATGGATTTGGGATCACAATCTAATAGTTCAGTAGGTCTGTTCTGTATATTATGTAATTTTACATTATCTTATTTTCTTTCAGCACGTAGGGTACCAGTGCCGGATGAACGATATGACTATCTCTGCGAATATCATAAACCAGCAAGGTTTGTTAAGTATACATTTAATGTAATTTGAATTTTTAGGGCCCATATTATAATTCATACTTAGCTATGCATGGAAATACAAAAAATACGTCGACTCGTAATATATGTTAGGTCGGGGAAAAGTCTTTTCACATATAATATGCATAAACTTGTAATAAAATCTTTCTGGCTATACCATTTGTACCTGACTAGTTCCGGTATCAATAAAAAGTTTCAATTTAAAAGAAGATAACTCCAAAATCAAATTAGGAAAATGTGTAAGTTTCATTTTTTTTTGGTATTATCAAAATGAGTGAATCTCATGAAGAAATTCGATACATTTTTTTCCAAAAAAGGTAAAACTGCAACGCATACCGCGGAAAAAATTGTAACGTTTATGGACCTAGTGCAAAAATTTGGTTTAAGTTATAACTTAAACCAAATTTTTATGTTAAAATGTATAACAAGAACAAGATATAGAAAATTTAATTTACTACCTCTGTACGAGCGTAGAGAAATAGCAGATTAACTTATTTTTACAAAAGAGCAAATGCATCATTGACTGTCCGGAATTATAGGAATTAATTAGACTCCGTGTTAACTCAGCTGCACTAAGTAAACCGAACCTTTTTAGTGTACCCTTAGTCCGTACCAATTATAGGAAAAATTCTTTTATTTTGAGAACTGGCGCAATGTGCAACGGTTTGATCAAGGCAAATGTTGATATTGATTTATTTAATACTTCATTAAACAAACTAAATAGGCTTCATTAAATTTTTTTGACAAATAATTTGTTTTTTTTTTTCGAGCAATAAGGAAATATAATATAAAGTAATGCTTAATCTTAATTGTTAACTTAATTTTAATTGTTAATAATTTTAATTTTATTCTTTTTAGCTTTTGTCTATTTTTTATTCCGTTTAATTTCCTATGTGTGGAAACTTGTAATTGGCCATCCTTATAGATATAATAAATATTCTTATTTCAGAATGATAATGAAAATAAAATAAGTAAAATATCCAATTTTTCTCCAATCAGGACGGATGTATCCATGAATGTTTTAATGGAGCCACTTCGCCAAACAATGACAGCAAAGCTTCTCAAATAATCTGAATGTATGTTTCTATACAGTAAAGTTCCGGCCTTCCTGAATGTCGTGGACATCGCCGGCTTAGTACGAGGCGCAGCCGAGGGACAAGGACTTGGCAACGCTTTTCTATCACACATCAAGGCTTGTGACGCTATTTTTAATTTATGTCGTAAGTATAAAAGTCGTCAACATAATGCAAAAATTCACCTCGGGTACCTAGGACAAAAAAGCAAGTAAGCATAGGGCAATGTTTTATCGATCGACATCGAAAACTTTTATAGCATTTACGAAGTAAAAAGATAGTAGAATCCCAAACAAGACCAATTTTATATATTCTTGTGATTGTAACATAAAGTCAGTCTTGAAGTTGTACTATACTTATATTCTGCGTTTAAAGTTTTGAAGGACATCAATCTTCATTTAGTATACAACGTAACAATTTATTTCAGGTGCTTTCGATGATGAGGATGTTATTCATGTAGATGGTGAGGTAAATCCAATTCGCGACTTGGAAACGATCGGCGAAGAACTGAGACTTAAGGACGAGGAGCAACTAATGCAGAACATTGAAAAATTAGACCGCGCTGTAAACCGTGGCAATGACAAGAAACTGAAACCTGAATATGTATGTTTATAGTATATCTATAGTATGTCTATGTTTACCTTTAACTTTTCTGAAGAAAACTACGATCGCCAGTGGTCGGAATAAATAGAAAGATTAAATTGGGGTCATTTATCTGAAACGTATTTTTCTTTAGGGGTATTCTTCCGTAATTCCACCACCATTAATTTTAATACCCAGTAATGTTGAACATATATGTTAATTTTATCATGGACATATAGGCAAGACCAGTGTCTGTACCTACTTTGTAGGGTAAGACAGTTTTAGTAAGATTTAATTTTTGGATTAAACATTAAATAAACTAGATTTATTGATTCATATGAAATGGAAAAGTGTATACCATTATTTTATTTGTGTTATATTTATTACCATTTACATAAAAGGTTGATTTCAAACAAAACAAATTTGGTCTAGCGATTAAGAAGCTATTATGTCCCATAAAAAAATTACCAATTTCTTTCATGATATATAATTGAAAATAGATATAGTTATAAAGTGTGCAAAGTCAACTCTATTAATTTAACTATTAAATTAATTTCTTTTACAGGATTCACTGTTGAAGATTAAAACAATTTTAGTAGATGAAAAAAAACACATTCGTTTCGGTGATTGGAGTGCTGCTGATGTAAGTTCCTTGAATATATAACTTGTAAAAAATGTTCATTCGTTATAAATTACATTTCACAATATTCTACTATAATTTATTTATTATATAGATAGTTTATTTGTAATAAAGTAAATAATTTATATCCTATTTCAAAAGCGTTAGAATATAATATGAGAAAAAATTGCTTTGCTGAGTTTCTTGCCGGTTCTTTTTTGGATAATGTCTCAGCCCTAGATTTGCGAAGTAATGGAATTTCGGCTTAAAGAAGTGCTTGTAAAAGCCTAGTTTGAATAAATGATTTTGGGTCTCGGTTGCACGATAATTGCAGTTGAAGTTAACGTGAAATTTTACACGTTGACTTTAACATTGACTGTGGAATGCGCCGCACCATCCTCTTTCTTGGCATAATAACTAAATAACTTTAACTGGCGAAACTTAGGCGGTTATAGTTTACAGTTAATGTTAGACGTCATCCAACCATTGCCAAATGATAACTCATTGTTATTTGTTTAACCGCTTTGATCAACAATACTACAAGTTGTATTGTTAATCGATGCTTCACCGGTACTTTAACAAATTTGTTATAGTAAAAGAAAGTTGCAGTATTGATTTCCTTTAACACAATTATACATCATATTATTAAACTTTCATTAATTTACGCGGAAACTAATAGAATACTTACTGTCTCGTTAACTTATGGCGCAGGTACGATTACTTATTTGATTGTGTAGCTTGTGTGCGAATTTACTGGTTAGATCTAAACTATTTCTATATGTGGAAACCTATAATTGGCTTAATGTTTTTTATGCTGAAATCTATCATGTTTGTTTAGCTGTTGGTTTTCCAAGAATAATTAATGAATAAAAAAGAAATAACATGTTTTATTCTTTAGAACCATCACTGCATTGTGATTACAGCAGCTTTGTATTGTTGAAGGAACGACAACAATATTTTAAGCATAGTACAGAACAATATAACGTGCATGAGTGGTTATAAGCATCCGCAAAAAAAAAAAAATCGTTTGCATAAAATTATATTCAGCGTATTTTAATTTCTTACAAATATTAAGTTTTAGGGCGTGTTAATATATAGATCGTTCTATCTATAAATTAAAAATAAAAGGAGACAAAGCATTTGTAAATAAATAATATATTTCAACTTAACACGAGCTATAAATATACAATTATTTACAAAGAATATTTATTTCTCTTTCCAGATAGAAATTTTGAATAAATATCTATTTTTAACTTCAAAACCAGCGCTTTATCTAGTGAATTTATCCGAAAAAGATTATACACGTAAGAAGAATAAATGGTTAGTATTGTATTTGATTACAATAGGAATGATGACTGGGTGAAAAAAAAGAAAATATTAGAAATATGTTTTTTTTTTGCTTCAATTTAACATGAAGTGGCTTAGATAATTGGCATTCAAGTTGAAGAATGGGGGCTGGCTACGTCACAACTATGTAAAGACAACTCAATATATCGCCGTAAATTATAGATTACGCAAAAATAAAATTACGAGTTTAATATTCTTTAATAATATACCCGACAGACAGACAAATAAAAGTTGGTCATCATCCTTATTGCATATAGATAAATCGTAGTGATTGTTTTTGTAATGTCGTATAGTTATCTTATGTAATTACAGGTTGCCTAAACTCAAAGAATGGATCGATAAAAATGATCCTGGAGCACCTTTGATCCCGTTCTCAGGAGTCTTGGAAATGAAATTATTAGAAATGGATCCGGAAGAAAGGAAAGCTTACTTGAAAGAAAACAATATCACTAGGTGGGTTTAACGTAATATATAGGTAACTGAGCTTTGCTGTGATTTGACTATAAAAACAGACTTATAATTTTTTGTCTTTCCTCTTTATAATTTAGTATGGAAGTGTTTCATAATTCCTTTGAAGACAAAGTAACATATAATCATTTTTTATCCGTAAAAAGCGTTAAATATCAATAGGAAATGGTAAAATGATGAATTTTAGGGGTAATTTGTGTATTTTTTTGTAACGAGAAAATTTCATTGATTAACATTTTGGCCTAAGAAGGGATCTTTTAGAAATATGATGTATTTTTCGCATTGTTACAACTTATTTGAGGTTATTTCGTTGTGCAAAATGCCAGTTAACTGTTCCCTCCTAAATTGTTACTTACTAGCTGTTTTTCCGCAACTTCATATATTATAGTCAGAGACCTAATTGTCTAACTTTAAAATCTATTGTTTTTACTTGACATTGGCAAAATGCACAAGCCGTGCCTGCCATATTATAAAAAAAAAAATCTATTGCAATCCCTTTCAATTTGACTTTTGATAGATATTCACCAACTTCAAGCTACAACTTTTTGACATATGATAGCGATCGCGAAGATATTGAATGAACGATATCGTTCCATCGACGTTAATTGGAAATGTCTAAGGCAAGTCTAATACTTGCCTTAGACATTACGCAAATATTACTTTAAGTTAAAGTTACTGTTTTTCAAATATTTCGTGATCATTCAAATCATCTTTGGTTCAAATCAAATCAAAATATTTATTGCGTGTCACATTACAAACAATGAGATATACTAAGTATTAGGTATACACGTGACGCCCTACAAGGGCATTGCAATATGTAGAGGAGAATATAATATTATCAATAATTTAAAATTAAAAACATCTCATAATTTAGTTGTTCATTGCATTTAAATTCGAATAAAATTCCATAAGATAGAAAATTATGTCAAAATAAATATTCTTAATGAAAGGCGGCTGAAGATTATATAAAAACAATAAGTAAAAATAAATTAAATTAATATTTGCTCGTCATATTTGTCTTCAAAAAATTCTTTTATATTATAGTAACATTTATTAATAAGATATGATTTTAATTTTGTATTAAATTGTGTAGGATTTCCTAAATTTTTTATGCGATTTGGTATATGGTTATATATTTTAATTAACATTAAATGGGGGCTGGATGTAACTAAATGCATTTTAGAGAAGGGTACTTTTAGCTTATTTAAATTTCTATTGTTCCGTTTATTGTTTATTTGGGGGGAATAGAATTCCGGATGCTTTCTGACAAATTTACACGCTTCAAGAATGTAGATAGATATTAGAGTTAGTATGTGATGTTTAACAAAGTATGGTCTACACGAGTCCATTTGATCTATATTGGTAATAATTCTTATGCATTTCTTTTGTAGTACAAAGACCCTATCTATATCACAGGAGGTTCCCCATACGATAATACCATAGGAAAGTATCGAATGTGCGTACGCATAATATGCTGCTAATGCTGTACGTATGTTCTGAAAGCGATTGCTACTTTAAGCGATACATAATTCCATAAATCGTTTTCGCAATCGATAAATTTGAAAGGGATTACCACAGATTTTGAAATAGACAATTAAGTCTGCATTGTCAAAGAAAAGAGATGATATTTCACGCTTCAATTATCTATTTCCAGCGCTTTGGATAAAATCATTGTCCAGGGTTACAAAGCCTTGCAGTTGGAATACTTCTTTACGGCAGGACCGGATGAAGTAAAAGCGTGGACAATACAGGTACTCTTTACACTATTTTAAATTTTTCAAATTTTGCAAGCAATTTAAAAAATATATATTATTATTATTTCTGATATCCCATGTATATTTTGAGTAATATAAATTTAACACGTACTACCGCGTACAAATGAGGGCTATTGTTTTTACGCTCACCAGATGGCACGACAGTCGCAAGAGGTCCTATCAAAGTTTGTTTACTACGTGATTGAACTTAAATCATACATAATACTAATACATAAATAATAACAATTTTTAAATAAATCATTTTATTAAAAATATCGAACATGCCCAATATACACTAACCTCTGATTTAGCTGTTCATTCATCCTGCTTATATTTGAACCTTTTTAGCTCCGTTTTTTAAAGCATTTTTTTACTTTAATGAATCGCAGGTCCCTCAAAGTAAGAGCAAAATTCGTTTGTTTTAAAAGAAACGCTCGTAATCTCGCGTAGTTCACCAACAAAGTAGGATATTTGACATTTTGAAGACCTCACGTTACACTAGCGCCTCTTGTGACAAATTCAAACGCGTTAGCCCTCATTGAGCTTACAAACTGATAATGAACACTAAATGTCCATTTAATAACAAACTTTTTATATTTTTAAGGACCAATTAAAGCCTATGCCTGCGAATTACCTATAGTCACGGGTTTACTTTTGTGCAATTGGATAAATGTTTATTTATAAGCTACAAATTTGAGTTTAAAGTACCGGTATCTATTCGACATTAAAATTTTGTGGTTTGATTAAAATATTTCAAGTTAACTAGGCTCTCCTAAATTCTCATTGAATCTTATTTAACAGATATTTACCATAAAAAAGTATTAGTACAGCGTAGAGGGTCCCATGACCCTTATCCTCCTTAACCATCCATAAGGGAGGCCTGAGCCCCTTCAGTGGGCACGTAAAAGGGCTGATAATGACTTCCTCATTAAACATACTTATGTTTACCCATTTTATAGAAAGGAACGAAAGCACCTCAGGCAGCTGGCAGAATCCACACTGACTTCGAGAAGGGATTCATCATGGCCGAAGTGATGCACTTCAAGGACTTTAAAGAGGAAGGCACTGAAGCAGCCTGTAAAGCTGCCGGAAAATACAGGCAACAAGGTATGGTTCCGTAGCTTGTCTTAATATGTTTTATGTGCAAGTAATATTTATGGTATTGTTAGCATGTACTCACGGCTGCAGGTCAAGTTACCACAATATATAGAATTTGATGATTACAAATTCTAACCTTAAGGTTTTAAAGTAAAGTACCTTATTTTTATTGACACCTATGTGCCTTTTTATTATTTTTATACCCATGAATAACTTATATTGTAATGTTAATGACTATGAAAGTTTAAAATAGCACATTTTTATGTTATTGTATAAACAACATTATAGGGTAGTTGACAACTTTTTTATATAAAGTAACATGTCTGCGATTCATATTTTCGGAGATATGGGGTTATGTTTCTGGAACTGCTGCTAATCGGCTGAAAACTCTCTCTACAAATTCAAGGCACTAAGTGACGTCACACAATGTTACTGTCGCGAAAAACCGTATGTGCGTCTGGACAATCTTAGTAATATCTTTGTTATTTGTGCGTTTATGTTTATAGCTGTTATAATGAAAGTTGTAAAGTATCATGTAACTAATTAAATGCCATATATATTTTAGCAATTTTTGTAATATATTTTTCCTACTTTTTCAAGTGTAATATTTTCCAAATTAGTATAATATTTTTAGTATTTTTTAGATTCCAAATTAGTATAATAAGTTAAAATGGTGCTTATTTTTCGAACATATAACAAAAACCTGTATTTTTACTTGTAGAACACAAGCCTATTATACAAGCTTCTGTGATGATATGTATGTATTAAGTATTTTTTGCTTTAAAATAAATTGTAACTGTATTTTTTTGCGGAGTTACGCAATATAATCTGTGTATTAAAAGAACCAAAATGCGAACGGCTATGGCGGAGCATCGTGTGACGTCACATTTCAATAAACTAAACGTCAACGTCTTTGCTGCGAATGCAACCAGTACTCATGTTTATTGAAATGTTATGTGACTGCTTGTTTTCACGGTACAATTTAAAGTAACAAATTTTTTTTTCCCTTATTTAACAACACTTACGCTGTTCATTATTTTTCTCGAAATAGTTAAATAATAATTATTACTCTAGAATTAAAGAAAAAAACACTGATGTATACTAGATGGCGTTGTTTTGTTCACAGGCCGAAATTACGTAGTAGAGGATGGCGACATAATATTTTTCAAATTCAACGCGGGCGCCGGCCTGTCTAAGAAGAAATGACGTGACAAGGTTCTGCTTCTGTTAGTACACTTTCTGTACTTTAATCTTGTTCTCTACTCCTTGTTACATGTCGCTTGAATGTATTTATTTTCTCTCATCATCTCGTCATTGTAAGAATCATATTGATATTGCAAGTTAATAATAATATTTATTAATTATGAAATTTTATTTATTTGTGCTATTATCAGCATATAAATACAGAAAATGTTTGACTATATTCTCACTAGCTTCGCTACTTAGTCCTATTGGGAATTGATAATACTTTTCCCACACGAGATATAACCACTAAAACATTCATATTACTTTTTTTGTAATGAGCTATAAGGAATGTTACCTTTTTAAATATATAATATAAGAATAAAGATATGATGCTTTTATAATTGTCGTTTATTTAAAGTTAATACGTGTACTTCTTATAAAAATATATGCATTTATTGCACGAAATTATTAGGTCTGATGGATTTACTATGAAATTCGAGTCACGCTAGGAGCGAATGTTTGTCTATTGTACAATTGTACATTGTCATTTTAATGGTCGTTTGATCGATTATCATAACAAGAGGTTAGCTTACATTGGAACTAGATATTTGGCATGAAAGTTGAGAGTATATATACTAGTCATTTGCTTCGAGTTGGTCGCTGCTTTTGTCCCCGCTTCATCGATCCTATGAGTACCGTTAGCAACGCAATCGCGGACGTATATCGATATTATCGCTTCATTTTTTTTTTATTATAAATTTATGTTTTTGTCCAAATGTACGTTAAGAATATCAAATCCCAACTCATCTTTAACGAATGGAGAGTTTAATGAAAATACGAGTATTATACTTTTGATGTTGCTACCATTTGATGGGCCAATGACGTCATTTAGTAACGGCCATCTTGAAGCAATAGACTAGCATAATGAAATATTTATTTATGAATATATAATATAAATTTCTAGTACATTTGGTCATACAAACTTTATTATTTTCATAACATTACCTACTTCTAAATAGGGATGGTGACTAATTTTTGTTTGTCCGTCCGTCGGTTAGATTATTGAAGAATATTAAACACGTTTCTTTTTTATTTTGTGTAAATTATGCAAAGAAATACGTATCTTATATATTTCTATTATCTAATTGACGGATCAAATAGATTTATTTTTAACTAGCATCATCCCTATTAACATAATAATAATAATATGATCATTATCTAGGCACATTATAATAAAAAACGGTAATGCAATTGTCCGATATCTATATAAAAATCCTTTATATGCTGAATTAATGTGACTGGTTATTTTAGTGCAAATTGTAATTTCGTTTTATATTTATTTATTGAAAGATTGAGAGATATTGAGATAAAGCCTTACAACTTTGCAATTTCTATTATATCTTATTCTGAATTGTTTATTGCTAAGTGAACGTCGTATTGATATGGTAGTTATTGTAAATCTAATGAGAACTACTTTAAGTACATAAATGTATATGTACATTTTGTATTAAGGGTCGATTTTTATTTGAATTAAATATTTTTAATGAATTTTCACATCGTACTTTTTGTTAATGCATTTAATGCTTATTCGACGTCCATTAATTTATATTAAACAAGATGATTTTTAAAACCTCATTAAAATCGTATTTAAATTTTAATGAAATGAAACTTACTTCTTGAATTTTGTTGAGTATTTTTAATAAGTCGGTAAACGAAATGAATATTTTGATATTATAGTACTTCGACAAATTCTTCTATACGAGTTATTTGACTTCCCTTAGTAGCTTCACTGGTTGATTCCTCATCGCCGTAAGCTTCTAAATACAATTTTTCTAAAAGCACACGAATCTGTTTGAGGAATCTTTTCAAGTTTATATGCGACAGTACACCCTGGTCGGCGACCGGAGTAAGTTTCTCTTTATCCTTTTCAGAGTTCTTGAATACATTATTCAAAATGTATGACACAGACTGTGATACCGCTTCTTCCCATTCCTGGAAATAATACTTTCTTTGTTACTCGAATTAAGAAACGCCATCTCATCATCTGTTTGAATTAAACACACGAGGAAAGGGAGAAAAATTTAAAATTAAGCAATAAAATCTGAAATATAATGCTGATGTAACCAAAACACGAAACCCAATCGATAAGCCAATGGTGACCACTAAAAATGGGCCACAGATATCTACTGCAACTCGCATGCGCTTTAACCAAATATTATTTGATGAATTTTGGTTTTGCGATAGCAGAAAAATGTAGTATATAACATTAGAAGCTGAATAGGTCAAAACATATTTTGTCGTAAATCTTTGTTTCCCTTTTGAAATACTCACTTGATATTCATCATAAAGAGAGCTTAAGCAAAGCGCCTCTTCTATGAGTTTTAGTTTGAACGGTTCCAATGGAGACTGTTTGAATACGTAGATCACCAATCGACCTATGGTTACCAAAGTGCAACTGGCTCTGTGAATACAAAACATATCGTTACGTTATACAGCTCAGGTATAATATTTCCAGTATTCAAGTTAAATACAATAAGGTAAAAGTAATGCGGCTCATTGATGTACTTACGCAGAAGGGTAAATTTCGAAACGCGTTAAATGTCGGCCAAGAAAAATAATAGGAATGATGACTGGGCAAAAAAGAAAGGATTCAATTTAGTCAGTCAGTCAGATTATGAGAAAATATTAATTTGTTACGTCACAACTACGTAGAAAATCTTGTACATTTTCTACGTAGTTTGTGTGACGTCGTCAACTCTATTTATTGATTACAAAAAATATATATATTGTTTTTTGTGTAATATTATATAATACGTGTTTAATATTCTTCATTAATGTACCTAACTGACAAAATAAAAATTAATCATTAGCCCTATTCAATTACACGCCATTGGGTGAGTCTGTCCTCCGCCTAGTGTGAGTGAGACGGACTCCTAGCGCGTTACGTTGTTTATCTTATGATTCAATAATTATTCAAACGAAATATCGGTTTGAACTTACTGTAATCGTTTATCCCGTTAAACAATACAATTTCTACGAAAACCAAAGAAATAAATATACAGTCAAACTACATGCAAAAAACTTTTTTTCTAACGTCACTGAAAATATCCACAAAAATTACTTAATATAATTAAAAATTAATTACTTAATTGTTGCAAATGGTAACACTGAATATGGATGTGTATGTGAATTGTACCATGTAAAATTACTTCAAACCTGCATATATTTTCTCTACACTCGATGATTTTGTGAACCAATGTAACCAGTCGTGTGTGTGTATCCCTCATGAGAAATTCTAGAGAATCGCAATTACCAGGCGGCAGTGACCCATACTGAACCAGTAGCCTTTTTTGTACCAATGTGAATTGTTTTTGTAGGATATTCAATTCATTCTACAAAAAAAAATTACATTTTATTTTCACTTAGCCTATTATATAAATTTTTCAATGGAACAGAAGAAGATATTTGAATAAGACTACCTTACAATGTAATAAGAACGTTGTTGATAACTAACTATCTTTCTACCGTAAAAGTCGGACGAATTGACATGAACTCTTAAATCTCGTATCATACTCCCCGCACGATACTGTCCCGCCGTCGCTATACCAGCTCTGGGGGCCAATTCTACTAAATAAATTTTGTTTAAATCGAATCGAAAACGGATCGAAACCGAACGAAACTATAGTTTTTAATGGTTTTTCTATTCTACTAAGTGACATACGATACAATTCCAGCTAAAAAAGAACTGAAAATATATAGTATGTCACTTTACGAATTTTGTTAATTGTTTTGTTTTTTCTTGAGATAAAATTAATTATCAAATTATGATTTATTGATTTAGTTTGAAATTGATAAAAAACTTTTCTGCACGCTGTTATTTGCATAAACATCATTCTAGTTAGGTGTCATGATTCGTACGACTTGTATGTATACTTACTTCTAAAGCTTTGAGTGTACTCCTGTCTTTAGCGTGTACTTCGACACATTTTAAAAACTTGTAGGTTATTTGCTTAAAAATTTCTTTATTCAATTTAATCTGAAGTTGAAAATCATTTTTGCCCGCCACACTAGTAGCGTAATTTGAAAGTTTTAATATTAAATATTCTAATATCACAACCATTTCTGAGAAATCGTCCGCTTGTAAGCAATACAAGTCATTATCAGCTATTAGTGTCACAGTCTTTTTTGATGATCGGTATGCTAATGTGACCTTCTCTGCAGAATTTCCCAAACTGAATAAATTCTCTTCTGAGAAATCTAAAATTTACAATATGAATATTACCAACTTGTTGAACTATCACCACGCCATTAAACAAAAAGTCTACATTTGTCTTAACCTCTCCAGAACTACCAGTCTCTCCATTGTGAGAACACAAGTAATAAGTTTATCAGATGATCATTAAATTGCTATTTATGAAGTCTATTTTTAAATACTGTGTAAGTAAACTAAGCTAGAAACTGGTTGGTTCCAGATGAATCTAAAGTTCCAAACATCTACAAAGTTGACGTATTTTCTACTTTAGACGAGTATAACATGATTTTATTCTCGTCTAAAGTAGACCAGTACTTTTAAGTAACGGTAAGTACTTTTGAGTAACAGCCTGATAGATGATAACTAAGTGGCTGGATTATAAAGAATTTGTCAACGCCAAAACTCGTAGGTACCTTACCTGAAAATATTTTACTTAAATTGATATTGACGAGATTCGTGTGAACATAAATTTTTAAAAGTTTCGCTGTATCAAGATTCGCAGGTAAACAATACAAACTTATAGGCAATACAACTTTCTTTTCCAAAACAACAATCTTTTTCATATTATCAGTAATTGTAAACACAATATCAACGTTAGTATCAGCGATTTCAGTGTCATTCGTAAGAAAAACTTGAGATTCTATAATTTCTGTGCCGTTTATACTGTCTAATGAGATCACGGATTCTGAGCAAGTAAATGGGCGTTGACAGGAATAAGTGATTTGTATATTTTGAATCATATTTGGGTCTTCACAAAACAACGTAACGACCACTGGACATATAACTAAATGTAATGCTTCTTCATTGTCTTTGGCATGTTCTTGATATAAATGTTGAGTTGGCTTTCCTACTTCAGCTTTTATTTTTATCGATTGAGCAACTCCGACTGTGAGATTATCCACTTCTGTAATATAAAAAGAAAAGGTTAATACAGTTCACTAAACTCTGTCAAATATATGGCCTTGGCTTACCTCCCTTGCTCTCTAAGACTGATTGTAGCTCCTCCTCAACAGCTTCTAATTCAGCCTGCACCTGCTCTGGGTCTAGAGTTTCGTTTATCATAGGAGCGGCATTTGAATTAAGATCAGGTTCTGTACCTATATAACTTACGCTAATAATACCTTTGGCTGATAGCGTTAATAAGCCTCCTGGCAAAGATTTCAAGAAACATCTTGATAAGAATATGGCTGTATCTAGAAGACCGCATGACCATAGTAAAGTTGTTCCTTCATAAATATATAATTTGGCATCATCTGATGCTACCATCACTAATAATCTGGATGTCGGTTCTGTAAATACAACAAGGCAAACTTATTCCATTCACTGAATACTTTTGCTTAAAGATTTTGTGTGATACTTACCATAATACCAACCAATCAGGTAAGCGCAGAAACAAACGGGCATAAACTCAAACTTGATCATATATTTCATTAAACCATTGTCTTGGAAACAATAAAGATACCTCTCGCCCAATGCAACGATACTGGAAAAGTTTGTGCTAGTCTGCAATTAAGGTTTATTTTGTTATCGATATAAATATGTTAAATGAATTTCATCTCCGGCAGCTTAGTTGCAAACCGAACCTTACAAGGTTCCTACCAGTAGGTAGGTCGGCACTCTACCACGTGGATTAGGTCCTGAATGATCTGTCACTAAACCAATAATAGTCTAAGACAGGGGTCGGCAACCTGCGGCTCGCGAGCCACATGCGGCTCTTTGGAGGGGAAGCTGCGGCTCTTTAGTTCCGAACACAAATATTATCTATTTTATAAAAAAAAAACATTTTAAAACTTTCTGAATCGATTAACAAAGATTCAGCACCACTTCTATCTCTCAGCCACATAGTCTTTGCTTGTACCCGCTTTTCACGGCACCCCTCGACCGCGCCCGCGATTCGCGCCGTCGTCCATCACTGTTGTCTGTTTAGTAAAGATTATTTTTTTTACTTAAATAACTATGCAAAGCCAAAGTTTCTATTGAGTTTTTTGCTCAGATATATGTTATGTTCGTTTTTATTTTTTTTATTACAAGTTACATTGTTTGGTAAAGTTTAAATTTTAATATTAAATATCCAGGCAAAGCCGATTGAATTTCCTTGCTCATCATTATGATTGTTGCTGCCGCGACTAGACTGAGCTCGCAACCTCGCGCGGCATGCGCCGCCGCCCCGCTCGGTAAGTGTGAACTACTGCGGGCACGTTGGCCCGAGGCATAGCAAGCGTCCGCCTCGCCCGAGGCAGTCCACAGTCACCACACCGACCGAGCGGTTCGGCGCATGCCGCGCGAGGCGGGCCTCGCCTAAAGGTGCGCGCTCAGTCTGGACGAGGCTATTGAAGTACAAATTAGTGTTGTAACTTTGTAACTAAATGTTTAATTGTTTTATTTTTTTACTTGAATTATAAATAATTATTAATACCATAAATATGTTTAATTTTTTATGAAAAAAACTACTCATATATGAATAAATAAATATTATTTTGTCTTATAAATAAACAGATTAAAATTACTTTATTTATGCAAGTACTATTGATTGTGATTGAATCACCATGATTGACCGAAAGTAGTCGATTCCGTGCATCGGGGGGCACGTTAAGCCGTCGGTCCTGCGCCTGATCTCTCACCGGTCGTGTCGGTCAACCGTCCCATCAGATATAGAGAGTGGAAGGAAGAGACAGTGAACTCTAAGAATGCGAAACCTAGTAAGAACAATAAGCAAAGTCCTGCGCAGTAAGTCGATTGCAGTGAGAGTAGGACTACATTACTTATTTATTGTAGGCATAAAAACATTTTGTGGCTCTTTAAAAACTAAAAAATGTTATAAATTGTAACTTTTGGCTCTTTTGACTCAAAAGGTTGCCGACCCCTGGTCTAAGACATAACAAAAATGTGCAAGAATTTTCTAAAGCTTAGTTTTTTAGTATCTAAGGTATGAGGTATACATCACTCAGTACCCAGTGCGGAGGTTAGGTGCCGGAACACCTTCGAATTTGCAACAACTTCTGACGAGCCGCCGCGTTCCACGAATTTGTAGTATATTCTGATTAACGTAATAAGAGTGCTTTGGCTTCTTAGTTTCTAAAAGCTAGAGCAATGGACCTATGTGATATAGTTATTTATATTATTAGTCGAAAAAATTATATATGTGGAAATTTAAATCAAATTTCTGGGGCCGCTAAGAACTGTAATAAACAGAATGTTCCTACCAAAAATTTGATAAATCAGTGTCCATTATAAATATTTTCGACATAGTATTTGGTAAGTAGCAGTTTAAGGTTGGAGACTAAATTACTGTGAAAATATAGAAGAAAATTTGTTTATAATATTAAAGGTTGCATGTTCGGTTACCACAATATTTCAGCAACTGATTTTGAACTCGTAACTTCAATGCAGTAAAATTTAAGATTAAGTTGATAAAGACGCATTTTTATAACCTGTTGTGCTATTGACTGTATATTAGCATTATGTTTTAATACCTGTATGACTTGGACTGACGAAATTTCCTCTCCTGGATTATAAGACCACTGCGGTATGTTCTTTTTATTTTGACGCAAATTAACTTCGCTGAATTCCCTTAGCTGTTGGTAACTGTGAATTTATATCAAGATAAAATAATAATCATTAAACAAATATACACGTAAAATACAAACGTTTACAATATGTAATTGAACACCTGTAGATTTCTAATATCCAAGTAGATTTACTGATTACAAATGAATCGCAACTAGAAATGTAACACACTGGCCCTGGGATTATCACATCGTCAAATATGCACATAAACAAAAATGATTCTTGATCGAAGAAACTTAGACTGCCGTCTAAGCCTTGAATGCATATTAGATCTCTCGTTTTTATCTTACCAAATCGTCCACAAGATAAACTATATGCCTTCCTAGTGAACGTGTGTTTCACTGTCATTTTGAGCAAGTTTTGATCGCCTGTAACAAATAATTTTGATTTGTATAAAAATTATTCTCTCCCATACACATTGGTGTCTGAATTTTGGATGAGTGTGAACGATTTTGAGCTGCCGGCATCCCTAGACTGGTCAATATAGAAAAAGATTTTTTTGTATTATCTCTGGTCTTATGTTGTGTTACCGTCATTTTTCAAAGTTCCATAATACAAGGGCTATTTAGCTATTTAAATTGGCATCTGAGCAATGTATGTGATGTCGTCTTACAATACAACATTCTTAATTTTTACATTACACAATTGATTGATACAAACTTAGAGTAAATTAACACTATTATATAACAATTGGCAGCCAAATAAGGCGATAGCTTAAAGCGATTTCTTCCAGGCAACCAGTGCATTGAGAAAAATAACATTAATTATGAAGATGTGGGTGAAGGTGTTATGCTGTCTTATATTTATTTATTTAGTATTATGGCCTAGTATTACAATTAGCTCATCGTGAATTGCTTTTTATTGGTGCTTTTTATCAGCACTCACTTATAATAATATGTAAATATTTAGGCATTAGTATCTAAACCGTTTGGGTTCATAACCATTGGATTTATATCAGTGTGAAAATTTATAATAAGAATACCTGCATTTATATGTCCCTCTTTTTTTTCAAGCTGATATATCACATATTTCAACGGATGTAAGACTATAATTTGTCGATCTGTAGATCCCCTGAAATGAAATAATATTAAAATATGGGTGCTCTATGTCAGCGAATATATTGGTTACATTTTGACATATGATCGGAGTTTAAGTAAAATATGTTGCTTATGTTATTAATTATATGAATAAACAGTAGCACATTGCATGATAATTATGTTATATTTTAGAGGTCCGTTTAAATATTTAAGTTTTCAAAAGAGTTCAATTGTGAAAACAAAAATGAGTATGGCCGTTATTGAGAAATTCACAGAAGAACTTAATTGCTGAAATGTTATTGCTACTAATCATCTTGATACGTATATCTAGTTCCAACAAATCATAATATAATTTTTGGGTTTGTTTAATTGCAATAATAAGTATGCTCACGTAATAAATTTGCCCGTTCCAATTTGTATGATAACATCATCTAGTTTAGTTTCTAATAATGTGTCCGAAACCTCTTGATTCGGACTCGGCTTATAAATTTTTAATAAGAACTCTTCCGCGATAATAATACAATCACTGTCTGTATGAGAATCGAACTTATCAACTTTAAGACATCCTAGACCTTGAGTCCCAGTCTTAGGAGTGGTTTCTTGTAATTTATCATTTGACCACCATTGTTTTACTTTGAATAAAGACATTTCAAATATTTTACTAAAATGTAAACTTAAATTTTGTTCTTTTCACTACACCAATGTATCGTATAAATACGATAGTTTGTACCTCTATGGTTACTATAGCAACCCATGGTCCTACTTTACAAAATTAACTTATCAACTTTATTTTAGTAACAGATAGATACTAATGATTATTATGTAATGTTTGCTACTTATGAAATGATCTGTGCTTTAACACAAGCTGTGGATAAAATGTTGGACCCAAAATGTTACCTTGTGGTACAATTTTTTTTTTTTTTTGTTGCAGAACCTGTAAATATATTTAGTCAGATATTCTGGCCTAGATTGTTTTGATTGCGAGATTGTTTCCTAAGGACCCGTTGTTCTGCTAACTATGGAAAAGGGTCTGTCTCACTCAACTTCTACATTAACATCGGCACAACTTCTCGTAACTTTTTTAACTTTGAAATATTTATTTGATGTCATCATAATATGACTTCTATGTAGGTATATATTGCTGCCAACTGGGTAAAACAGCTATATCATCGGACCCTTTAAACTTTCAAGAGGACTGTTAATTTAAATGCTGTCTCAACAATTTAAATTATGGCGATTACAGAAGAACTCTTTTGTTTTCTGTGGCAACTACCACTACTGGCCACGATAGATAGTTGGGATGTCTACAGTTTTCTTTCGTTTCTTATTTGGTAGAATTTATTTTATTACTAAAATCGATTGTTTACAAAAATCACTTGAGCTTTTAGATACCATAGTACACACACACACACACATAGTGAAATTTCAGCTGATTCCGGGAATAAATACCTACGCCGCATTGGAGCGATAAGTTTTCCTTCTTTTTATTACTATATATTACACTCTGAAAAGTATTTTAGTCTGTTAGGACTCGTTCTGAATGCTTTATTATTGAATTTTATGGTATAAAAAATCCTCATTCATGTGAAAGTTTCGAAATTGTGGTCATATTTTCCAATTCAGTAATAATATATATTTATTTAAATATGAATTTTAATGACCTGACAACTGCCGTAACAAAAAAAAAACACTCTAATTTGTACACATTTCTAATTGACTTGATCTCGTGATTATAACAATAAAATATTATTGTTACTTTTCAATGTAAGAATAATATTTTATTGTATAATATTAAAGAGACCAAGTATGCTTTCAAAAATAGATCATACAGTTGGCAAAAAAATGCACAGACTGAGCTGATTGACATTTCTATAAAATATAGATTGTTTTTGATTTCAAACTACAAATTTTTATAATATACAGATATTCTAAAAATATGCTATATGCAGGCTCGGGTCTTGCCCAGAAAGAATCTATTCACTAGCTTGCCCAGAAGGAACCTATTCATTCTTGCCTTAAATAGATTTGGGTTTGGGGATATTGAAAGTTCATTTGATTGATACACTTATTTATTGTAAATTAGAAATATCGTATTAACATCATATCGTTTATTCATGTTAAGTAATTGCTATTTTGGTATATCGATAATTTTTGCTCTACTATATAAACACAAAAATATGGGCTGCCTGCTTTCCCTTTAGGCATCTATAAGGTGGCTACGAACGAACAAACCTACATAGGCTTCTTTCATCGGTTGTTTTTAAGTCGATTGAGTCTAAAGCTAGATTACTCTTTGGTCTTAAGACGTTAGCTTTTTGCCATCATTGTTGGTAAAGCCATACGTAGTCTGTGGTAGTATCGCCTTACTAGTCTGTGGTAAAGCCAGATGTGGTTTGTTGTCTCGTGTGATTAACACAATTTATATGTGTTTTCATTTGAACAGTTTCAATCGAATCTTTTCAATAACATAGAAATCGACAAATAATAAAATAAACAATTCGTAGTGTATATTTTAATTGTCCTTCCAAGATGTCCGACGAAGAACATCAAGAAAACAATGGTGCTGCACCAGAAGAACAAAGAAAAAACGGCGGTGGAGATGAGGGCGACGCATGGGGTGCTCAAGGGTCTTCAGATAAGACTCGCTACGCTAAAATGCCTACAGACAGGAATGCCCCATATTACAACATGAATCATAAGAACCGCGGTATGGCGTTAATTTTCAACCACGAACATTTCGACATCCACAGTCTAAAATCTCGTACAGGCACAAACGTAGACAGTGACAATTTGTCTAAAGTTCTCAAAGGCCTGGGATTCCGTGTCACCGTTTTTCATAATCTCAAATCTGAAGAAATTAACAAGTATATCCAACAGACTGCCGACATGGATCATTCTGATTCGGATTGTTTGCTGATTGCCGTTCTTACTCATGGTGAAATGGGTATGTTATATGCTAAGGATACCCACTACAAACCAGACAATTTGTGGTATTACTTTACTGCCGATAAATGTCCTTCTTTAGCAGGCAAACCAAAACTATTTTTCATTCAAGCTTGTCAAGGTGACAAATTGGATGGTGGAATTACTCTGATCAACCGTACTGAAACCGATGGATCGTCTAGCACTCAGTATAGGATTCCTGTTCATGCTGACTTCTTGATAGTATTTTCTACAGTACCTGGATACTTTTCTTGGAGGAATACAACTCGAGGTTCTTGGTTTATGCAAGCTCTCTGTGATGAACTACGCTACTCAGGCACTGAGAGGGACATACTCACACTTTTGACATTTGTTTGTCAAAAAGTAGCTTTAGATTATGAGTCAAACACTCCTGACATGCTCACCATGCATCAACAAAAGCAAGTTCCTTGTTTGACTAGTATGCTTACACGTTTACTTGTATTTGGAAGGAAATAATTGATTTCTGCAATTCTTACCTTTTATGTTTTACCTATTTCCAGGTATAGATATTTTAAATTGCTAATATGGTAAACCAAGTTGGCTCCATTAAAATGTACATCTACTTCTATCAACCAACAAAAGTTTATACATTAACTATAATAACAACATAATAAGCATAAATTTGTTGTCACAATTCACTATGAGATTATAATTAAGCATGAACTGGTTTCGTATATACAGAGTTATTGGTCTGTTGTCGATTGCTGAATATTTGTGTACAAGCAATTTAAGCATGAAATATGAAAAAGTTCAGTCCATAAACACTCATGAATTTCTTTTTATATGTTGTTTTAGATGATGGATATATGATTTCTTTAATTTTATATTCTATTGTTTTTTTTAATGTCCAGGTTTCTAATGGGCTGTGTACCACCAATGAAAATGTGATTATCGTTACTTATCACATGCACAAAACTAGTTATATCTATTGAATATATATTATATAGACTAAGTAGTTTATTCAACAAAACAAGCTCAAATAATGTTTTGCTAGTGATAACTGCCATAAAATTATCCTCTATGCCAATTTCTAGAATGATTATAGACCGTTTTTTTATGACGTAATTTTATTTTAACTAATTACAACAATCTCTTCTCTACATTATAGTACTTAATTAACTACAAAAACATGAACAAAATATAGTTTTAATTAATTTTTATTGTTTTTGTTTAAATTATGACATCAGCTCTATAATAATAGAAACTTTTTTAATTTCAAATCAAATAATTTGAATGTTATATTTACATTACATATCATCTATCTAATATGAAGTTTATATTTAAAACAAATATTTGCAGCTCCTGAATTTTATATCATTGTCAATGTATATGCATATTTCGAAATTTGAGCAAAATTATCAAGAAACAAATTATCCAAAATGTTTAATACTATAAAAAATATTGATGTTCTATTTAGAACTCAAAATTCTATTGCTTCTATATCTCTAACTGATTAATTGTAATTATATGTAAGGTCCAAGCAAAACTATGAATAAGTTATTGTTTGGTTAGGCTTATTTTGTTTTGTTTTTCAGTTTATAAAGTAATTTCCTAGTTTAATATTTGAAACAGCCTGTGCTAATTCTGAACTTGTAATTTCTCATCTTAGTGGCATTTACATTTGGTTAGTGATACTTGGAAATATAAACTGCCAGTGTAGAAATAAATTTTCTTGTGTTCTTAAATAAATAAGAATTATAATTATATAGGATAACCATAACATAATAATTACATCGAAATTTTGTGTAGACAAATCTAATATTACCCGTTCAATATAATTTATACCTGTTTGTGCCATAATGGACATTTATAAATTTACTGTATTCAATTGGTTTCACTTGAATAATATTGTTTGTTTTAAATTATTATCAAAGTAATATTTTTTGTTGGATTGAAAAAGTTAATGCTTCAATGATTCTGAAATTTCTAAAATGGCATTTTATGGGTCTGTCTTAGATTAATGAAGGTGATAATCTGACTGATTTTAAATAGATTAGTAAGCATTCCAAATATCTGTGAGGAATTATTAAAAATAGCACAAATATGTAGTGTATATGTGTGTTTTAAAAATTGTGCCTTGAACTTGCAGTATTTTAAAAAAATTTAGGTACTATATAAAATTATTGTATGAATAAAGTCAAAAATAATTTCCTCATAGATCTTGGATGGAGAGAGATGAATGTATTGGTAACAAACTTATTTTTATAAATTTGTGTGAGCAATAAACCATTTCTTCCAATGTCTTTGTTTTAACTAAACTAACACTCAATAAAACAGATTTTTAAGTATAAATTACAAAAATTTATTAATTATAATAATTTATAGATAATTGATAGGAAGGGTTAATTTGACTTAATAACTATTCAACAACTGAGACCATTTGCTTGCTCTTGCAACTCCCAACATTGATCCCAAAACTGACTTAGCCTCTGTTCTTGGTTTGCGCAAAACAATTTAAAGTCTCGTAACATTCTCATTTGAAACTGTTCATCTCCTGTCGCTTGTGACCATTTCCATTTCTTTGATATCATATGATTCCAAGACCACAAGAAGCCCATCTGAATAAAAATTTTAATTTAGTAAAAAATAATTGAAAATGCCAATATCCTACAATGTAAATAAGACCACTACAATTGAATTTAATTTTTAATATATTTGATTTTAAGTGTAAATTTTTTTGTTACCTTTTGATGTACCAACAATAATACCGCACATCAAGTAGGTTAAGTTCAAATCATGATAATAATTAAAATTTATTGATAGATAGTGCGTCCTTCAAATGTGGAATGGTAATTAACATGTTAACGTTTGATAAGTTTGTTGTGGTACATTTTACAACAGTAGTACATACCCTCCGACTGTTATCATAGTCGTCCTTGTTTTTTCCGCTCACGTGCCGTGTGATATAGCCTTCGTGTGGGCTAGGAGCAGCTTCAGAATGCACTGGATATCTAAAACATAAGATATAAACAATTTCAAACTGTAAAATATTGTTTGGAAATGTAAATTCACACTTATCTGTTTAAAAAAGGTATTTTTTTTTAAGAAGAAATAACATACATATAATGGCTAATGAAAAGGAAATAACAAATTTAGTAAGTCCCATTGACGTAATAGCTAGGCGTATTCTCATGGTCATTGTAACAAAAAAGAAAACCTCGACACGAATTTGCCGCGTCACATCGTTGAGTTGACTTGTTTGAAATTATCACACTACGTAATAGTCTTGTTATAAGCTTTACTCAACTTCATATAAGTATGGAAAAATCTTGAGCCACCAGTTTCGATTAAGAGAATTAACGAAACAACCATATTAAGTTTGGGAATCGTGTGATTTTTCTTGTCAAGGACTTTGATCAAGATAATGTGTGTGGTCTGATGAGGGAACTGGAAGATGCCTATGGGAACTTTATACTTTAATAATCCAATCAAAACACGACGGGAGTTACGGCTCATTTAATTTGTCACACAAAACCTTGTAGGGTGGTGGGTAACCACCCAGGAGAGATATTTATTTATAGTCCTTTAGAACCTTATTACTTACTCACCTGCTTGCATTTAAAGGTTTGATAGTGGGTTTCGTACGTAGAGCCTTCTGCTCAGACTTGACAGTGGTAGGTATTAGTATAAACATGTTGCCAGTGACGTGTACATAGAGGTGGTCACCCACACCGGCCGCATGGGATGTACTCTCTACTGTACACTTTATAAAACCAAAACGGCCAACGATAGCCTCTTGAAACAGGAACAGTCGTTCCAGCCAAGTTTCTTCGGGGAAACCTGTGTAAAAATATGCTAAATTCAATACAAGAGTGATTGACGGCTTTTTCCATACCAAAAACAAGTAAAAAAATCACGTTTGTTGTATGGTTATATCACCCTTAAATATTTATTTTATTCTGGTTTTCAGTATTTGTTGTTGAAGCGGCAACAAAAATTATATAATCTATACTAATATTATAAAGCTGAAGAGTTTGTTTGTTTGTTTGAACGCGCTAATCTCAGGAACTACTGGTTCGAATTGAAAAATTATTTCTGTGTTGAATAGACCATTAATCGAGGAAGGCTATATAACATCGCTGCAACTATTAGTAGCGAAGAAATAATGGAAAACGCGGACGAAGTCGCTGGCGGCCACTAGTTATGAATAATTTCAACTGTCTTAACTTTCACGGTTCATGACATACAGCCTGGTAGACAGACAGCGAAGTCTTAGTAATAAGGTTCTCATTTTACTAAGGGTCCCTAAAAACGACGATGGACTATAGATAGGACCATCCACGAAGACACCCCATTTTCCTTTTAAAGACTTGTGCAGTCGTTGGATTTTCTTATAGGTCCTTTACTACTGTAATCATGTACAACTCTCAACTGACGATAACTTCGAATTGTATCCCGCGATATTTTAGGAAAAAAATTGGGGGCGCGCATCATCGTGTATGACACTATTTAGATTTAATAAACTTTTGACTATTTTTAATTTGAGGTTTTGGTATAGGAAGTTGCTTTACTTAATTAGCACTACGATTTATGTCAAAGGGCTCCTAAATCGCTTTATGACGGTTATCAGTTGTCCATAAAATATTTGATTAAACAGGAACCAATACCACGGTTACATCGTGGTAATAGGGTATTTGGAACTATTAAAAATAAGTTACAACAGGTTCTGTTTACCGGCATGTAACGTCACAAGTAAACAGGAAGCTGTCATGTTAAGAGTATTAATAAGTATAAACAAAATCTGTATTTATACATACAATTTGTAGCTCATTATTATAAACAAAACCAGAGTAAATTAGACATATGAAATTAAACTTAAATTTCTCTTCTGTAGTATTATTTGATTACTTGGTGAATAAATAGTTGATAAATAGGTTATGTCGCCTTGACATATTAACCGGCATGTGACATCACAAATTGATTTGACGACCTACGTAGCCGAGTGGTTCGCACGCCGGTTTCAAGGTGTTACCATCTCTGTGGTCCCGGGTTCGATTCTCGGTCGGGTCAATGTAGAGAATGAACTTTTCTATATTTTCTCGGGTCTGGGTGTTGTCGTACCTTCGTTGTCTCAGATACTCCATAATACGGGGGCTTGAGCTTACTCATCTTGGAATCTGAGCAATGTATCCGATGTTGTTATATATTTAAATACTACGTAATCAGCGCCATTATATAGAGCAGCGTTTTTTGGGCGATTTTGGCTATTTAAACTTTAATAATTATTTTCATCAAAAATAGAACAGATTCTCATGAAATATATGATGTATCAAACAACCGTTTAAAATAATTTTCAGGAAAGCGTCAAATACTCTATTCAATCAACTGAGTTTATAGAATTTTATTTCTAAAGCCGACCCATTATTTTATCAATATACGGAGTTATCAATACGCAATAAGTGATGCTACATTATATTCTATTGTATATTTAACCAATCATAGTAACCAACCAATATTTTCGTTCATATATTTATCATATTATAAGGTAAATGACCTCATGACTATACGTCAAGGATAACACAGAGCGTATGATAAATGAAAAATAGTAAACATATTAGTTTTACGATGATTATAGATTCAAGGTCATAGTATGCCATAACACGTAATGATGTTTAAATACGCGTTTAAAAGAATTATGCAAACTACAGTATGGAGTGAGTTGGCTATCATCATTGTCGTCATACAAAAAAAAAAAAACTTGTTTCTACAAATGCCTTCTTTTAAATGGTATGTTACTCAAATTGTTGCAATACTTGGACCGATTTCTACCATCATATATCATACCTCTTTTCTATACTTTTATCATAAATATTTCTCAAAGCTGTCTCTCCATTTTAAAATTGTGCCATTCTCCATAACTATTTCTTTATGTTTCTGAGTAATAAAGGTTTTTATCTATATCGTCGTGCTAAATCTCTTGCAGGGTAGGCAAAGACGATCGAGTACCGAAAGGTACACACATATTTCCTTGTCTTTAATTTACTCGTCAGCCGTTTTCCTGCCTTCACCCGCGTAAATTAATGAGTCTGTCGATTACATATCGAATATAAAGTATTTTGTGTTAATAATGAGTTAGTTCGCATTGTTGAACTAGATGACACGAGGTTTCTGCATCGCGTAAACGTTATGTGTTAAAAGATTAGATATTATACCTCCAATACATTTTTATAATTACTAAATTGTTTTTTTTTTATCTGTATCTTTTGTTTGATTTCACATGATTCACTTAAAACATTGAAAAAAGCCTATGTATGATACCGCGTATGATATAGCTTCCCGTTGGAGAAAGAACATGGGGTCGATGGTGACTAAAACCAATCCTATACAGTCCACAGACCATTTCTTTTACCAATTAATTTATTTACAGTTTAGGTTTTAAGGTGCAATGTAGAAAAATAAACGGTATTCATAGAAAGAAGACTTACCTTCAAAAAGAGAACTCTTGTTTCTCAATAAAGGCTCTTCGTTGAGTGGCACGTAGATCGGACCCCTAAGCGGATCCGATTTCAATGTGAAGGGTAAAGCGAGCGGATCCGCCGGTATTGGCACCATTTGTAGCCGACAGTTCTGCGCCTTGCGCGCCCATCCGAAAATCTAACATTGGATTGGAAGATATTTTAATAATAATCAATATATTACAGACTAGCTGTTCTGCGACTTCACCCGCCTAATTTATAGCAAATAGCAACTTCATATGTTAGCGTAGCTGAAAGAATTTTCATAATCGTATCATTATTACCGAAGATTACCCCCTTCAAACAAACAAACTTTACCTCTTCAAATAATAGTATTGATTTATGGTATTTCATCAGTTATGGTAAATTCAAGAATATATTTTTTTATAACTCAAGACTATTTTATAGATCAGATAATAAAGATAACTAAAACGCCTTCTGCAGTAATTTTTCCTTAGTTTTTACTCAAAACAACAAGTGGGGAAATTAATAGGCTGGTGATGAGTTTAGTCAAAAGAATTGAAATTTCATGACATGGTAATAAGACGATTACCTATAAGATGCAATAGATGGTCATACAATTCTAAGAAATAAACATAAATGGTGACGAGTCGCAGTGAGTACTCATAAATGAGGTTAATGACCAGCATTTGGTCAGCCGAAATCTTTGACGCGACCTTCAAAAATATGATAATATTTTTTCAAAGAAAGCATCATTTTCATTCTTGATGAAAAATGTTTAAAAATCCACTTTGTCCCTGGTGGGATTAGATGGGACTCGAACCCACGACCAACCCAGGTTAGCGATAGGTCGTGGTTTTGAATCCCATCTTAGAGAGCCAGGGACAAAGTGGATTTTTAAACATTTTCATTAAGAATATTGACGAATTATAAAAATCGTTTTCATTGTTAAAATTTAATAAAGAGGTTCACTCTTATTATACAGAGGTAAAGTTTCTAACTTTGTTTTTTTGTTTGTTTGTAGGGGATTTGTTTGTAAACACCAATTTCTCTATTCTCTCTAGACCCGTAGTGAATGACGTCATTGATTATGGTCATTATTTTGTTACCATACATATATTGTTACATATATTTTTTTTCTGGTAGTATTTAATATACTATTACCGATAATCGTATTTATATGCTTATTATATTAATAATATTGCTTAAATTAATTATGAAAAAACACATTTTCAACTCGTGACTTGTAACACATTAAGTCACGTGACCGTAAACAGCGCGTGACGTCACGCCCATCTACTCATAGCAGCGAAGCGATTCTGTAAAAATCCGAATCCGAATTCGAATTCACTCGTATCCGAATCCACTTCATTTAGTGATAAAATTCTGTTGATTCCATTATTGTATAAAATAAAAAACCAAATTAATTGATTATACGTGCATTAGATTAATTGATTATACGTGCATATACCATTTTGAAACTGACTTCACTTATGCCACGAAATTTATTATCAATTCAAGATTGAGCGGATGCCACTTTTTGAAGTTAATTCGGCACCTTAGTGAATTCGAATTCGGGTTTAGATTTTTACGGAATCGCATGGCTGAACTTAAGAGAATTATACCAGATGCTTACATAGTTTTAGAGGGGCATGGCAAAGATGGCGTTTTTACGGGAAATTTTGAAAATTAAATTTATTTTAGATTTTAAATTATTATAGGAATGACACTTTCTTATATATTTCATGTATATCTATTAAATAATAATATTTCAAAAATCTTACCAGTTCAGAGACAATGTTTCCACTGGCTACCGCCCATTGTATGCACATCTCGTACGCTTGGTCCGGCCTGAAAGTGGCCTGGTATCGAGCGTGACCCCACTCTATACGATCACTCTTGTTATTCACATCGATGTCCAAATGAGTATTCTTATATAAAGGCACTGGCAACAAATCAGATCATTTTTACTATGTTAAAAAAATAGACAACTGATCTGAGCAACGTATACGATATACATTACTCGGATTAGACAGAATGAGTGAGTAACTAAAGCCCTCGTATTATACGAACGAAGGTACAATTACGACCAGAGCCATGAATATTGAAAAGTCCATTCTCTACATTGAGCTAACCGGGACTCGAACCTGGAATTACGAGGACTGTCAAAACCATTTGTCGCGGTTTCTCGATTAGAAGCCCCAAAATTTCTATAGTTCTCAAATTATCATGTCCCTACCTACAAGATGGCTAAAAGTTATCGAACAAAATAGTACCTACACACTTTAGTTAAATGTAAGTAAACTTTATACAAATTATATTCTTAATGGAAAATGCTTAAAATATCCACTTTATCCCCGACATTCTGAGATGGGAATAAAACCTTGGACCCATATCTTCCTATTTTCGTCGAGTACTTATGAAGCACGCGTTGGCTCGAGTTTTATTAGCACTTACAGTCACTGTCGCTGTCAGCTTGCATGTAATTAGGATCTATATTATGGCACAGAAACGCTGGGACCCCAGTGTCATCTGTCTGTGGACTCGATCCGGATATATCGATGGCCCCACTCGTAGTTTCAGCGGTGAGTAGAGGTGAACGTGGTCCCAACACTTCCACTTCCATCCATTCGTTCTCGAAGCTTTGCAAATCGCCCAGCGGCTTCACGTAATCTGTCAACTCTGAAAGGATAGGGCAAACTAATCTAATGTGTACGATCAGATATTTCAGTTAACATTACGGTTGTAGACAGTAAACGGTAATAATGTTTAATATACCATTACCAGTAATCACACTTTTATGCTTATTATAGTTATAATATTGCTTAAATTAATTATGAAAAAAATGAAATATTTTTAAACTTAATGTCACGTGACCCGCAAACTTTACATGACGTCACGCTCCTCTTACTCATATTCAACCTTATGCATACATACTACGATATAAGTGTCATAGGCCAGCCGTGACGCCATGACAGAAATGGCGTATTCGCGGGAAATTTTGGAACATTATTTATTTTTAGATATTAATTTCATCTATAAAATAAAAATATAAAAAGTTGTCTACACCTCTTTTCTTATTTCAGCTGTTGGTTCATATACTTATAGCACTCGTCAAACCGAAAGAGTTTCGTACGTTGACCTTTGTGCCTACTAATAGATATCTTAAAAATGTTAGGTTCATTTTACTATGACAAAATTGGCTAGATTCATCTGTGCGAACCCAATAGCAATATGTTGGTGCACGAGTCAAAGAGTTATGTAGTGCCGGGTCATTGTACGAAATTCTCTCTGTTCAGCGACCATGTTATAATCAAATAATCTTATTTATATAAGAGCTTTCCGTCAGCCGCTTCGCCCGCGTGGGGCAATTAACAACATTTTCATCGATCATTACAGCTTATAGCCAATGCGATCTAGTAAACCTTTACATTTTCTTAGCTCATCTCAATTAAAAACGTTCCTTTATTTATATTATCTTTACTTTTTATTAGTACAACCACATCAATTTATCGCTTTGTCAGCTAGTATTGCATAGATTCAGACATGAAAACTGTATTATTTGTATGGTAGTACACTTATTTATTAAATAAGCTGTTACTTCACTTTTCACTTAAAGAAAAGATCAAGATTTTCCTATTGCCTGACAAAAGTTGAAATTAAAATATTGTATTAAAAAATACTAAAGGTTTACCTTTATCTTTCTTTTGTGGCAATATGTGGTACATATAATAACCAACTACAAAACGTTTCGTTGTATCCCCTGAAGCGTGACAAATCATTTTCTCTTGTAGCAATTTCTGAAAGCAAAAAATTGTCATAAAAAACGATTAATACTATAATTGAAAATATTCAAAGGTCTCCAGGATTATTTATGATTACAATATGAACTTAAAGAATTAGTTTTATGACAAATAAAGCTATCCTATTGCAATTTATAGTTGAAAATGTGTTCTGACAACCTGTCCAATTTATGTCTTATATAGTAGTACATTCTTAAATATTATGAATCCAAAATTTGACAAATATGTAATCACATCTTATACAGTTAATAATATTAATACCTCCATAATAGACGTGGCTTTCTCATAAGTGACTGCTTCCATGTTAGCTTGTAACCAGTGTATGGCGTAAATTGACACGAAAGCGTGTGAAGGAAGACTGACAGTCTGTTGCAGGAAACCAACTCCCAGCGTTGGGCTGCGCATGCGATCAATGATCTCTGCTAATGGCACGTTCGCTTTCAATTTAGGCTCTATTACACTGTAATAAAAATCATAATCGTATGTCAAGTAGGATAAATTTAATAATGTATATGTATCATATAAAAATGAATCGGCTGGACCGATTGCGCTAATTCTTTTTTGTTGTTTGTTATTATTAGGAGATGGTTCTTATGAAAGAAATCGATGTGGAAACTTCAAGAATATTAAGACAACGTCTGTCGGGTCGTCGGTTATAGATTAATCAATACTAGATTTATAAAAATAATAAAGTTCTATTGCTCTTGAAATTATATGAGCCCTAAATGGTGTTTGCTATGTTCAAGCTAATTATTGTATGATCTATATTGCACATTACGTGATTAGTAAATTTTTGACAAAGAAAAATGTACCGTCGACAGCGTATCGGCTTACACAAAAGACCAAAGTTCCAGTATATGTAGGTTAATTTGTTATTTTAGGTTTTTTCTTTATTTCTTGAAGGAGCTCTAGTTTATATTAATACAAAACTATATTTAAGTTTGACAATTTATTTAAAAACGATATCCATACCCATCATCGTAGGTATCTTCGCATTCTCCAGTTTGTGACTGTGTCCTCTCAAGCACAGTTTTTGCTGCCACCCTGCAATAATTTCGTAGCTATGACGGTGAACGTTCATTTTAAACGCAAATACGCATCGCACGCACAGCACGCAACGAATTGAATGGATTTGCCGGTGCTATATGCCTTCTGTATGCGGATTTTAGGTTAAAAAACAACAACGGATACAAAAGGCATATAGTATTCTAGGGTTTAGAAGAAGGGTTGCCATACACTAAGATACTTCATAATTTTAAATAAATGATAGTCTTTCTTATAAGTCTGCACTCTATTTATCTTCTTTACAATCAGATATACTCTTCCAATAATTCCATTGTATCCTGTGCGTGTATACAAAGCGGTCGTTCATCTTAATAACTCATATCTATTGTCAAATAAAATTAAAGAACTGAAGAGTGTTATGAAAAACGAGCGATGCATTTGCTAAGCTACCAAGCTAGTAAAAACACCCTAATAATTATTTTATCGAACGCAATGAATTTCTTCGATGTCAAAATGTTACTGATACCAAAAAACGCCAGGGAAAAATGATAGATAAAAAAAATATTCCCTCATAACAAAACATCAATTTACCAACATTAATTTCAATATGTATATTTGCATTTATTAGTATTAGATTTAACATATGATTATTATATAATATTTCTGTAAAATTAAGGAAAAAAAAATATATGAAACAATGTTGGTCTTTAAGCAAATTATTGTTAGAAGCATGGCATACTTACTTGTTGCATTGACTAGTATTTAGGGACTTAGTGGGTGATTGCTGCAATAAAAATCATTTAAGGATAAGAATAACAAAGCAACTGCCGGTTCATGCTTGGGGAACCATTCCGCAGTAGAGCATTTAATAGGATAATACCAAGAAATTAAGTAGAAAATAGAAATCTGGAAATAAAAAAGTTCCTCAATCAATTCGGTAAGAAAATAAAGTTAGCGAGTTCCAAATAATGATTAATACATATAAATAATACATTAAAATATTATTATGTATAAAATAATGTCATATAGGTACATATATATTAATAAATAAGGAGTTATTACAATGAAACATACACTAATCATATTAGGGGTGCGCTCAACAAAACGGTGAATAAATGTAAAGCGAACGCAAAACCGAGCTCCATGCAAGCAAAGCACCTTTTAAAAAAAAGTAAAAGACGTTTTTATATGCGTCCAACTTGTTTGATAAATAGAACCAAACACACAACCGGTAACTACTAATAAGAACACTTTACAATTCAGTCGACACATCAAAATGTCGATTCCATCCAATAGTTTTACGGAAGTGTATTGGCGCGAAAATTATTAAGCGTCAAAGTGTGACACTGACAGCTAACTAACAGGGCTGCCCGTAGTGTAATCGACAATTAGTGCTGCCAGTGACTACTACTGGCAGCGATAATCGATTTCACTACGGGTAGCCCTGTTAGACCTTTTTCCCTCTAACACTACATAATTACTATTTTATTAATATCAAAATGAACGCATATATAAACATCTGACTGTTCATTTACAAAGACTTTTTAAATATTAAAATAATTATTAGTACAACTTTAAATGTGATGGTTACAATCTTTTTTATCCCTTTATAGTAAATTATTTTCATAACACAATTATGTCATGTACACACAGCAGCACGCAAAGTTACCAGAATATATTAAATTTCCTTCTTCTTGATTTTAACTCTATCTTCAATGTATTAAAGTTTAAAATCAATAAAAGATATTTGACAGTTTTGTATAACCACAAGTGCTGTTGTTGATTTTTATATAGTAAATTGGACATCAGATCATTGTTAAGATACTAGTATAGGCATTAAGAATGCCATAATTTTAACATATAATACTTCTGACATCTTTCAAATCGGTCAAAACAGTTAGATGAAGCTATATACGGACAATATTAGAACAGCATTCAATAGTCTTTATAAATCAACAGGAGGGAAATCATTTCATGTCTGTAATGTGGTACTGACATAGCTTCGGCCCGGAGTCGTGGCCGGTCCGGCAGTCGGGTGCTGCCGACGCGCTCCCGGAACGGCGAGCTCGACACACCCGCCTGACATCACACAACACATAATTAACACTGTTGCCACAATACGATTTAATATTGCAATTATCGTCAACGGATCGCGTATAAATTTTTTTTATTTCAAAAACATAATATTCCATTTTTAGTATATTATCAGAGGATGAAGCCATAAAAACCGAAGAGCGAGTATGAAATATGAGGCTCGGTCGATTCAACTTATCGCGCAAGGGACCCAATGCGAAGGTATAGAATATAATATTTTAAAAATATATAAATATTAGTATTATTTTATTAATCCTAAACTCGTGAAACGTTGACAATTATTGCTGTCAAAAATTTTGAAATACCGACCACTTTGTAAGTTTAAGCTTTATTAAATGCTTCTAAATATTGCATGAAACATGTGCTTATTACAATTCATAAGCTTTGATAATGTACACACGACTGCACATCAGGCTACCACAATTTGTCACATTTCCTCAATTGATTTTGAGTTCTACTGACAACGCTACAAGGTTCAAAATCAAGTGGCGAAATTTCACAGCATTGTATAGCTCGACGTGCTGTTGACTGTACATATTCGCTTGGACAGTGTGCTGGTTTTGATGAGATAATTAGGTAAAGTATGAGAAAAGATGCTTTTTTTTTAAATAATTATATTTAACTGAAACTTGGATTCAGCGTCTTGCGTAAAATGCAAATATAAAATTTAATTTTCCATTTACCCTGACTCTTTATGTTAAAACAATTGTTTTTTCCCTTATATTGCGTTTTGAAATCAAATAATAAGGCCAACTATGATTGGAACCCATTATTGTGATGTGCTTACCCAATATGTAAAATAGTGTACGCACGCTATCACATACTTTTTAGCAACATAAAAAGTACAGAGCTCATGAAAAACGCAGACAATAACGGATATTGATAACTAATGATGTTGATATTTAATAAATGATGACTAGTTAAATGAATGGTCAGTGTCTCAAAACTATGAAATCAAGTCTACAACTTAAACAAAATAAGCCAGCAAACTATATATGTCACAGTATTGAAAGTGCATTCCGTGCAGTATAATTTTATAATAAGCAGTGCAAATATGTACACATTCGATAGGTAGATAGAATGCGTGTTTGTATTTTCCTCATACGATAAAGTTTGAACTGATAGGTTTTTGTCTGCCTTTTGTACATATATATCAAGTTATCACATAATGCCAAATCGGAACAAATCATTTTGAATATTACTTATCTTAAAGTCGTTCATATTTTTGGAGCTTTAATTGAATTGGAGCTTTAAAAATTGACACCTTTTTCGGGTGTTACAAAAAGCGTAGTATCCATATTATTCGTATATTAGAGGTTTAATCGTTTACACCAACTGAATCGCACAACTTTTTGTGCAGTCTGGAATATTTCTGCATAATCCTTTCCTGTTGCTTGCTTTTATAAATAAAATTATATAATTCCCCCCCCGATCATAATGCCAACAGAAATATATCTGCTGCTTTTTTTGATGTTTGCAGCAAGGTTAAGAAATTACATACAAATATGGAATATGCAGTTTTACCACTATTAATAAAAGATACATTTATTATTAAAAAAACAATACATTGAGTAGATAACTATAGTATCATAATACTTTATTCAACAAGCATTTACATAAAAATATAGTACGTAGAATACTTTGATTATTGAATGTTCAAATAAATAATATAGCGCAAATACATAGACTAAAATAATAATTAAGAACATATCTTGTATAGTGTCCAACTATAACATTAAATGTGTGACTATAACCAGTCGAGCGGTAGGAAGGATTTGGCAGAAGCAATCCTGCCTACTACATAATTGAATGGTGCGTGGGAAGGTTTTTGCAAGAAAATATTCCGGACTACGCAACTGGTTCTGTGGACCATTTGGTTCGTGAGGTACAAAAATTCATAAATGTATTGGGTGCCTAAATTATATGGTAAGAAAGACAGGACCGATTCAATCCAACAAGAATTTGTGCACTGTTTTATATAAAATTACGACTACCAGTATATTAGTATTGTGGCTCAAATAAGTTTAATTACAATTAAGTTTCGACGATTAGATAGGTAATTAATATAGCCACTCCGTGTTAATGTGTAATCGTTTAACCCTTCTTTTCAACGTAGCCAATTAAAAATAAAGTGCGCAGAATTTGGCCAAAAAATAAAATTGCAGCTTCCTCCGATAAATTGCGAACAAACGAGCAGACCGAACGAGTTAGTTTATATAGCATTAGATTGCCCGAACAATTCGACGCATATTACATATTTATCGAATATACAATAGTTGGTACTTACACGTGAATGCCTTCAAGTCCATTTCGTCTGCTGTGACTCAAATTACCGTTTAACAACCATAAAAGTGAATCAATGGTCTGTCTCATTTGATCGATGTAAAAAAATGAAAAGTGTCGATTAGGAGCGGGCGTGGAGACGGGATGTGGGAGCGGCGCGAGGATCAAACACTAAATTGCAACAACGTAGACATAACAGATAAAATTCTTCTATTAAACGACATTAAGGCATTGTCCTAATCGACCACCATCGTACGAGTAAACGATGCGATTTGGTCGTACGACGTGATTATATATAAATCTTCTTAATGAAAAATGCATTAAAAATTTGTCTCTGGTACTCTGAGATGAGATTCGAACCTACGATGTTTAAGCAATCCGGCCGACTGCTCTAACCATTGAGCTATTAAAGACTTAACAGGACTGACGAATTCTTCAAGCACTTGTTAACTTTTACGCTTCTACAGAGCGTATTTCCCCAATGTTCAGGAATTCCACCCAAACTGCCGAAATATTTTAATCTTTCGATAAAGTTAAAAATTAGTTCTAATTATTATATTTGATAAATTTTGCATTAACGATGATATACTGGAAAATATTCTTAATGAAAAAGGCCATCTGAGAGTACCAGGGACAAAATTATTTTTAGCATTTTTCATTTAGAATATTTTCCAGTATAAAATTTGTAAATGAAAAAATTATCAAATATAATATTTACAAATCTGTTTAGTGCCTCAATGGAAGTTCATATGGTATCTTGATATCTTTTTATTATTAAATTTGACACGTACGTTTTCAGCAACGGGTTGCATAACAAATGCGAAACTACGCCGCATCGTGCATTTTTTATGACATGATAAAATCGATTTGATTACTCGTACGATTGTTAGCCAATCAGAAAAGCTCCCTAACACAGAGAAATTTAAAGCGTCATGTCCACGTATAATATAATCGAGAGTCACGTGCAGCTGTCAGAGAGTTCATTCAAATGTATATGATCAATTTACTCAGACGTACGCTCTCTTCGATTGGTGTTTTAAATTTTTTTATAAATTCGATATTAGCCGTCGCATCCGTTGATGTTATAATACGATGTTTCTTCTTTAAAGACAAGTCATTCGAATAAGCCCTTGTGAATTTGGAGCTATTTCATTAGATCAGGGGTCTCCAAACTGAGGCTTTTCGTTACAACAATTAATTCCCCCTTAATGGACCTAATATTGTTTCTTACTAATTCGAAGAAATCGCATAAAAAAATATTAAATTTGACTATATTTCAAACTTAAGAACTTATTCTACTAAAAACTTAATATGTGTTTCTATATTCGATACGACACTTAAAAGTGGAATATTAAAAAAAAAAACAACACGACCACGATTACGCAAATTAAAAAACCTAACCCTTTAAAATCAAGGCAAATCCAATATATTTGTTTGTTTTCAACCATTATGTACTAAAAACGAGCAATTGCCACCTCTTTTATTGGTATGATTAATTCGTAACCTAAATTTTAGTAATAAAATTAAAATTTATCTAAGTTATAAAAATGTGAGACGACCTAAAACTTTCAATAATATTTGCATTAAATATATATGTATAATATGTAATATTGCATAAATAAATCATTTAGTATAGTTTAAGTAGTATATTTAGTTGACTTTATGCCGCCATCGTGTTTTTCTGTGCATTAAGTCCGTCTCTTGTACTAATTCAATGGTCAATAAAGTTTGTTAAATAAATAAAGTTTTTCAAATTTAATATTAACTTGTCTTAGTTGCACAGGAGGAATCGCGACCATTCTATAAAGTTTGGAGACCCCTGCATAAAATCGTCATTTGTCCGATTATTGAGCCGGGGTAATTATGTACCTGGGCGCTCCTGGTCAGTATGGAGGTGGAGTGCCGACGCCTGGTGAGAGCCGACTCCGCCGCGGCACCGCCAGCCGCGCCCACCATCTGCGGCAGCCATATTCAACAAAAATCCCACCAAGTCCGCTACTGGCATGACTACATCCTCGATACGTCCCTGTACCTCCTCCCATCAGGCCCGGATCTATGACTTTTTGTTACCGGAGAGAAAACTTCGATGGCACCCTTTCTCTACCCAAAGGATTCCCCTTAGGGATTGACATTTCCCTTAAGGATGATGACGAGGTAAAAAAAAAATAAATTCTGTTTAGTCTGTCAGTTCAATAATATTAGGTACATAGGTATTTTTTTTTCGCTTCAATTTAACAGGAAATGACTTAGATAATAGCCTTTAAAGTTAAGGAATGGGGGCTTGCTACTTCACGACTAGGTAGAAAATATACAAAGGAGTGACGTCATGCGACATATCGGCTTAATTTATTGATTACGCAACAAATAAAAAAATACGTGTTTAATATTCTTCAATAATCTACCTGACGGAAGAATAAAAAAAAATAAGTCATCGTCCCTATTTTATACTACTTACCATATTTTGACCCCACCCCTAGATCCGGGCCTGCCTCTCGTACATGTTGCCTCCGCGCGATCGGATCACCCAATAATAAAATACTGAGAACCCGTTATCTAGAGGCTTTGTTTACTTACACTAATCGGACCGTACATTCCAAACTTTTAGTTTCCCAGTCCGAATGCAGCTTTACGTGTAGTCATTGTGACGCACGCAAATCTCAACGCACCCTAACCGACCGTTTGCACGCCTACTCTAACGAAATACGAAATCACCAATATTTTTTTTATTCATTAATATTTATTAAAGTTAGTATCATGCTTACGGACTCAAACAAGAAATTAAATATAATGAACAATATCTGCAACTGAAGAAAAAAAAATATAGACCTAATTTGAATGAAGGACCATGCTCATGTCACATTACACATTCGTAAAACAATACCAGTCTAACATACTCCTTATACTCTACAACATTTGGGAGTGTATTATATCATGCATTTTATATTACTGGTGTATTAATTTCATGTTTGAGTTATATTTTTAGTAATTCTTTATTTCTTAATTACAAAAGTCAAGCTCAGGCAAACCTAAGATGTAATTTAGAGGTTTATTTGAAATATGTGCTCAAAATACATGCAGTGCGAGTATATCTACGTGCTGTACATTTATTGTGCAGATAAAACGTTCATGCTCGTATTTGTAAGTACATAGAATTCAATTTATACATACTTAATTCATAGTTATACATGAAATAAATATTATTCCTAAAAATTCTACATATTGCACCTTTTTATAGATTTAATACATAATTTCTTGATGTATGTGTAAAAAGGAAATTTATTATGTACTTGTTTACACATTAAATAACTTATAGGCTGTCAGAAAATATATTTTATAAACAGAAAAGTAATACTAATAACATATAGCAGAATATAAGCAATTTCTTAGTTTAAAAGAACAGCCTTCGAAATGTTGACAATAAATCTTATTCATTGGCGACGAAAGCGAAATTTAATTTTTAAGATTTCTCTCAACGAAATATTTGTAACTTACCCTCTGTTTATTGGGTCTTTTGACCTTATTGAAGTATAGCTCAGTCATTTTGAGGAAACCCTCGGTAAGTTGATCCAGATCTTGACGTGTTGGTGCAGGGTAAATGTCACAGTGCGTGCTCTCGTCTTCCAGAATTTGTTTGGTGGCAGGATTATATAGTGGCAGTAGAAGAGTTCGAAATCGCCAGTATTTTAATGCCTACAGATGACGAAAGGGTTAGAAAAATTGTGTATAAAGACAGATTGCCATAAATTTTATTTTCAAAAAAGATAAAAAAGAAAACTAGTCTGCCTAAGTTTTAAAGGGAACGGACATAAACCAGTAAATTGGTGGGTGGTCATTTGACGGATTTATCAATATATTTAATGCAAAGTAAGAGCTAATTTTTCTTTTATATGCCACCAATACAACTCCGAAAGGAATATAGGTAGCACGTAGGTAATATTGGAATCGTGACGCGTTAAAAGATTTGTTCAAGAGACATGAGCTATGGCAGACAAAAGGGAAACCTGACCAACGTATACATCAACGCGCAGCCAAAACTACTGTACCTAGAAACTTGAATTTTGGTACAGCGGTTCCTTTTATGATGAAAGTGAGCACTAAGGAGGACTTTTAAAAATTCAACCTCTCAGGAGGTGAAAAAGGGGAAGTTTATGTGGAACATGCGGGCGAAGCCGCTGGCGGCTATGCGGCTAATAGGACGCTTCTCATTGTATGGAGGCTGCCATGACTCTGCCAGGTAATATTTGAGCAGCCAGATAGCAATTATTCGAACGCCATATATGATCCTTTTTGTCGAAAGCTATGGACATGGAAGAACTTGTCTCATAAAAACAACGCAAAGCATCGTATTCATCTTTTTTTAGAGCAGCAATTAGGGTTGCTTGTACATACCAAGATTGGTTTTTATAAATACACGAGAGCGCTCATGGTTGCTGTGATATGTTTGTTGTTTTGGGTATCCATCCAAAGCATTTAATTTTGGATATGAGCAAAGTATGCAATGTTTTCCAATATTAATTTTTAGGGTAACGTTACCAAACGGTAAAATGGGAACCCTATTACTAACACTTCACTGTCTGTCTGTCACTGTCTGTTCATGCTTCATGAGATACACAAGCTGTAGCTCGTGAAGCGTGAAAGTTTGACATAAATTTTCATAGATCATGTATGTTTGTTGCCACTTCAACCAAATAATAGTACAAATCAGAATAAAATGTATATTTAAGAGGGTTTTCATACAATACACGATTTCTTTTTTGCTTGGTTTTGCTCAATATTGATAACGACCACAGGTAGACACTTGAAATATTTACAATATACTTTTTTGTGCTCCTTTCCGGTACGGAACTCTTCGTGTGCGAGTCCGTCTCACACTTGGTCGGTTTTAACATATATCAGTTGTCGCACACTGAAGAATTTAATAAATATATGGGAAAATAAAACTGACCTCAACTAGAGCGAAATCAGTGTCTCCTCGGGTACATATGTAGTGGTCCATGTAGTTCCAGTTGTACGTTTCCAACTTCTCTGTGGTGAATGATACCCACGACACTTCATATGTATCGTGATTGGGCGCGTGGAACCGATAACGATAGTGTATATTGAACGGTGGATAAGGATGCCTGGAAAGATCGAAACAATCATTAGGCAGTAGTAGCCATTTTTTGCACAAACTTAATTCTGACAAACTGCGTTTCATTTGAATAGCTATATAACATTTTAAGACATTTTTTAAATATTTTTATTTTATAGATATACATGAAATGTATCTTAAAAAAATATACAACGTGTAACAGAAATAACGCAGATTGTTATATACCACAATTAGAAAATGCATTTATAATCATAAAAGGAAAATTGGAATTTTACTTTTATGTACTAAAACATTGTTTGTCACACAATTATACTACTAATTGCTGTGTAACAGAGTGGACATCATACAAATGTATGTACATACAGCGCAATACCCCAATGGTACAACCTACCTACCAATAAATACAGAATAGCAAAAAAAAAATCCAAATGAAAATTAGCAATTAGGTACAAATTAGTTGGCACCATTACAGTACCTATCCCATTTCTTATTCTTATAGGAGTATACAGTCCTATTTTTATAGGAGTATAATAGTAATTTTTTTGATTACACGTGACTACAAAATAACGTTAAAAAAACAAATGAAAATTAGCAATTAGGTACAAATTAATTGACATCATTACAGTACCTTCATTAGATTGCACAAATAAGTGCATATTTATTTATTTATTTATAAATGGTACACAAACAGATGAACAGATCCTTAAGTAACTTTTAGTATACAGTAAATTTAAATATTAACTGGTGTTAATATTATAATTATAAAAATTTGTCTGATATTATTTTTTTATATTTTGAGAATTTATTATTGAAAATATCGACAGTTCCATCATTACGATTCAATTCGTTATATGTACGAGACATTCTTACGATCGGGTTATAAAAAGAGGTATTATTTTTGTAGACTCGGATTGAAAATGTGTTAGGGTAACGCGATTTATGCCTGGTATTAATGTAGACTGAAGAAAGTAACCCAGGTGAATCAATAAGCGAATGCACTGTTTTATGTAGACAGAGGAGGTCATATCTATTGCGGCGAGCTTCCAACCGAATCATACCAAATTTTGTCAACCTATCACTATAGCTATTAAATAATGGGAAGGTATATTTAAATAATAATTAATAACATAGATATCCAAAATTTTACTTTCGTTGTTTAAATTTTACTAATAGGCTTGCTTGATAGACTCTCGAATAACATACACTTAGAAGAAAACTGAAATTTAATAGTACAATAGCTTATACCTGACTTGACCCGATTTCGGAGTCAGTTACTGACGCGTAAACGCGATTATACAGATTTAACTCCATTCCGTGTGGTTGTTTATAACAATATTTCAGATGTTTTTATGCTATACAAAGGAATATGAATCACAAAACAATACCAATCATATTTGCTCACCTCGGTCTATACCTAGTCACGGTAATTGTGGAACCAACAAGGGTCAGCTTATGGAATATCCTCCCAATAGAGAGCAGATAACGCTTGGTTGGTGCAGCATTAATCAACTTGCTACTTTGCGGAGCTACCTTCGACGGAGGAGGAACACTCGTAGAGGGGCAGTTAGCTTCAATCATGTCATTTTCATTCACCCCTACTATTAACTGGAAGCCCTGGAATTAATATAAACTTTTAGGGTCGGGCCATCTTTTACATATTTTATGAAATAAAAATATCCATTTTATGAGCGTAAACTAAATCGTAGTGTATGTGTTTTGCATTAAGTTAAATCTTTAACTAAAATTTTTATTTTATTTCATTTAATTAATTTTTTTTTAATATTTACTAAAATCTTTAGCAATGACGAAGACAAAAAACTCTGGGAGGGCACTGTAGTCGTAGACAGTAATAAATAACCTCGGCAACAGATGCTAATCTTTTTGTAAAATATTTATTTTTAATATAATTTTTGTGAGTAAATACATAAATAAAAATAATTAATATTTAAATAGTCCCGGCGATGTCGAATAAAAAATGTAACATATAAGGGGAATACTAGTAAAAGCGAAATGGTGTTACGTTTTGGTAGCGTGCTTATTTTCTTAATTAACCTCGCCCTTTTTTAGTAAATAAAAACAAACGTACCTGTGCTAATCTTTGTGATACAAGTTCTTTAAAAACCTCCATGGTAGTAAGAGGTTCCTTATATATAGCTCTATTTTGTGCGAAGTCCGCATTGACATCATCAGGTAGCAAATTGTAATCGGAAACTAGATAGTCATTCTGGAGAGAGCGCTTATCTGGGAAGTAGTCAGTTGTGATGGGCAAACACGCCGGTATAGTGAGCGACTTCCAATCCACACCTATACAAAATTTTACTTCATTTAGTGCGTTACCAAATTCGAGATTTATTAATAATATTTAGAAAAGTAATTAAGTGAATAATTTGCAATTTTTTAAAAGTGAATGAAATGGTCATTGTAAAAATCATGCTCCAAATATAAACATAAAAAAAAATCAGAGTAAATCGCAATATAACTCTTTGATTTATGCATTTAGTGGAATGTGAACAAGAAAAAAATTATAAGTCATTTTTTTTGTAGCGTGAAATGATTGCAAATTTATAAGTGTCTGAGATAATATGGGGACATAGACAGGCTAATTATAATCGGGCCTTTAAGAGATTACATTTATAAGAATTCCTTAATTGTCGCTTCATTAATTTAACAAGCCAACTAAAATATTTAAGGCGCTAGACGAGTTTAATACTGGCAACTAACGATCAGAAAGATATCACGTTTCATATACTTTCAGATAACGAGGCAAACGTAGCGAGTCTATTGCGAAGAAACAGTTACGAGCTGCATAAACTAGCAACTGACAAGTTTTTACCAGTTAAGTTGCTAGTTTCAGTATTGGGCAAATGGTTTCATTTGCGCTTAAAGACTTTACTCGTACAAACGCATATTTACAAACTTTCATTTTAATTGTATACCAACTGTATAACTGTATATAAACATTTTCGTCATTGCTATAATTGGTAACTAACATCTGTAAAATGTTAACAGTTGCGTTGCGTTAATTAAAGAAGCTGCGTCCACGAAGCGCCTTTTATGGCAACACTTAAAAGAATGACTATTAAATAATGGATTATTATCAAGTGTTTGCCTGTAAACAAATTATTATAAATCATTGGTTGGAATGTACGTGACAGTTCACTGAAGGAGATACTTTCTGACCACTGTTCTATTCTAACCAAACCAAATGTTGTTTACTGTATTCTATAAGACATAAAATATGAAATTAAGTGACGGGCAAAAAGGAATTACAAAAATTTCAAAGCCTTTTTTCCTCATTGTCTTGTCACATACACTAACGAAGTCGTCGTCAAAACATTAATCTCTTATTGACCCGATGGAACATAGTAAAAAGTTTTACCCCATACCATTAAAATGAGGCATATAATTAATGCGATAATATTATTAAAAGCTTTGATAATGCGTTATTAATATTATGATAAAGAAACATTCTCATTAGCACTAACATCCAAATGCGTGTTTGTAATGCATTAGTTTGCATGCAAATTAAAAAATAATGATGAAAGAACTGTTGAGATGAAACATTGATTAATATATTAAGCATAATGTATGTTTTATAGTGTTAAAAATATATCTGCACGTTAATACCATAAATAAAAAGTTTGATTGTAATAATAGGTTGGTAACAGTCTAGGAAGCTTTCAATATACTAGTTACACAGACCCCAGTTTTGTCATTAATAACTTTAAGCCTGTGCGTTTGTTGAGACTAGACATCTTAACGATAGTACGCTTGGTACAGTTGACACTAAATTCGTGATGACACCGCCCTCATAAAATAAGATAAGCGCCACTGCCCAAATCAAATGTAACTAAATGCAAATTGTGTTCATTGGGCTTGAGAACTGCAGTTCTCAAATGTATTTATACATTTATTACTTACTGGTTTATAAAAATCACTTTGTTTGTATGCGCAATATGTGATAATTTTAAAAGGAAAATACAGATTTTTTTGGTACTTTCGTTTCGGCTGAACGGAAATTTTCAAATGCCATAACAAAGTGACAAATTTATTTTAACAAATATCCATTTATATTGTTTTATTCCATAACTACTTAAAAATAAGGGCATGGGAGTTTGTGGGAAATTTGTAAGAACAAATAATATATTTCATAACTTAGTGATTAATGAACAGTTAAAATCTAAATTAGACAAGGACAGAACTACACCCACTTATTGAAATAATAACCTAATCAAACGATAATCGCCGCGTGGTACTTTCCTACTTCAATCTCATTACATTTATTATACCTATTGAAAAGCAATTATAATACCTATGTATAACGCCGAATCCCTTGGCGATAGACAGAGAGGACCGAACGCCACAAAGAACATTGCTAACATGTCTTTCGCCACCTCAACGTTCATTCCTTAATTACTTCGTACATGCTCGCCGGTTATCATAGCTTCTGACAACAAACTCCAATAATATTAGATCAGTTTAATCTAGAAGGCAAGTCTTCGCCAAGTCCTCTCTTATTCCTTCATTAATGATGTAGTCTGTGAGCATTACCCCATTCTCATACTCATTCTACGTAACGATCACAATTCGACTGTTCATATTATTTACACGTTCCCTGTCGTACCCAGTTCTCGCTTATCGGGATTCTCTTTCTCACATTAAGACCTAAATATCGACCCGAAGCTTAGCCCCAATTGTTCATATTAAATATATACTTTAACATATCTGTAAGTTTTTCTAAAAACTGAAAAATTTAATTAAATTGATCAATAAATGCAAAGAATCTACAAAACATACTAGTTCAACTAGTATTTATTAAACTGTCACAAAAAAAAGAAAACGAAAATCATGTACCTAATATTTGTAACATAATCTTCGGCTGCAAATGAACCATATAACTGGGAGAATAAAAGCAAATTATTTACAAAATAACAAAAAAAGAACTAAATGATTCAATCTTAAACATTCGGTAAGAAATTTTAGTCACAATTTGAACACATTGGAACATATATATGCGAGTTAGTACGGTACAACTGTGTAATAAAGCAACATCGCGAAGATGCCTAGTCTATACGCAGGCTATGCGTTAACTACTCAATGCAAATCAGATGATATATCAAACCTATGGCTCGGTTCGCTTTGGTCCCCAGACGGTATCAACGGCGAGTACCATGAAACATTAAAAATGAGTCGACTGTTTAATAAGATTGATCAAATGGCTATCTGAAGTAAAATATGGTAACATTTTTTTTTCATTTTTATTATATTAGTGAAACAATATTGATAATAAATACAAATAAAACATTTTTTAAATAATACATTAATCAGTAAAGTTTTCGCTATTTATATTCGCTAAAAAAAATTAACAGTGATATTACAAATATAATTTAGTTCGAAACTTTTAGTTGCATTTTAACTTAGTTACATGAAATTTTCTTCAAATAGCCCATTGAATGGTAACATTTCAATATAAAAATGATGGACTCCGATTACCGCCAAATACCCTGTGAATTGTTTTATCTTATTTACATTTAGATGATGTAACCGCAAGATGGATTTTCTCATTTATTTATTACAAAATGAGGCTTACTTAAGCTGAAAAAGAGAATCAAGAGAAGTCACTATAAAAACAATTATTAAACCTTGTTATTGAAGAAAATGAAAATAAAGTTAGTTTATGATTTAGTTATGTAACAATTTATATGACAGCTTTATAACATCATCTGTAGAGGTGCCATATAAGCTTTGAACTTTAAAATCTCAAAAATTAAGCCACGCTTTGTAATAATCTTTACATATTGTAAACTTTATAGTTTCTATTTCAATTAATACACTATCACCATACACTCACACGGATATTAATAGCATTAATATAAATGTTTCACTGACCAGTGGTAAGGGCGGGTGTCCACTCTTGTTCTCCAGTAGCTCCCCATAGTAGCGCTAGTGACGCATTATTGGTAGTAGACGATGAATTCAAAGTTGTACTTAGGGTTGTTAATGCCCCCGAAGTGCTGATCATTCGTTTTCGACTCATAATGTTACCTGGTTATTGGAAAAATTTAAAAAGATTTAATTAGATTTTTTTTATCGAGTTTCCGATATTTCGGTGTTACAAGCGCCATGATCATGGAGTATCAGATACTCAATAAAAACACGAAACAAGGTACATGGTAGCAATCTCGTAGAAAACGATATTTCTAATAAAATAAAACACTCGATTTTGGGCAGTCATGTAAAAATTTAATACAATAAATATGGAAAACATTGTTCATTCTAAGAAAAGAAACTGGGCTGTTAACATCTACTTAAATAATAATAAATCTACTTAATGCTGTTTATATAATAGACTTCCGAAACCATTTATTTTAAATTAGATACTATAATTGGTAATTTATGGATAGTGCGCGTCAAAATATAAAAAATCAATAGATACTAATTGATGAGGCGAAATAAAAATCAGTATTATCAGTAATACTAGCTGATTTCCTGCGACATGAAAGAATTTTTAAAATCAGTTCAGTCGTTTGAGTACCTATTTGATTAATGTAATATTAAATAATATAAACTTAAGCAGATATTTATATCAAATAAACAAATATTTGAATAAAATAAGAGCTATAAATAGTTAGAATACTATTATAATTAGCTATCAACAGTTCTTACTTCACTCAAAGTCCCATCCAATAAAATATTTGCTTAAGATATGACATTTTCTCAAGTAATTACTTCTCACGACTACACGAGTGTTAGTCAGTAAAGTTTCGTCAACGCCATCTCGTAGTTTCTTACGAAAATATACTCTTAGGTAAATCCAAACTTAGGGTATGCTAAACTGGATGCCTATTGTTGTATACGTGTTATAATCGATTGGGTGTTTCATCTTTTGTATACGAATGCACCATCTACAACAGCGGCATCTGTGATTAGCTTTGACGTAATCGTAAAGTTTTATACGCACCATCCACTTGGTATATGGAATGATTGTTGTTTCCTATAGAGCCATTCTCCTTCGTACTGTTCTCCCGGATCTGTTCTGGACGTGCCGGCTCACCAGCAGGTCGAGCTTGGTAGTGATGCTGTTGGATCAGTACTCCAGTTGGTCCTGAAACAATTATTTCCTATACTGTATATTTTTAGGCATTTTTAATTAAGTGTTTTCCAGTATGATGCAAAATTGATATAATATAATAATTAGAACAAATTTTCATCTTAATCGAAAGTTTAAATATTTGTATAAATATAATAGAGCAGTCGCCTGGATTGCGAAAGTGCATGGGTTCGTGTCCCATCTCAAAGTGCCAGGGGCATAGTGGATTTTTTAAGTATTTTTAAAATAAAATATTTTTTAGTGCAGCTTTGTGAATGCAAAATTGATCAAATGTAATAAAAATATTTCTTTCGGCTGTTTGCTCCGAAAATACGCTCTATAGTAGCGAAGTGCTTGAAAAATTCGTCAGTCCTGTTAGTCCTGGGTAGCTCAGTGGTTAGAACAGTCGCCCGGATTGCGAAAAGTGGTGAATTCAAGTCCAATCTCAGAGTACCAGGGACAAAGAGGATTTTTTTGACATTTTAGACAGATTCCCAGTATGGCATTGTGAATGCAAAATTGATCAATTATAACAACTATTTCCTTTTAAGAATTCCGTACAAAAACATAAAATCGGAACCCTATTACTAAGACCCAGCTCTCTGTCTGTCACCAGTATCTCAAAAAACCGTGATAAATAGTTGAAATTTTCTTGTTGCCGCTGTAACTATAAATACTTAAAACAGAATAAAAGAAAGATTTAAGGCAAAAAAATGTGATATTTTGCTCACTCCAAACCTCCAAACCTCCGTGCGCGAAGTGGCTTTTATAATACTGCATAGTTTTAACTATATATATATTTAATTATAATAAGTTCAATAGATATATGTGAAGTATATAGATACGTATACGTTGTCAACACGTCACTACGTCAAACGCCATCATTGTGAACGCAAAAAAAAAATGCTTTTCTATAGTACAAAAATGTTCAGCAAAAGAAAACCTAAATTTTTAATATGAGATCTGAGTTTGTATAAATATTTCAATTTATATCTAACACCAAAATTCTAATATGGTCCTATGAACAGATTACAAATAAAAACAAATTTAGGTTAATTAAACTATTCGCAAGTATACGCACTTCGAATACATGGTTTCCGTTAAGATTTTGAAACAAAGCATAAGAAGAGTACATACCTTTAGGAAATATATGAGTCCAACGTCGCCTATTGCTTGTCAGTTTGACAGTTACATGTGAAGGATCGAATGGATTGATAAGCGCCCGGCCAGTCCTCATCAAAGGTTTGTGTGTAGATATGGAACTCCTCGGGGATAGACGATTACTCGCTATAGGAGAATCTGTTACGTCACTGTTGGAATCATATATGCTTGATTTATCTGAAAAATAAGTAGAGTATAATTGGAGTAATATCTAAGATTATTCTGCACCAACACAACAGACTCGAAAGTGTTCTACATAATGAAAGCTTTGCTTTATGTTCCCTACATTTCGTACTTTCGATGTCATATTAATTCATACGACTAGTAATGATAATATGTTTAAAATATCGAAAACATTGTCAATTCTAAGATATATACGTGTTTAAGTGAATTATTTTTGCTACAAAATCTTTTAAATACATCGCTGTTACCCAGATTTTTTGTATTTTGGATATGAACAATTTCCTTCTTGCAAAGCATTGATGCATTTTATAAAAATATATCTTCTCCAATTATAAAACAAATTTATATCGTTATGTTTTACAGTTTTCTTCACGCTTCACGCCACATTAAAAAAATTGTTAACAGATTGCGCTAAGTGCGGCATTCTAGCGGCAGACTACTAATATTAGTACTGGGGTAAACACACTATTTAAATGGCACTGCTCATATTTTTTGCGGCATTGTTCCATTCACTTTGGTAGACAATAAAAAGTATATCTGCTGACTCTTCCTGAATTTACAGCTTAAGAAGAAGTAGATTAGTTTATCGTTAGACAATAATACATTGAATTCCTTACTTCCATTTGTTAAGATATCACCTAGGCTGTGATGAATATCAGGGTCTGACATTTTTCTGTGTTGTAAAGCAGGTGGACTTCTTCTACTTAAACCTTCTAAGCCTGCGACTGAAGTTTTCTTAGTACGAGTTACTTTTTGGACACTGAAAAATCATGATCATATAAAAAATACATATAAAACATTCTTATAGGCGTGTTTTTTCCTAATATTAATGCAAGAGTTTACTTTAACATTCAGTTACTCTTTAACACAAAAAACTGCTGAATGGATGTTGATAAAATTTGGTATACGGATTACTTTAACCCTTAATTGACATGTAAGCTTTTTTCTTCCCACTTAACGGTTCATAATCATCAACATAAGCCCGTCCCCACTGCAGGGGCTCAGGCCTTCCTTATGGCTGGTTACGAGGATGTGCCATGACCCTACCACACTGGTCCAATGCGGATTGGATGGTATTATCAACTGCAAATGAAGCCGGGACCAACTACTTGACGTGCCTTCCCATGCTTTAACATTTGGCGACTCATCGCGGACATCCATTACGCCACCGAACTACTCTCTATTAAACCGTAAAAGGGATTATGTATGGTGAAGCCGCTGGCGGAAAGCCAGTTTATTATAAAAATGTACAGTTACCAAGTACTGTGTGCTGGTGGTAATTGAAAGACTTGACCATCATATGAATCATAGTCAAAAATTGAATTGTGCATATATTCATCTTCCTTCAATAATTTCCCTTTGTATTCGTCTTCATACATTTTCTTGAGGGGTTCTTGACTTTTCCTTGGTGGCAATTTGATTCTCGGTATAAAATTTGAGTAAGCTACTTTTTTGTTCGTGGAATAAAAAGATAAGTTAATCCAATGAGGCATAGAGTAATCATCTATAGAGTTCAGATTGTTATCTTTGTTGTGGAACTTTAATAGTGGTACAGCATGTAGGGGTTGTTCTCCAACACACACTAAGTCGCTACCAACACCATTATCAATGATTCTTTGTTTAGTGACGTTAGTTAATTCTCTGTCAACTTCAAACACACCGACGCCCGGAGTTATGACTACACTCAATTGACCAGTGCGATCAAAACATCTGTCCAGGTAATGTTTTTCAAATACTGAAAATAATCGAATATTGGTTATATATTTTAATACCATTCTAATTTCTAAAGCGACGCGTTTCGACTCGAGTCATCGCCAGGTTTTATACATTTTTGTTTACTAATTACTGTATTATACATTATTACCATATTTTTGTACATGATTATTTATCATAATAAAATATTAACGCTTCCACAAGACTACAGTGTAACAGAAACTAAAATTTTCACAATTTCTTTTTTAAATTATTTGACAGTTTTGAATAACATTTAAATATTGTAATGTAGCAAAATACAATACGTTTACCATTTAAACTCATGTTCAGTACTTCCAAGAAGTTTCCTTGAGCAGCTGTGGAATTTATGGCAGTTGGAATATCTATGTTTGGTCTCTCATGGTATTGTAAAACAATTTTTTGGTAATCGGTAAACAATCGCCTCAATTGAAGTAGCACATTTGACCAATCTTCATATCTTTCATTCTGTACTGCCACTCTGTATAAAAAGTCAGTAATATTAATCTTAATATATAAAAGTGAAAGGATTATCACGAAATCTCGGAGACTACAAGTGCTAGAATTGCAAATTTTCATGGGGGTTCTCTTTGGGACATAACTGTGCTCACAAAGACGGGATTTAGCGATATTCGACCCAAAGGAACTGTTTTTGGGATTCAGTTATGTTGTCTTGCGTCCCTATTTCTCATTCATTTTGTCCCGAGTTTTGATTAAACTCGAAAAAAAATGTGCATATCAATATATATATATTTTTATAGTAAAAGATTGTTTCTAAAGTACATATGCTTCGATTACATATGGTTCATAGTAATTGCAGAGGTGACCGCTTTTCATAAGGCATTAAAAAATAAATAGCAAATAAAAAATTAAAGATACAAAAGTCCTTTTTTTTCCCTGTAGGTTTTTGATGATAATAAGAATTTCATCAATGTTATAAAAGTAACTAATCGACACTATAAATTTGTAGCAAAGATAATTTAAATAAGACACTTCAGCAGGCCAAAGCAACCTTGATTTTCCTAGAATTTCAAGTCATAATCGGTAAATATTAATCTCAAAATCAAAATCAAAATCAAAATTTATTTATTCAATTTAGGCTTTTACAGAGCACTTGTGAAAGTCGAAAACTACGCCATCGGTTCGCAAAACTACGGCGGGAGACCTTGTACTGAGAAGAACCGGCAAGAAACTCAGCAAGGGCTATTTTTTTCTCCTGGTTTTGGTCGTCTATATTTTATTTTGAAATTATTACTTACAGTTCCATTTTTTAAATTCACTTAAGGTAGTTGAATTATGGACATATACCAATTAGTCTGGAATTTAGGTAAATTCAAACTTTTCCTATAATTAACCAGTTTGCAGACAAACAAATATGCAAGGTTTAATATTCACAACAAATAATTCTGAACACAGATTTTTTTACTGTATTGCTGCATTCAATTAAGGCCTTCATCTTCTTTAAAAAACAATACAAAGATCTAATAAACTGAAACATTACAATACCTGTAAAAATCTTCATAAAATCTGCCTCTATAGTCTTTTTGTAAACATTCCTTCATGTGTTGTGGGAATTCTTCTAATGATTTAGCTTTATAAAATGTCCTTGAAAATAAAACAATGGTGACTTCATGGTTGCTGCCATTTTTCTGTTAAATTACATTACACAATTAATTATATACATTCAAATAAATAAGTTTAGAAAATGACCAGCATCTTATTAATTCTAAAAGAAAATCACCTTCCACTTTGCAAACAAATCAGCAAGAAATCCATTTACGGCTTTTTCAAAGTACAAATCTCCATGTATATCAAAATCCCACATTTCTGAAGACATTTGAATAAACAAATAAACCATGGATGTGGAAGATCGGAATACGATCTTAGTGTCTTCCGTAATGACGCCGCATGCAACTCTATCTCCTTGCGACCACATCTCATACACTTGACATCTAATAGCTCCACCACAATATTCAATTTTCTTATTTAAATAAACACAGGTGCTGACCTACAAATATTAGTAAATAGCTGATTATTCATTTTTAGGGCTTCATTATTATTTATAGATGACCATTGTTTATAGAAAATATTTACCAAATGATTTTTTAACCTCCACATTTCAGATCTCCCCATGTACTGATCTTTGAAAGTGAGTTCCACAGAGTCCAAGGCCACATCAGCCACGTTGACGATATTGACATAAACATCAGAAAATGTTCTAAGCTGAAATGTTGTGGCAATGCTGTGCTCAACACTAATAGTGTCTGAAAATATTATGTTCAATAAATAAATTAATTATAACCATGGAAATAGACAGGTCTATCTTTAATAATGAACATAAACAATAGTATAATATTAAACTAATTATTAATAAAAGTTTATTTACAACCAAACATACAATACACTGAATCAAGTTCAAATGCCAATTGATATTGAAAAAAAAAAATCTTATAATATTCCTAAAAAAATTTTGTTAAATGTAATCAAATAGGGTTATCTTTCAAATTATTATTATATATTTCTTTATTTATATTTATATATATTTGTTTATGTCTAATGCTTGTTGAAAAAAGATAATATTATTTATTTAATACTATTGACATGACATAATAAAAGAAGACCTTTGTTTGGAGCATAGAGTAATAAATAAGACAACAAAGCATTATTTAATGAGAAAAACTAATAACAAAGGAAACTGCTATGACAATAACACTTAAAAAAGATAACTGTCACAAAAATATATTTGTCTTTGTGCACTAATGTACTTCTTCAAAATTATCAAAAAGACAGTTTGAGAATATGTAAAATATTGATATTATTATTAATGTAAATTTTATATTTACAATGCAATTGATATTTGTATTAAAAATTCTTGAAAAGGAAACCATCCAGCCTATATGTTTAAACTATGAATTGTCTTGTAAAGTAGCAGTATTTTTGTTTACTTATGCGTTTGTTACATATTTGTATCAATCACCATGAAAAAAACATTACGCATAATTACCTCTTCCTCTTGCTGGTACATCCATTTTGGTAACTTGGAGTAATAATCGTGGGTAATCATTTTCTGGGTGATATATCTCAACAATGTCTTTTTCTTTGAGCCCTGGATAATCTTTTAAGTTAATTATGAGATCCGCAGCTGAAAATTATTAATTAGTAGCATAAATAGAATGCTTGATAAAACAAATAATCTGTGCAAAGAATAATTAATATACTCACGACTAAAACTCGATTGATGCACAATAAGTTTAAACGCTTTCATTGCTTTAACTAATATGGTTCTTAGTAAAATTTTAATTACATTTTTTTTCACCTTCTAATTCTAATATAATAATAGTATGTACTCAATATTAACAAAAATATTTTTTTGTAAACAGGTTTTGAAAGACGTCAAACGGGTGGGTTGTCAAGTACTCTTTGGCTGTCATCCACAGACTTAGTAGGTATCAGACGACCAACTTCCTAACAAAAAATTTCTTCGTAGAACGTGATTGGGAGCCAGTGATACATGACAGCTTCATTCGTTTTAAATTTATAGATCTACTATCGGCAAAGGCATTTAGCTATACAGCCCTGTTTTGGGTAGGTACCTAGCCGTCTTCCTAGTTTCCATATTATTTTTACTTTAAATTCCTTTTTTGTTTTAATACAACAATAATAATAAAGCAAACTGATAAGTCTAGCTTATTATCATTGTTGTATTAAAACAAAAAAGGAAAAACGAACACGTAAATGAAAAACACATTTTTCCAATATTATTTATTGAATAATTTATATTTTAACTTATTATATTTTTCACAGCTTTCTTCTGCATTCTCGGCCATTCCTAGCTACGTTTTTTTAGTGGCAACAACCTTATGAAACTTTTCAAGGTAATCACAATTTGTTTTAAAGAGGGCACTGATTTTTGCATACCTTTTTATACACATATTTAAGTTTTTCTAAAATTTCAATTGCCTTTGGCCAGAAAGAATGATGATGTCTTATCTGCCACAGCTCTTTTCCTTTATGCCTTTTTTGTTTATCGATGCTCCATTGACACTATCAAATAATTGGTCAAAGAATGAAACAACTTCAGCTGTATTTCCTAATGTTGTGCTGACGGGCCTGCCATCCACATAAGTTGCTGCAAATTAAAATATTCATATAATAATTGTATGAAACTTGATTCAAAACTATTAACTGTTAGTAAATTTCATCTAATACTCACAGAAATTTGCAGTGTACAAAGCTGCAGACATATTTTTACACAATTTTTTACCTGCAAAAAGAAATATCATATTTAAAATTATCTTCATTAGAGAATCATTATTGTAATTTATGTGTTAACTATATTAACTACTTGTTACATAATTAAAAATACAGGTCATTGAATCAACACTTGCTCTTATAGAGAATATAGAAGCTGAATAAAAATTATTTCTTTTATTTATACTAATTTAAGTTATACTAATATAATAACCAATGCATTACCTTCATCTTTTTAATTTTATCAGGCTAACTTATTGGTCATTTAATTTATGACGTAGCCCAGCTTCAGTGTGTTGACAGTCTGTCTCATAGACATAAATAATATCATGCCATTTTGCAAGTTTACCATCCAATATTAAATTTTTTGTTAAAAAATTGTTCCTGATACATTTTATCAAGTGTGTAGAATCATAATGTTCAAATCCACCCCACATATTTTAAGAATGCTAACTGAAACAAAAATTTAAAAACTTCTTAAAACATTGATAACAATATAAAAATAAGAACCTTCACTACTTTCATTAAATCTATTAGTTTTTTTTCATATAAATATAATTCTCTGTACCAACCTGTGATTTCAATTTAAAATTTAATCACACTAAGTGTCTTCTTTTAGATTTTTGAGTGCTGATTGGAAAGCTGAGCCTTGGTCATATATTATTGCGATGGGATTAAGGTCCAATTCAACAACTTTTTCTACTAATAACTTTAAAATATTCTTGATGTACAGTAGACGTCGCTCCTTGACAGAAATACTAACATAAAGGCTGTTGTCACTTGTAAACAGCACCAACATAAATACAAGAGTATGATCTACAAAATCCACTTTCTTTTCTTGGTGTTCTACAAATCCATTAATGTTATCTTTAATCCTTATTACTTTTATTATACGAAAGTGCTGTTTCTAATGACATTTCATCAAATATAATGAAGCATATGTTTTTGGAGTTTCATTTGTCCACCTGAAAAAGTCAATTTAAATAGATTATTATTTGGTAGTAATACAAAAAATTATAAAAGTAGTATGAAAAACCTTATATGGAATATATTTACCTCTTACATGAAGCCTGGTTCTATGATCAATTTTCTAATCATAGTATTCAGTGTAGTTTTGGATGATAAAATAAAAAATTTTGCTAAAAAATCAATAACACTGTACTCTGCTTTGATATTGATAAAGCAATTATCTTTTCTTTAGTAGTGAATCACCTCTCATGTTTATTTTTAGAGCACATGCTCACTTGCATTTCAAAATCATTTTTTGCAACTGTGTTCATGTTTTGTCTAAACTTTTCAAATGATAACTTTTTACAAAACTTAAAGGTATTTAAGTATTCTTAACTTTTTTATGAAAGTTCAACTACGTCTTTGGTTTGTTATATTGTTCATAAATTCTCTGGTATAAAGGTGACAATTGGCTTTATTTGGTAATAAGCCTTTCCTTTTTGTTTGGGTACATTTCACAGGGTCTGTAACATCAAAAGTAGTCAGTGAATTTCTCTATTAGAACTTCTATTTGATTGAAATAAAGATACACTAAAGAAAGAGACAGGTCTTACCAGATAATTTAGTTTGTGTCATATTTTAATCTCCAGAGCAAGCAACTAATTGAGTAAACTCAGTGACAGGAGTCTCAATTTGTTCTTTTAAAATTACACCACCTATGAAATCAATATTGATTATGTGTGTAAGATTAAAAAACAGGATATAATCTTAGATGATATTAGAAATATGTTATTTATATTATCAATTTTTTCTCTGATCAAAATCACTTCTAGCGTACCCGCTAGAGTTAAGTAACTTAATGTAATTTTTCTTTATGTGTGTATGAGGGGGATCTACTAGACTTTTTTAAAGCAAAAATCTATATAAAAATACACTAAAACTGCAGCATGAACTTTGTTATCTAAATAAAATAAATTAAAAACAAACCTCTGTTCAGTTCCACTATGTGGTCAACATGACTTTTTCTTGCATAGCTGTGTTCCCAAGTGAATATAATTTCTGTAATAAAAAAAATCTAATGAAGAATAGCGGTATTCCAAAACACAACATAAAGTGAAGATACATATCATTTTAATTACATTATCTAAAGGTAATAGCAGATTAAACCAGCCTTACCAGTAATGCTTGAAGAGGGTAGGCTGATTGAGAGCCCATCATCATTAAACAATTGACGGATATGCATCACCCAAGTCATGATTTTGGAGTGATGAATCTTGGTACAACGTGTTTGCTACAAATGACACTTCTGCCTGGATTAACATATTCAGTATCACACACAGCACTAAGACATTGTAACCACTCGGAGAATCTTTTCTCGTTCACTACAATCTTACAAAGAATAGCGTCCTGTTCGTACTTTAACAATGCGTGTAACACAACCATAACTCAACACACCAATTTCTTAGGCATCTTCTACAAATAAAAATACTTCGAAAAATGGAGAGTCTATATTACAAATAAAGCGAAGAGGGTAAGCACAAAAGAAACTTTACTTAATCACTTTTAATTCCCTTCTTCTTCTTTTATTAATGGCATATCTGCGCATTTCACACAATTTTGCCAATGTGAAATGAATAAATTAATTCCAACAAGTAAAATGAATTAAAGATTAATTAAAACATTAGTATCTTTACTCTTTGTTGTAATGACAGTTTCTGTCAGGTGTCATGTCTCCATCTACTGACAGGGGTGAGGGGCGTGTGGAAATGTCATACATCACTGGACCCCTACGCGATTGGATTATTGTACGGAGTTGACGGGCCGTGCTGTCATCACACCACACGGCTCATGCACAGACTTATGTCGGTCGATGTTATTAGGGATGTCCATCAATTAATGATCTATTGAGTTTGATATGCAGTACCGTCAAATGAGGTGAATAGATACGGTTTGGATCTTTTGCAACGGTTTTCATAATGTTGCAGAATTATTATCCAACTTTTCTTGCGTCTATTTGTTGAGTCTTAAGTCAAACTAACGAAATATATTCTTTTGCATTTTAATATGTCCAGAAGTTTTAAGCAAATCTATAAAATATATGTGATTTCTATTTACCTTCCATTAGGGGACAATAGACACGCCTAAGGGGAGAAAAGAAAAATATGTTAGGGTTGTCTCATGCAAGATTTCCTGAATTTATTTATAGTTTAAATCAAGGTAAGCATAATAATGAAATTCCAGCATTAAACAAAATATTTATTGAAAATATTGCAATTTTAAATAAACAATTTTTAATTAAAATTAATATTATTTTATTAAATCAACTTAATCATTTTTTTTATTAAATTAACTTATTGAATACTGTTATCATTTAAAACCTTTAAAATATCAGCATCAGTTTTAAAATAGCTCCCCCGTCGTACCTTAATTGGTTTCATGTTCTTATTTTTTTGTATTATATCTCTTTTTGAGTTAATTTTAGTATTCAAGGGTATTTTTTTACATTCCAATAAATTAACTTTATGTGGAGTACTATTAACAAACTTTTGTATTGATATAATTTCAACATTTTTACCTGTAGATTTTTCCTCTTTGGTTTCTAAAAATTCTCTATCATCACATTGACACATCTCATCCTTAGGTGGATCTATAAATTCACTGAATGTAGGTTCTATTTCAGGTAAGTAATCTTTGCTAGACATGTTTTCGTCAATATAGTTATTAAGAAGTAATTTTTCATTTTCATTTGTAGAATCATTGATACTAGTGTAGTCATCTACAAAAACTACAGGCAGCTGATCGATGGCCATTTCTTTATTTTTTTCCTTTAATTCTGACATACTTTTGTCAGTTTTAATTTTAGATTTCATTGTTAAATCATTATTAAGTTTTTGTATAAATTGTTTAACTTCTATTTTATTCTGATTTGCCTTACTTACTAAATTCACAGATTGAACATTTTCCATTTCTTTATCATCAGTATTATTACTTTTTGGATCGACTATAACTGCTTTTCCGGGAATCACTTTTATTTTCTTTTTCGAATTTTGTTTAAACGTTTTTATTGTTTTTCTTGCAATTTCGTGTTCGGATTCACTTTCTAAATTATCACTATCTATATTTCCTAAGCTTTTTCCGGGTTCTGAATTTAATTTTCGCTTACGTGTTGGTTCCTTGATATTAATAGTGCCATATCTCATTTCCTTAAGAATTTCTAAAACTGATTTGTCAACGGCATACCTTGATTTTTCAGGATCTTCATTTTCCTCACTAGGTAGTCTGAATAGTACTTGATCACGGTTAATAGGATGAATCCCGGCTTTTCGAAATCCTACTTTAAGATTAGATTCAACATTTTCAGATAAATCAGTTAAAAGTTGTTTTAATAATTTTGGAAAGCATCCTTTCGGTACTGAACTTAGATTTCTGCCATCAGTTTTTTTCCATTTTAATAAAATGTTTCGCCAAGCAATTTTCATTGGCCTGAAAAAGGCTATGTCTAGTGGCTGCGTCAAATGCGTAGAATTTGCAGGTAAAAATATAAAGGAAATATTATGTTGTTCGCAAACCTTAATTACTTCAATTGATAAATGAGATGATAAATTATCGCCAATCACTATTTTTTTCCCTGGCTTATCTTTAAAGAATGGAATTACAATTGACTTAATATAATCTTCAAAGGTGATACTGTCAATCCATCCAGAGGAAGTTCTATTATAGCGTGTTCCTTTAGGTCCGCCTGTAGTCCATGTATCATAAACATTGTTGGCTTTATATATTACGTATGGAGGTAATAACTCTCCTGCAGCTGTGCCAGCCATCATTATGGATATCGAAGATTTTGACTGATTTAGCACTCTTTCAGGGTACTTAGTTCCCCGCTTAACTATTACCTTCTTCCGTCCTGGGTCATCGCTAAAATTAGTTTCGTCATAGTTTAGAATGTTTTCTGGAACTATGTCTTTCAGTGATTCTTCTAACTCTTCAAAATATTCTTTAATTGTGACAATCGAAACTTGAGCTCTGGACTTTTTAATATTTTGACACATTCTCAAGGATATACAATCTTTATATCTCTTTAAAAATCTTGTTGCGTAATCTGGTCCTGGCATATTATTTTTAAATCGCTTATGTGTGATACCCAATTGATCTAAATACGATTTTACCATAAGTCTTAAATCATAAGTATCAAACGGATAACCCCAGTTGCTACATATATTCAAATATTGTACAATATGCCGTTCCGTGTCTTCATCTAAAGCATTCTGGCCGCCTTGGGATTTCATAGATTTCCGATTATGTCTATATAGGACAGATTTTGTTATATTATATTTTTCGGCGATAGACGCTAATGAACATTTTGGGGTAGTTTTGTACTCTTCTAAAGCTTGTTTAATTGTATCACTATCGTATTTACGATAGCGCTTGCCTCGTGGATCTGGCTTATAGTTGCGAGGCATTTTAAATCTGAGAAATAAAATAAGAAATGTACACAAACAATGAGTAGTTCTTACATATCAAAAGCAAAAGTTGTATTGTCGAAGAGTTATCAGCCTAACAGTGTTACCATAAGATCCATAGGAAAGCTATCAAACTTAATTCTTGAAACTATTTCAAAGTGCATTTATAACCAGCCCACTGAACGTTTAATTTTTATATGTGCTTAGGTTGGATTAGTTAGGAATAACCCTACATATCGTAAAATTTAGCACAGCCTTTACGTAGTATTGGTAATTGCAATGGTTAAGAACAACGGATAGAGGAATCACCAACTGAAAATAATGTAAAAACTAAACATATTAATTAGGTAAGTATCATGTGGTTAAGCATTGTGGCAGCCCTGCCATAAATATAACTAATCACCCCTCTTTCGTAACTATTCACCCCTTTCCTGTATCTATTGAAAACATTCGCGTGTCTATTAGCCCCTCAAGTGCGTCTAATCACCCCTTTCGTGTGTCTAATCACCTCGGAGATTTTGAAAAAAATCAATGCTTACAAAATATTAATGATTTTATATAATAATACAAGTTCTTGCTACACTTTATGTTGTAAAATATGTTCCCAACAACATTTACAGTAAGCTAGAACTAAATTGAAACTCTTTTAACATATAATTATAATTCTTACCTGAAGTTAAAGTCGCGCACCTCTTAACGATAGTTTTGATTTCAAACTTTGACGTTCTATTTGACTTCTCATTATCGATGTTGCCACAGATATAAAGTTGCCAGAGTATAAAACTGAATTCTGCCATTTTGTGAATACTTCGGAATTTTTACAAGGGTTACCGAGTTTGCCATAAAAACAGTTTTAAATTATACCAATGTTTTTTTTCTATTCCCCCCGCGAGTTCGATTCACCCCATTTGACGGTACCTACCAATGAGAAAGTATTTAAAAAATAAAAATTAGTTCTTGAAATCATACTAGATATCACTGGCGATGTTTGGATTTTGTTTATGGTATTCATTCAAATTTTGTATCGGACGTAATGAAAGTAAATTGAGTATCGAAAATTAATAAATATGACATCGTTTTGTGTTTTTTATAATATCTAACTTTCAAATGATTTTAATCATAAGTTTAAATTGTTTATTATATTACGTGTAAAGGAACGATGTTTGGTTGATACGTCAACATTAGTGATGAGCCAACTTATTGGTTGCTCGTAACTTTCATTCGAATTCAGGTTTGGAATAAAGAACAGAAAGCGGGGCGCAGAATTCAGCTTGTATTTGTATGTGTCATTATGCATCCACAAAACGAATGATATTAAAATAAATATCACAATCAATTCAATCTAGGCTGTTACATAGTACTTGTGAAAGTCAAAAACTTTGCTAATGGTTCGCAAAACTGAGGCGGGAGATCTTGTACTGACAAGGATCGGCAAGAAACTCAGCAAGGGCTTTTTTTTTTATTTCAATTATACAACTCAACTATATTATATTTGAGGAAACGTAACGACCTCACGCAAACGACACCACCACAATGTTAATAGAGCATGACTACTCTAGGTACTTAGTAAATGATATATTTCAATACAGCTGATTTCTAGAGTTGGTTGTGAAGGAAGTCAATCTATTAATAACAATATTATAGTAAGAACCAAAAAGCACATACCCACCGTACGAATTAACTTAACACATGGCTCCACGTCCACCGTTGACATGCAAGATCAGTAGCAATAGTATAATACCTGTACTATTTTTATGATTTTGAAATTTAAAAATAAAAACAGACGTTTCTTGTTGATTGAGGAATGTTTATTAAGATAATTTAATTAAGAATATAAGATTTAATAATTGATCATAGTTTAATAGCCTCTTAATTTTGAAAGCACAAGTTATTTGCACGTTACACTTTGCACAAATGTCATTTTAGCCAGAAGTCATGTTATTTTGTACGAATACATAGTATATTGGATACATATCGGGTGAGTATAAAGATAATAAACGGATTTTTTTTTATTATAATTATTGTTTTATGACTGATTAATAAAAAAAATATTGAGACTTGATGTAGTTTTGTTGTTGTAAGTTCAACAAACTACTAATAGCAATAAAACTAACTTACCTAGTTGTTATTATTTTCACACCTTTTGTTAAATACTATAATGAAAAATTCCTAGACCTACTATGGCATAAGTATTTTATTTATAAAAACTATTTGGCGGTAATATTGTATACCGTAGCTAAGTGCCACTTTTAATTATATCACAGCATTAATTCAATTGATTTCCATAAATTTAAGAAAACCTCTGTGCACACTTCCATTAAGTTAGTTTCCATTTTCCTCTGTACAAATAAAAAATAAATTTATTCAAAGATTACTTTCTATTAATCGATTTGCGTTTGCATAACTCGAACTAATTAAATTTCAACTCGATACTAATTTGAGTTATTAGATCCATAACAACACTGACAATTCTATTCTCTTTGGTTTAACGTCATGAATTGACTCTTAGATCCAACAATTTGTGCTGCCATCTAGTGATATATATTTTTGTAGTTTCTTTATTTTTTTTAAATACTTCGTCATTGATAAGTGAATAAATATTTCACATTTGTAAATAGATGATCTTGAGGAGAAAATAGCCAAGTCTCGATGGAGCTGCATATTTTTCATTAAAAAACTAATGAAATCTTTATACAACGCCAGTTGAGATTTATGGTTCTTTACAAAAAAATATCGTAATTATCGATTGTATAACGGGAATTACTATCTGCCAGTAAGCTGTCACTATGATTTAGACAATGACATTGATAAGAAGTGATTTAGTGCCAAGATATCGCTGGGTAAATATAAATCGCCATCTCGATTTTACGTGTAGAAATTTATTTATTCACTTGACATAGGCAGAATTGAGCGAAATAATGAGCACATAAGCCATTAATAAAAGAAGAAGAAGATCGCCATCTTTCATTCACTTCATTTTCATTTTACATGTTAAAATTAATGTATTTACTTGCATTGGCAGAAATGCACAGATAAGCCATTAATTAAAAAAAAAGAAGACTATCACCACCTTTCATTCATTTCATTTTCATTTTACATGAAGAAATTAATTTATTCACTGGACGTTGGCAGAATTTTGCGAAATGCGCAGATATGCCATTAAAAAAGAAGAAGAATGAGAGAGTATTGTAATCAGTTTAAGTTACAAAATAAAAAAAAATAACCAGATAAAGTTGTGTTTTTGATAATAGACTTTATGTAACTAACTTGAATGTGTCAACAAGTAATCGTACAATCAACAAAAGGTCAGGCTATATAAACCTGTAAATATTTTTCCACCCTTATTTTAAACTATATTACTTTGAAGGTAGTTTACCATATTACTTTATAAAGAAAGAAACACCTCCATCAAGACATGCGTATTTCTTACAGGATGTTTTTAGTGGATATGCCACTGCTATGTGGTGTAGTGAAATTTATGTATCTAGATATTATTTTTAATAAAAAGTGCTTAAAAATCCATTAGGTCACTGGCACCCTGAGATGGGATTCAAATCCATGACCTTTCGCAATCCGGGCGACTGCTCTAACTACTAAGCTACCCAGGACCTAACAGGACTGACAAATCTTAGAAACGCTTGTTACTTTTGCACTACCACAGAGCGCACTTTCATCCATGTTCTGGCAATCCACCCAAACAGCTGAAAGAAATATTTTTACAAATATTCTACGCAACCCCCAAATAGGAATCGTTAATAAATCTATGACTATTGCCCATTTTCACACTACTTAGTAGTCACCTAAATATTTAGAAATCGCCTCGAGTAAAAATACATTTCACCATTGTCTAGGAACCGCCTAACAAAATTAAACAATATCTAAAATGATGAAATTCGTTATGTGGCGCCTTGCGCTAGCCATTTGCGTATATGATTCACCATCTTTCATTCATTTAATTTTCATTTTAAATGTAGAAATTTATTTATTCACTTGACATTGGCAGAATTGTGCGAAATGCGCAGATCTAAGATGCCATTAATAGAAGAAGAAGAAGTAGATAGACCGACATAAAGTCAACAGGCTTATATCGATAAGTTTATAAACTTCTTGCTCTTATGTCATCATCATCTATACCTACTTCAAAACGTTAAATTGAAGGGGTAGATAGACCAGGTTTGATTCGCCATCTTTCATTGATTTAATTTTCATTTTAAAATTTATTCACTTGACATTGGCAGAATTGTGCGAAATGCGCAGATAAGCCATTAATAGAAGAAGAAGAAGTAGATAGACCGACATAAAGTCAACAGTCTTATCGATAACGTGCTGTATAATTCTAATGAATTTTCATACATATAATACATATGTGTGAACTTTTATTCATTTCAAAATTAGCAATAAAAATACTTTCTTCGATGCCTTTGCTTTTTTTAAAATGAACAAACTAAAAACGTTTTTTGACGCATTGACAAATGTCAAAAATGTTCGTCTTCGTGTAAATAAATAGAATTTGAACATGTATTAATGTCCCTTTTAATTTAATTTCTCATTAATCAATCAAGAAAAATTGAACAAAATGATTCTCTCAGACATAAGGGGTTTTGTCAGTACTTTGGCAGTTATCACAACAGTACTCCAATTTTTATCCGGCACGTATGTTATTACTTCTAAATAGTTTACAATACTTCAGTCTTCATAATCGTTTTGTTTTGCCTGCTACATAACTATTATTACAGGCTCGTATGTAAGCAGTACGTATCTAATCGAACTACCGCCGAGGCATCACCACTTCCGTTTCTCTTTGGAATTGTCTCGTAAGTATGAATCTTTAAAATAAATTGAGCACATTAACGACGTTTTATCTCAGAAATTAATTTTTATTTCAGCTCTGGTCTTTGGCTGCTTTATGGATTGACCAAACATGATGATAAAATAGTTTTAGTTAATATAATTGGAGTAACTCTTATGACCTCCTACACAGTTGTTTTCTATATTTATACATTCAAGAAATCATCATTACTAAAACAAATTATAATAATGGTCTGTTTCATTTTGTTTGTTATCGGATATCTTTTTGTAGAAGAAGACAATGAAGAACTTTTATGTAGATTAGGTGAGGGTTCATATCAATTATTGTTTACATAGTTGAGATGTATGATTTATCAAAAATTCAGACAAAAATTTTAATTGTTCCAGGTTTATTGGCTTGCTCGCTGACTTTGATGACTATTGCTGCACCAATGAGCAAGCTGATTTACGTGTTAAAAGTGAAAAGTACTGAGTGCTTACCTTTCCCTATGATACTTATGTCATTTTTTGTTTCATCATTATGGTTTTTATATGGAGTTATAGAAGAAGATTCATATTTAATTGTAAGTATTTTTTATGTTGACAGTTGCATATAAGTAAAAATATGAAATTTATCAAATAAATATTAAACTCTGCTTCCCAAGCAATAATGTTTAAAATAAATTAGTCTGTTTTGTATAACCTGATGGAAGGTTTACTGTCCAATAAGGTTGGTTAGCTTCCAAGAAGAGTGATGATTAAAATTTGATAACCCGCTAGAAACACTAACATATAGCATATAACATTATTATTTTATGAGTGATGACGGATTCTGTGTTTCTTTATATATCTTCTATTATTTGTTATGTACTTACATTTAGTGTAAGGTGTCATATACTCTGAGCCACAGTGTGTCTGAACACTGACTTCGAAGTTATTAAAATGTCAGTTTTTGATAGAATTTATTATTTTCTCTGTTTAATGTCATTTGATTTTATATTTGAAATTTCAAATACATTCAAAACTTCTTTAATTAAATATATTATTATTTTCATTACAGGTACCAAATTTCATAGGAGGTGTATTAGCTCTAATGCAATTATCTTTATTTGTGATATACCCAAGTACACCAGCATCACCAAGCTTATTAAAAAGTATAATAGCTTGATGAATCAATGTTGCAATAGGTTATTGTTCTGGGTCAGTTGAATTAAATTATATTTTGAATAATGTTAGATGTTATAAGGTCTCATTGTAAATGGCCTATTTTAGGCTAGGTTAATAATATGGATTTAATTACTATGTGATTTTAGAGTTTCAATTTATATGTTTGTGAATAAGACTTACACCCGGTTTCTGAATTGAGAATTTAAAGTTAAGCATGGCTTAACCTTACTTATACTATTTTAAATGTCACTTAAACAGGTTTTCGTTACTGATTTATTTTTTTTGAATTTGTTGATATCAGTTTGATAATACTAGGAGTTTTTGCCATGTGAAACTTAAAAAACTTAAGTTATTAAGAATAATCAGTTGAGATATTGTACTTTTCTCAGTTCAGAAATTGGCTGTTAGTTTTATGTTTATTGAAATAATTTTTTATTATTTTTTTTATTATTTCAATGAATTTAAAGGCATTGATTTGATGATTGACGATCATTACAAAATATTGCATTTAGGTCTGGTCAGTTAAAATTATTTGTTTTTATTAGTAACATTAGCAGTAGTTTTAGTATTGTCAATTATTTCTATAATTTACAGTTACAACGATTAGCACATTAGCAGTGACATGACTACATTGTCTTGCCAAATATTGTAATATATTTATGTATTCTTTATTTATTAAGTACCATTTTAATGAAAAGTACCACAATGACAGCTCATAGTAGGTAGTCAGTATTTAACACAAAACTAATTTAATTATTAAAAAGAAAAGTTTGCTTCAACAAATTATGTATTAAAAACACAGCATTCATTCTAAAAGTTGTGTATGCTAATATCTTTTAATTGGATTTATTGTTTGATCTCTAGAATTTATCTTAGTAAGAGTAAGAATCGAGGTATTCAGTCTCTCTACCTTATTTACAATATATAAGACAAAACACATTAGTGTTCAAAGAGGAGTATTCTGTTATTCACCATATTTTGTTTGTGTTTTAGATTATTATTAACAAATGTGAATGTGTGTAACATTCACAGTAGGTAGAGATTTGAAATTGCTTAAAACGAATTACTTGTGATATTATTATTAACCATACTGTTGATAGAAAATAAAATTAGAAGCTTCAAAAAATAGTCTGCTCAATAAACTTAAATGTCTTGCCACAAATAAAGTATACAGTGAAAAAAACTGTGATGCTATCATACATTTTATATTAAATACTGAATTTCAGTATTATTATTTTTATGAATTTCTATAAAAATGGTTACAATTTTTTTATTTCATTAATAAAGATTGATGGTGCTACCTCTTCATAAATGATCTACTTAAGGTACATTAATATATTAATGAATAAAAAGTATACTTTATACATTGATGCATCTTTTATTGTCATTTATATAGCAATATTGTCATTTATATAACCTTATTGTCATTTGGCCACCCAGGAGTACCTAATTTAAAACAAAAATGTATTGCTGTTGTTGCTATAACAGAACAGAGAGAATTTAGTACGTTGATCTTTGGTCCTGCTGATAGATATCCTAAACATTTTAGGTTCACTTTACTATGACAAAATTGGCTAGATGCATCTGTGAGAGCGCAATAGCTATATGGTTGCGCATGAGTGAAAGAGGTATGTAGCGCCAGGCTGTTCGAAATTGTTTCTGTTCGGCGACTGTGCTTTAAGCGCAAAACTAGAGAATGGATGGATCAATTTGGCATATTTTTTATATTCGTTGAAGTCTAAAGAAGATTCTAATGTATAGAAAAAATAGTAAAATTGAATAGCAGTGCATGGTAAGTTTGTTTGCGCATAGTAGACAATTGAAACTAGACGATTTCTTTGGAGCTTTTTATTCATTATTTAATCCTCTTCCAAAGCTTATTGTATTTTCTGCCAGAAATTAATTTATTTCTCTGGCGGAGTATTAATGCTGCTTTATGCATTTTTGCTAATCTTCTAGAGTTAGCGTAACAACGAACTTTATTTCTACATACACAAAATCCACGATCTGCAGGATTCAAAGCACAAGCTCCACTGTTTCGCCATGTATAAATGGGGTTTATTGGGTGCATAATTTTATATTTATAGTATTCATTCTTCGAGACCATACCTTCAAATGCAATATTGTCAGGGGTCATAGTGAAAGCTAATATATAATATTTAGTGTTATTGTGTTTGTAGTAATGAGATCGTAAAACATCTTTATGAGAGAGTGAGGCACAGTACGTGCAAGGAGCTGTACGTGCACTTTTGGATCTATTTTGGACTTTAACTATTAACTGTATCAAACTGTACATTGCTCCATATTCCTCCATGGAGGTTGGTAAGAGATCGTGACAAGCACAATAATAATCAGGTATTCCAGCCCCAGAACATGTTCTATTTATAGGTATTCTTTGAAGCAAACTTTGACATTTTGGACAACCTTCTAGTTTTGGATGTTTAGTGTAATAACTTTTTTTGTTTAATAGGTTAATTAATGTTAAATGTAGATCTTTTGGTGATATCAGACGTTCTTGATTGACTTGTAGATTTAAATACAGTTGAGGAAAGGTTATATCTAAGTTATGAGGTACTTTAATGAATAACATAGGAAGTCTGTCCTCGTAAAATGACTCTACATGTTTTTTTTGTACACCGTACCTCATACCGTGATCACTGAAAAATATGATAAAAGTGTTTTCTATTCTAGCTAGTCCTCTAAAAAACATCTCTAATGTGTAATCGAAATTTCTAAGAAAATGATTTTTATCGTGACTAAAAGAATTTATCCAAAAGAATCCAAAGAAGTTCTCATCTCTATATGTCTCGACGAAGTCTGTAATGTAATTTAAAATTTGTTCGCCCGATGATATCTTTTTGCTACACACAGTTCCGTTGATTTCTTTTTCGCTAGCTTTGAAAAGAGGTCTCATGTAGTGATCGGTTGGAGGTTTTCTGTATCCTTTTCTTCTGTGAAAAGTATCGGGCAAATAAAGCGAGTCTTCCCCGTACGCCGTGACATAACCAGCCTTTTTAAACTTACTCCATACCATTAAACGATTGCATTCTGACATACCAAGTTGACAAGATTTCTCGAAAAATAATTCTGTCTCTCCAGTCAGCACTTGCACTAAATTTGGATAGGTGTTAAGAGCAGCCTGTGGATGGAAATGGAAATATTAATTTCAACCATATGAAGGCATAGCAACGATTTTTTGTTGACTAGGAAAATTTTCGATTCTATCTACCATTACCAACTGGCAAAAACTGGTCAAAGAAAAGTCAACCTTATTGTAGCAATAGTTAAGTAGATATCAGAGAAAATGTTGAATCTGGTATATAACTTTTTTAGCCGACTGTACACATACCTAAAACTATTACCTTGTTATGTCAAAGTTAGTTACTTTAGTTAGTTTTAATGTAATGATGATACTATCAATTTACCTTATTGTATCCTTTAAAATCGAGCCAGTTTTGCTGTTTTATAAAATCGACTGTCCTTTCTAATGAATTGTACGCTCTTGTTCTTGAAGTTCTATCCAGACCCAAGAGAAGGACGTTCCAATGCTGTCTCGTCTGATGCTTGCGTTTGATGTGAGTATTTTTTTTCGTGAATCCGTAAATGTCTTCATAATTGTTACATTTCACGAAAATGAAATCACTTTTGATTTTGATTGTTCCTCCAGTGGATATAGGCTTGCAATTTGTATACCTGGATTGATTGAATATACTTATGGACTTATTGTCTCCGTTCTGGGAGACTTCAAAAAACTTAAAAAATAGAACCGACTTTAAACTTTAAAGAATTATAAATAATACTTATCTCTAATTGAAGTCGGGCGGGCGGAGGTTGAGGCTTCTATAGGTTATTAATTAAAAGTTAGGCGCCCCACTTCCATAGCATTATCTTGAATAAGTAGCTTTTGAGATAAGTATTATTTATCATTTTTTTTAAATTTGAAATCGGTTCTATTTTTTAAAAGTTTTTATTTAATGATTTTTAGTGATATTGATATTTTTTTTAATAATAGGTAACACTAAAAAGTTCTATATTCATATTATATAGAGGGAAGATTTGTTTATTTGCTTTGGATAGGCTTCGAAACTATTGGGTTATAATTTACGCAGGCCAAGTCGCAGGGAAACAGCTAGTTTGATAGAAATAGGTTCACAATTAAAAAGGAAATCGATTAATATACCTACTATCATAAAAAAAATATACATACTCCTTGAACATAGAAAATTCACCTTTCGGATTATGAATGAATTCCAAATACGTGATCTTTTTTTTTTTAGCTGAAAAGAGCGATGTCTTCCCAAATTAACAAAAAATTTGGGCGATATTTAATAAAAATATATTTTTGAAAATCGGTCAACTATTGGCGGAAATATCGGTGAACACACATAAAAATAACATCACCGTCGAACATATAACCTCCTCCTTTTGGATTTCGAAGACGGTTAAAAATAAATGTATATAAGGAAAAAAATATTATCGGGGTAACATTACCTAACGATAAGGGTGATAGATAACTGTATTCAAATAAAACAATATAAAAAAAATATTAGGAAATTATGCGAAATGACCCAAATAAAATTTTCAAAATATATTAAAATTAACATAAACTCAATTAATTAAATTACTCATAATGCCTTACGGCGCACTGTCTTTTCTATCATTTTTATTTGTTAACACGGGAAATGCACTTTATACTTTAAAGCAGGGTTCTATAGCTACAAGGATCTGTCTCGAAGTACTGGCCTGTCTGATAAAATCCGCTACTGGGTGCCCAGTATTCTTACTGGGGGGAGGCGTACGGGATCCGACAAAGAATTGTCAGATCCGGAAATATCAAAAACTGATAACGTACCATAGCATATTTTTTTATTGTTATGAGTTTATATTCAAAGAACTTTAGTAGATTAATGTTTTCACCTATTTCATTCTCTTCGGGGTGTACTTATTGAATGGACGGGGTGAAAATATTTTCTTAGTGCCTACGTAATAAGATGAGTATATTTATCGGTTTAGAACCAGTATTATGTATAATCTATGGTTTAGACTGTGTTATCTTTAAGCTAGGCAGTCAATATATATGTCATTAAACTTTTACTCACTCAACGCCCTCTTTTGGAAAGAAATCATTATAGAAATCTATCTTGATATATTTATAACAACAGTTTTGTAAATTATCGGTAATGGTAAATGTAACTTGGAAATCATTGATTTTCTCGACAAAAACTTTACGTTCTCCACACGATATACTCTTCGTTTGATCGGGGATTTTTAAATGGTAATTAGGAATTCTGCATCCGGGTGTATCGATAAGATATTTTTCAGCATCTGTAACATTAAAAAAGTAAAACAATATTGTAAAATCCTGATATAAGAACCTAGACATTAGCCCTAGTTTCTCTTTGCCCTGGTCATTCTCTGCCCTGCGAATGACATGACACTTTGATTTTGTATAATCAAAAACATGACTTTCAATTCCTAAACTACGCAATGACTTTCGACGCGGCTTTCACGTGCATTTATCATATTAACGAATAATAATAAGAAATGACTAAACTAATTTAGACGGATTTAGTTAGACCGAAGTTTATAGATAATAAGATAACACATACGTATTAACATACATCACCTAACCACTTCTAGAAACTATCACATACTGAAAAATTTCTCCGATAGCTTTAAATCTTTAATTATTTCTTTTCACAAAGACACAAGGATACATTTTTATGAGCACCCTGACATCTGGGGTAGGTAAGTATATAAAACCTGAGTTTCAGACACCAGTTTCCTCTACCGTCTTAGAGAACATATCAATCCATGTAATATAAATTATGTTATGAACCATTAAAAGACGAAAAATGGAAAGTGTGTGTGTGTGTGAGAGAGAGAGAGAGGGAGAGAGAGAGAAAGAGGGAGAATATGTGTATGAGTGTTTTTGTGTATGAATATTTGATAAAGTTATAATTTGAAAATCTTATAGCTATTACTAAAAATCACTGAGGACCCAGACGAGGCAATGAAAACGAGATCTTAGTTATCTAATTACTTAAATGTAATTCATTGCCTCGTCTGGTTCTACATACCAGGTACCGTGATCAGACATTTCGGTACCCGACCGTGATCAAACCTGACACTGGACTCTGGTATTTCCGGATTCCTGTTCTCGTAGCATGGAGACTATTATAATTTGTCTAATTTTAACTATAGTTGTAATCGACTTTGATTTAGTAAAGACAAGTTATAATTTTATTAACTAAATATTAATAACTTACTTGAAAAAAATTTAGTTATTAGTAAATAATATAATGGTACTCTCATATTTTAGATACCAAAAAAATCACTTAACGAGTTCTTGTTTCATTAAAACTCAATGTTAAACTATCTCCAGAAGAAAACAACCCACGTACTGCAATTGATTGTCTTCATAAACTTATAACAAACCTATTGTTTATTTTCCGATTGCATATGTTATGTTTTTATAGGTAATGAAGGGCGTTTGTTACTTAGGATGTGTTTATCAACATAACTTGTTTCGATTTGGAGTTCGGCATATATTTCTTTGCTTGTTCCGTAGATGAGTGTTGTATCTATTTTATGTCGTAAGGATAAATACCCTGTTTAATTACTTCCTAGTCATTAAGGAACGATTTTAATTTCTGCTTACAAATTGTAAGTCTTATAACTACAGTCAATTAAAAAGAGTTTACGGCATGTAGTAACAATATTTGAAATCAAAAGTAAAGTAAATATTTAAATATTGATGTTTTCAAGGCCAAGTCCAAAATTCATTTGAGAAAATAGTAAAATAAAGTACTTATTTTGTTACGTTTTAGTAAAATAGTAAAATAAGTTTTTTTGGCGTGTCAATAGATTTTTAATTCTTTAAGACAAAGTTAAAAAATTAAATTTATTTAAAACATACATAGATCATAATATAAATTTATTTGTTACAGTTAAGACGCCATGAATAAAATTTGGGAAAAATTAATAAAAATTGAGAATTCACCAATCTCAATTCACCAATTGCATGATTGAATCTTGTTCGGGACAATGTTTCCGTGATGACTGAGATATGACCAGATTTTACGAATTTTTAAACTTAGGTGCAATTAAACAACCTTTTTATGGTCCATTTATAAATATATTTCATCATACTATTACGAAAATACAAATTTCCAAACTCAACAATTTTCTTTCTTTTTACACACACAGAAAAGTCTGTCCCGTTGATTAGGAGCACATTTTCCTAATCCTCTGTATACCGATATAACACTAATATCACCAACGAGTTCTAAATGAGGACCCTTCTTAGAAACTACAGCTTCATAAGTTATATTCCCGGGTGTCATAGAAAATGCAACCACGTAATATAAACTCAAATAGTTATAATAGAAATGTATTCTGATGACGTTTTTTATTGCAAGTTTCAAACAACCCCAGCACCGGTCCGTTTTTATTGTCTTTATCATGGCTTTTATTTTTGTTGACGCATATACCACGCTTTTCATGCCTTCCATATCCTGCGAGTCTAAAGGATACAATTTGTGACAAGGACACCATTTGGGGTGGATTGAACCGTCAGCACAAGTTCGGTTACCTGAAATCTCACGAAAAATACTGTGGCATAACGGGCACGCTTCTGAAAGCCCTTCCGTGTAATTTCTCAATTCCGATAGTGTATTAATATTAACAAGGGTATTATACAAATCATATGGTGTGATTAAGCGGAATTGATTCACAGCTGCTGCTTTAAAGAGCAACGGGTAGTGTGCTTGGAATCTTACTGGAGCCCACATAAAGAAAGCGGGATTACGCTCCTCATAATAAGACGCTGGGTCTAAGCGGTACTCGCCAAAACGTATTCCGTGATCGCTAAAGAATATAATAAAGGTGTTTTCTAAAATTCCTGTGTACGTAAGTCGGTTTAAGAATCCTTCGAACATTTTGTCAGCTTCCTCAGGATAACTGTTGACGTTATGACTAAATGTGTTCATCCAAAACACTCCAAAGAACATTGAAAATCTGTAGGTGAGAGCAAAATCGTAGGCATAATCCAATAGATGCTGTCCCGATGTTACTTTCCCTGTGCACACTAAAGATCGATTGAAAAGTTCATGTTCTCCGTGAAGATAAAACGGTCTTAAATAATGATCCGTCGGTACATTATTATATGTATATTCTTTGCTAAACGTATCTGGAAGACGTAAATAATCTTCTCCGTATGCTGTGACGTATCCCGAATTTTTGAACTGGTTCCATATTAGAAATTCATTGCACACGTCCATTCTTTTATAACAACTATTGGAAATAGATGACATATTCTTGCCCGATAAAGCAGCCATCAAGTTGGGAAAAGTGTTGTCAGCAATCTGTGAACAAGGTATTGTCATACTAAATCTAATTCAATTATTGAGTAGGTACTTTGATGTCTATTTATCATTGAGCGTAATTGTATTCGACTACTAATCTATGGGTATACCGTATAATTTCAATAATAGCTATAACTTTATTTTTAAATTTATTTTGATGTTCGAGCCACTATTTTCCTATTAGTGCCAGATGACAACGACACATTTCAAAATTAGTCTTTCCTTAGAATAATAAATAAATATATATAAAACTGACCAAAAATTGTAAGTTGAATGCTAACGTAAGAAGAATGATAATTCTAAAAGAAGAATGATACTTCGATTGCAAAAAGACACATCGCATCTTAGTTATATTTCAACTAATGCGAATCATGCTTTTCTTTATTAGTGATATATAATCAGTAGGTATATAAAAAGTAGCTCGGTGACGTAGTGGATAAGCACCGCAGACTGCGATCTTTGTTGTTAGGCAACTTTTGCCAGGTTCGGTCACGGGATGGGTGATAAATACGGAAGGCACGTTGGTGGTCCATAGCTGCATTTGCAGTCGTTAATATCCTCCAATCAGCGTGGAGGGTCATATCCCATCCTCCTTAACAATCCACAAGGAAGGTCTGAGGTAAAGACTAATGATGATGATGATATAAAAAACGTAAGTAAACATACCTTATTATATCCACTAAAACCTAACCAAGAGTTTTCTTTAAAAAACTTAACAGTTTCAGTCATAGTTTGCAGGGTACGAGATAAAGACATAGAATCCATTCCTATCATTAGTACATTATATTTATCTCTTTTACTTGTTTCGTCACTTGGTTTTGGTATCTTTTTTATGAATGCGTAAGCGTCACTGTAAATTATGTGTGTCACGTTACGACGATCGTATTCAAAGCATTTCACGTTTACAAATTCGTATTCCAATTGGAATTTCTCTTCATTTTCTATCCTTTTACATGTAGTGTATCTGGAAAATGAATAAGACTTTTTTCAATTATAATAATAATCTTATAATGTTACAGCTTCAGTGAAGTACAAAATAATTTTAATATTTATTGACATGCCTTTTCTCCGAAACCATTTTAGATACTTATATTATTTTTATCTTCTCTAAGTAGAAGTATATAAAACATACTTTCACGATCAAATCATTAGCGTTTTGTCAAAGTGGTTTCAGAACAAGATGTCATTAAAATCTTCAAACATTATAATTACTAAAAAATATTAATGTAAAGGAAGCGAAGGCTCTTATAAAGATAATTTCATCTGGCAGTCGTATAAAGATAATTTCATATCGTAATCCCTTTCAATTTGAAATTCAAAAATATTCATTAGCTTAACGCAACAATCATCATCACGACGTTTTTTAAAATATATTGAATGAAAGATAGGTATTGTTAATTTAAGGCTAGCGCTAGACGCAAATATGTTTAACAGCTTTTGAGAAATATCGATTACTCTTTCGACGGGCTTAAATAAGATTTTTTTTTCTTGATCATTCGAAAACATAGTTCGTTATTATAACTGTTCGTAGATTTTAAAGTAAGACAATTAGCCCACGGTATCTCTTTCTACGAAGGATAAGGATAGATGCTTACTCTATTTTCGACGTTTCATGACCTACGTGAGAAGAACTCTTAATAAATCTGTAGCAACATCTGAAGTTGGCACTTCTTCTTAAGTATTTTTTCATAGCTCTGCCTTTTATCGTGACCCTTACATAGCCGTCGTCGACTTTCTTCAGGAATACAGCTCGTTTTCCGCAGTTTTTCTGTCGGTTCTTGTATTTTTTGTACGGAATCATCGCTATGGGAATTTGACATCCAACTGTATCGACGAAAGCTGCAAAAGAAAGTGCTATAACGATGTTTTGTTTGTTTTAAAAAGAGAAAAAAAAAAACAGTGAAAATGTTACCTCCTCTGTTCCTATCGTATAGTTCTTGCGAGTCATCGCTTTCAGAATCATCAGGGTAAATTTCATTCAAAGGCATGTGTATTATTGGTAAGTTTGTCATTTTAATGTACTGTGGTGTGATAAATTTTCTTATTTTTGCCCTTATTGAATGATGTCGACTTGCCTGGGTGAACGTGTAATATCGAAAGTACAGGAAAAGTGTGATGAAACAAGATATCACTCCAACCACGCCTATTGTTATTTTAACCTGTTTCATGGTTGAAATTCTTTTGACATGTCTCATTCTGAAATTCGTTTAAAATGTTCATTAATAATCTATTCAAAAAGGTTGTTTATTCAATTAAATGTTTTTTCTTTTAATATCTTCGTCAATAGTAAACAAATTTTAATTAACCATATTATTGTTTGAAAGGTTTCTTAATGTCACGGATATTTTTTAAACCTAAGAAAATACTGAGAATATTTCACAAAATAACGAAATACAGGCATTTTTTCGTTATTTAGTGACAAGTACAGCAAAAATTCACTACTGAAATTCTTCATAAGCCCTTTTGCGTCTCCACTGCAGGGGCTCAGGCCTTCCTTATGGATGGTTAAGGAGGATGGGCCATGACCCTCCACGCTGGCCCAATGCGAATTGGAGGATATTAACGACTGCAAATGTAGCCGGGACCAACGTCTTAACGTGCTTTCCGAATCACGAAGAAGCTCGAGATAATAATTCTTGGTCACCCATCCCGTGACCGACCCTTGCGAAAGTTGCTTAACAATAATGATCGCGGGCCGCGGCGCTTATCCTCTACGCCATCGAGCTACTTAAATGTAGTTTACCACTGAAATGTAGTTAATAAATTCAACAACTTCTTTTGAAGTTGAGCGGTAAATATTAATTACGCGATACAGATATTCGTCTCGTCCGACTCCAAAAATGGTTTCTTAAATTTATTTAGTATCTACCAATGTCTCAGTGTTTTAACGAGCTGTTTACAGTTTATTTACTTAACAGTTTATTTTACAGTTTATTTTACTAACCTGCACATTGAATTGATGAAACAAATAAGTCTGATAAAACATTTTATAATTTTCATAACACTGATAATATTAATTATCTACGTTTAAATGCAGTATCTGTGTAAACGTTACAAAAGTCCAAATGAATGTACAAAGTGAAATCAGACTTCATTTGTTTACATATTTCAGTTCAGTAGGCAAACAATAATATAACTAGATATTTAACATAACAAACAAATGCGATGGAAGAGATTTTAAATAAATTGTAACACGATAAAAAAAGAATTTAACTGAATAGGTAGTTTTTATAGATTTCAAATGGGAAAATAAAGGTACTTAGTTGTATAAACATAGGTACCTATACTATTTTGAGTGGCTACGCCACTATTTTCCTAAGACATATTTAATATTCAAATCTACTTACCCATTGCTATATTATGTAACTTTTAGTGACCATATATAAATTGTTGACATAATAGTTTTTATAGTTCAATGATTTTTGGTGATAATATTTGTTTCCTATTTTAGGAAAGCCGAGAACAAGCTCTGGATGCTGTGCCACCATCTTTATTTCCTTTGATATATTATGTACGCATGCGCGAAATGTAATTCTGCTTAGCCAATGTTAGGTTATATTTATCTGCTGTAATAACTCTTAAGAGTTGTAGTTTATATGATATATTCTAGTAATTAAGATAATTTTATTTAATAGTTATAATTTTAACAATGTCTTTACTATTAGTCATTTGATTTAGATATATTACTGTAAAGGTCCGTATGTTGGTTTGCTTAAATTATACTAGTAAATATTGACATACGTTGGTAAATTTAAGTTTTTTTAAAGAGACAATCTTTCGGGCTTCTATCATAAAGAGTTTGGATTAAAACATGGTAATTTTGTCTAATGACGGTTGGTAAATATTAGTATTGAGAATATAATAATGAGTAGTTACTTATATCTTAATATTAAATTTCAATTACCTATCATTCAAAGTACGTAATGTTTTTTATGATGATATTTTATCTACGTTTAACCACTAAAGTATGGATTTTTTTTTTAAATAACCAAATCGTCTTCTATATATGAAACTACAAAAAACATTTCAGTGCAAAAATAAAAATTAAAAAAAAATGTCTTGCCAAGTATCGGGTTAATCAATAAAAAGATATCAATTAGACGAGAACAGTGCCATGTAACGATTAGTTGGTTAATAAAATGATATAAATGAGACAAAAATAATCCCCTAAGACTCTGCTAGAAAATAAATAGATAACTGTTTAGGGGAAGGGGGCATAATGGGGTAGGTTAGATTTAACAAAAAATCGGCAAAGTCATTATTTTTATTACATTCATTTATGTGGCACATAATATTAATAATCTGCTAACTGGTATAGTTTTTGGGTAATCAACTTACCACATATCAAAGTATTTGATGATTTTAATGCAGAATATGAAAAACCGTCTTGCCCCATAATATGGGGTACTGAAAATGGGCATTATGGTGTAAGGTTAATTATAATTACAAAATAAATCAACATATAATAATAATTTATTATATTTAATCAATTTTTCATTCAGAATGCTATACTGAAAAATATTCATAATGAAAAATGTTTAAATTACATAAACTATCTTCATGTTTTTTTGCGTTTTGATGCTTTGGTCTTATTTAAATCAAAGTCGATCTTCCATTAATTTTTATAAGTAGTTAAGGTAATATTAGCTGTTTATCCTCACAAAATACCGATCAGAAAAGAAAAGAACGTATTGGCAAAATATCACGAGGGGGTTTTCAAAGTTTGCCATAATTTCAGCTGATAAATAATATTACAATGTTACATATTCAAATACATATTATTAATATATTCAAAATGGGGGTATCGATAACCCCATTTGGAATGTGTTAATACTCGATACCCCACTTGGCCCCATACCCCATCATACCCCTCACTTATTGCCCATTTTGACCCAAAAACCACTTTGGAAAATACTTTTATTTATTAAGATTAATAAATGCATTAGGTAACCATTTAAATATAAATGAAACTAGTGTTAAGGGTAATAAAATTAATTTAATAAATAATTATCACAATCACACACGACATAAACACTCTATATTACAATTAGTTACAATTGACTTCTTTATAGCCACTATCTCCATTTTCACACTAATTAAATATCTATAAAAATAGCTTATCCTATTAATTGGAAAACATTATTTAAAATAGCAATTCCTCTATAGTTAATTCAATGTGGCAGCATATCTGGGTAGCACTTATTTTAATTATCTAAAAAGTTTTAATGAGTAATATAAAATATGTACTTTTGAAGTTCTTCATTAGTAATTATTGGAACTTTGTTGGTCTGTACTTTAATTATAAAAAAAAAATCACACGTTACGTTACTTTTTAAAAATACATTTCAATGGAATAAATTAACTATTTCTAATCATATACAGGGTGTATAAAGGATGGTCAATATGAGGAAGTCTAAAACTATTAGACGTAATGTTTCATAGTAATATTAACTGCTTAAAACCTACACAATCGGTATCAAAAAAGACACAATGTAAGTTTTATTTTCAAAAACTTGTTTAATTGTCTAACTTTAAAATCTATTGCAATCCATTTCAATTCGACTTTTTAAAGATATTCACGAACTTCTCGCTACAACTATTTGACATGTGACAGCGATTGCGATTACGACTTTTTTGAAAAACATTAAATGAATCGTTAATTCGAATGATATCGTTAATTTGACGTTAATTGGAATTTTCTAAGATAAGCGTTAGACGCAAATATTACATTAAATTTAAGGTACTAAGTTTCTTGATCATTCAAATCATCATTTGTTCAACAGTTACATCATTCCAGTAATCACTATACCTTTGAAAGGGATTACAATATATTTTGAAATTAGACAATTAGACCACGGGTTCGATTCTCAAACTAATCGAAGCCGTGGCCTAATTTTCTTAATTTTTTTTTATGTAATTTTTCTTTTCACTAAAATCGATGATATGGTTTCTAAGAATCTTCGTATATTTTATAGTTTTCAGCTTTCTCATACTGACCGTTTTTAATCTATATAAATACTGTTTTAAAGGATATATAGTATTATATATCAAATGGCTGAATGGAATGGAATCTACCTTTATATAACTACCACATAAAGAGGGAAGTTGTCTATTTTTTTCTGTTGAACTATATTAAGAAAATTTGATAGTGATCGTAAGAAAATTAAAGATAAGTGCTGTTTTATATAGTTTCTTAACATGGCTCATTATTTAGTAGGCTTACTAAAGAAACATTTTAAAACTACCGTACCGCGTCAAAACCTATACACATGCATCAGAACAACTCTTAATGTTTAATCAAATAAAACAACATAATTTATTATTAATTCCATATTTACAATATCTTTAAGTATTTAACTCTAACCTGCATTGAAACTACCCCTAAATTCAAAAATAATTTGAATTATTAATCCTCAGTCTTATTAATGCACGGTACTTCCTAAATTTAAATAATTAACTGAATATGTAATTAATAAGTATATAATAGGGATGACGACAGGATACAAAAAAATCTACGTAATCCAATTGTTAAATAAAAGAAAAATATTGAATAAATATTTTTTAAAGGCATTAAAGTTATGAAATTGACCTCACAACCATGTAAAAAATGTACAAAGGCATGACGCATTTTAAGTCAATCGCCGTAATTTATTCTTCAATTATCTGACGTACAAACAAACAAAATTTTGTTATCATCCCTATTGTTAAGTTTAATAATCTCTGATCAAGCCTCTGAATTTTACAAGAAACGAAGAAATGTTTTTTTTTTTTAATTCAAGGTTCCTACGTCAACATATTTACTTATTACATTTACACGAATGTTTTTATCATCAATTTGGTTACGAAAAATGTATGAATCGTCCTATTTTTCAAAACCAAAAGATATAATTCTAGTAGGCTAATTATGTAACAACGTCAAAGTGCAAAAATAAATCTAATCTCTACAATTAGTTTTATGACTTAATATCCTTGCGCTAAAATTGTAGAATAAATTTATATTTAAGTAGTTCTATTCTCTCAATACCACAAACTAATTAAATGGCTAGATTTAAAATAGTTACATTCGTGTTGAAGATGAGATTCTTGAATGATTCACTGATAAAGTCTTGGTACTTTTCTGTTGTGCTAATTTTCATGGTGCTTGTGGTGGGGCAGGACATCCTGTAAAATATAAAAAAATCTAGTGAGTGCAATTTTTATTGATTATCTTTAGTTAGAATTACATGTAACGTTAAAATTTGATCAAATATACATGTTTTTCTTAGTCAAATTTCGCAACTATATCTCTGTTACAATGTATAAAATTTCTGGTGCGATCTCCAGTTCAGTAAAGACATTTTTTTAATCGATAAAAAGGAGGTTATATGTTCGACGGCAATCTGTGTTTTTTTTATGTATGTTCACCGATATTTCCACGAATTGTTGACTAATTATCAAAATTCTTTTTTTTTGGACAGCTTATGGGCCCGAAGTGGACCTAGCCTATTCAATGCAAACAAACAATGAAATCTTTCCTAATATTAGTATATTGGAGAAAAATATATCGATCAAATAAACAAACAAAATCTTCTTTCCTAAGACTGCCTTTTGGACTTATTTTTTATGTTGTTTTTTTTTTGTTTTCAAAATCGTAATGGTCAAACTTTTAAAAGTGAGAATTAATACTTCTTAATTAGTAAAGACACTGCCATTGAAGTTACGCGGTTAACATACTTATACTCGTAATAACCTACAGAACACCTTTTAATACCCGCTCGATTTTAATAGTAGTTTCTTGAATAAGCTACTTTTAAGATAGGTATTTTTTTTGTCAGTTTTATTTTTCTAAAACAAAAATTTTGTTTTTTTTTATGAATTTATGATTTAAGTTACTATTTTCATTATTATTAGTTTAAACACTGAAATATCTTTGAGACAACACAAAAGTGGAAAACTTAAGAATAATTGGTATAATGTATTGGTATTAGCGACTGCTAATAATTAGTATTCTTATCGTTGATATGTTCAAGGCAACTTTTGAATGTAGGAAGCTACCAGTTTCGATGAGGACAAACGTTTCTAAATGCGAAAGAAATAGTAATTGGAAACTCTACAATATTTCATATTTAGTATTTATGCATTTAAGTTACAAACGTAAAATATATTAGCAAACATGAAATATTACCTCGGCACACGTTGTCCGGTTAAAATAACGGAACATAGATAAAGTCTAAGAGGTCGTGACAAATGTGCAAGGGCTTTCTATGGCTTGATATTTAAGTATATTGAAGCACTATGGGTATTTACGTCACTCAGTATTCAGAGCGGAGGTCAGGTGCTGGAACACCTAGTGGCGACGGGGCAATGTAAAGTACGAAAAATTGTAACAATATTAAAGGTGTTTTTTAATACTTTAATACTTATTCTTTATATAAAAAAGCAGAAACTGCCCAGATTGCATAATCGTAAAACATAGCGACTCAGAAGTTCTCAGAAGTTTGTATTTAAAGGAGCTCCAAAAGAGAGTTTCGTGATAATTGAAAATTTATTTATAAGTAGCTAGTTCATAAAAAAAACACTCAGACTTTCCTTTGATGGATTTAACATAATCAGTAATCGCTAGAAATTTGTTTACCACCGTCGCGACCAGTTGTTCTAGCGCCTGACCTCCTCACTGGTTATCGAGTGATATATACCCTTAATACTTCAACATACTGAAATACCAAGCTTACAAAAGTTCATGCACGTTTTTGTCACGAGCTCTCCGTCTATTATGTCAAATCGACTCGTTTGTGGATAGAGACCGCAACATTTGAACATGTTTGGTCAGGTGGAGCGAACAATGCATAAGTCAGTCTGACTGCCTCTTTATGATGCCGCTTGTGTATAATTCGGAATGCATTCCGATTCACCCAACAATTTCTAGCACACCATAATTTGCATTTCACTTGTTTTTTTCATACGGTATACGCTATGGTGACGGTAAAGAGACTAATACAATATTCAGTAAACGATCCATCAAGATTGCTATTTTACGGTTATCATACTGTGACTATATTATAAATTAATAAGGTGTTAACACCTAGCGAAATCTAAGATTTCGAAGTACTCGTAGGTAAAAACCGGTTTGATTCGTTTGGGGCATTAATTTTTTTCTTACAGAATTTTCAACAAAACAATTTTTTTCTAACAGAATTTTCAACAAAACAAATAAAACTTAAAAGAAATAAATTGGATTATAAAAAGATAACTGTAATGCCTGTAGGTTCATAGTCATTATCATTATTTTTCCTATAGCCGAGACCAACAATTATTTATTTATTTTTTTAAAGCAATGAGGAGTATAATAAATATTCCGTCGCTCATCTGAAAACTCGCGGTTGTGAGGATGGCTTAACCCTGCTCTTCAATTGTTTCTGACCTGGTTTCTGACAGTTGAAGAGCAAGTATTAAATCAGAAAATAAGCTTGGATGTATAGAACCTAGGAATAATATTTAAGGTTCAAAAGTTAAGCTAAGAGGACAGTGTCGATGACGCTTGATAGCACGCCACTAGGTGTCCCTCCGTTCTGGGTACTGAGTATTACCTGCTTCACCATTAGTATTTCAACATACTGACATATCAAACTTTGAAAAGCTCTTGCATATTTTTGTAACGATCTCTTAGACTATTAGCTTATATTTTGTAATACTCACTGCAGACGTTGCAAGCAATCTCGTCGCTGTTATCACCGCAGCCGTCTCTACCTGAGCAGGCCACCGCTGTGCTTCTGCACCGTCCATTACCGCAGCGGAGAGGGCAGAAGTCCGCTGCCCGCCATCTTTAAAAGATCACCTCTATTACATACTATTCTTATTAACACAAAATTAAAAAAAGAAACTCATTAGTCAAAAACACAAAACAAAAACATGAATAAATTAAAAACAAATCAATGTCGTTTATTCAGTCTAGTTTGTTAACACTTTTGAAATCTGATCGGAGGTTTTATGACGACTTTAAATTCTAAGAGTGTTCTAAATTTGAAATTTTTGTATCAGTATTTTCGCTTTTAATAAATGCATATTATCTTTAAGTTAAATCATTATTGTATCTCCCTGTGAGTGTGGTCAATAATGTATTTTCTTTCTCTAAGTTAATGAAAATTTCCATAGAAGCAACTGGGTTAAAAAGGTGAGTGTCATAAATATCAGAATAGAGTAGTGCAAACCTGGGAGAAAACTCAGCAAGGACTGTTTGTGCCTGTTCTGTTTCATTTTTCAGAGTCATTATACCGAAGACATACTTTAAGAATATAGTCACCAAAATTTAAATAAAGTGGAGCTAATGGACTAATCAATGTATCCTATAGCATCCATAGAATTATTAGTCTATGGCAGAATTTACGTGCCGATATATATCAGAAGTTAAGACAAAAGAGTGCTAAGGCTCAGATCGCACCGTGATCAAAAGCAAGTCTGAATCTTTACGGTTCGTTATATACGGATTAGCAGACTGGAAACGAAATAGCGGAAAATTGAAATTGGAAAAACTCTCTCTAACAGAATTCTCCCATTTATCCGTGTTTTTTCCTATTTAATTTGGCACCCTTTAAAACTATTAATAATTAAATATTTGATTTGGCGGCTTAATATAAAACCATCTTGTAGTTTTATTGTTGTCTCATGTTCATTACTATTATGTAAATACTGGACGAATTCAAATGTTTGTCAGACACAATCAAATATTTGATCTTAATCACATACAATGGTTCACATATGTTCCATATTACAAAACTTCTTCCGAGCATTTCAATTGACTTTTCTTCGTATATTTATATGTATGTATATTGTTCAAATAAAACCACTGGGTCACAATAATGTTATTTCAAATGATTTGTGTAAAATCATACTTTTTCTCTAAATCCAAATTAAACACAATGAATATAAATAAATATTTGGTCACGTAAAAGATTCGACAGATAAAAGAAATAAAGGTTTGTATAAATTTCACGCTCGTGAAAGCGACCTGCAGAAATGAAAGAATTTTCGTGTTGTCGTTTTAATTGAAGGAGAAAGCCGTACTCGTTTGCAAAATCAATTCGTGGTTATACTTTACCTGGATTGTTCATTGCAAAGATGTGGGGGTTCATCAGATCCATCCTTGCAAGAGATGATTGCGTTGCAGAATTCATACTCTGGTAGACATTCTCCGGATCCACAACGGAATGTGTGTCTAGGACATCTGCAATGTAAGGAGTTGAGGTTTACCTTCGAGAAATCTAAAAGCTCAAATCATCATTTACACTGGCAGTCACGTTACTCACTTATTTTATACTAATACCAGGAGATACCACCCTACTACGGTTTTAATTCCTTATAGAGTGAATAGAAGTTTGACTCACATTTTCTTCCCTTCAATTGCTGTTTTTCGATATATAATATAGCCTACTAGCTTTCTGCCAGCGCCTTCGCCCGCGTAGTCTTGTATTATACATAAAAACCTTCCTTTTGAATTACCCTATCTATGAAAAGAAACCGCATCAAAATCCGTTGCGTAGTTTTAAAGATTTAAGTATATATATGGACAGAGAAAGCGACTTTGTTTTATAAAACAAAGTCGCGGTGGACATCACTACATTTAGTATACTATATGTAGTGATGTCCACCGCATATGAAGTAGCTTCCCGTAGGTAAAAGAATTTTTGTAATCGGACCAGTTGTTTCAGAGCCAATTCGTTGCAAACAAACAAATAATCATATCTTTTCTCTTTATAATATTACTATTATTTCAGAGCCAAGTCGTTGCAAACAAACAAATAATAATATCTTCATTCTTTATAATATTAAAATAGATTATAAAGATTTGATTGCTTGTTTGCGTGGAATAGGCTCCTAAACTATTGGAGCGATTTTAAAAACTCTTTCAGCTATTGAAAGCTAAATACATATGATGTAGGCGCGGATGACATAGGCTATAATTTACGCGGGCAAAGTCGCGAGAACAGTTAATTATGGTGTTTATTTATTCTTTGTTGCATAAAGTATATCCCAAACGGGAGACTTAATGTCAAAGGCATTTTCTACCAGTTAATCCGAACGGATGTTGGATTTGATTGCAGGGCAATAAGAAGAAAGTAATAAATATGATATTACGAGCACAGAACAAGAAAATTTTAACATAATTAAGATATTTTAAAAGTTTAAATTCCCATTATCTCCACCCCGGCCCTAGACATGTTTATATAAGTATTCATACTGAGTGGCACGGCTATTTAATACTTATTTTGTTAGATTAATTTTTATTTTACTAGCAGTTTTCCTACGACTTCGCCCGAGTAAGAGTTACCCGTGTCTAATTTAGCTTCCCGTATGTGAAATAATTTCATGATCGGTTCAGAATTTTAGAAAAAAAAACAAATATTACCCCCTACAAAACAATCTTAAAAACTTCACCTCCTTATAATATTAGCATAGAATTGAATAAAGAAGTATTTTATGTACGTGACTGGTGTGAGATTTCCATAAAACGATTGCACTTTAACTTTACATTATCCTGTTAGTCCTATCTTTAATTTGAAATGAATCTTTTGTCAATTTTTGCAAGTCTTATAATTGCTTGTCACCGTATCTTATAAAATTTTGTGTGCAATGCCATGTCCGTTGGCCAATCTAATTAAACTTCTAGCAAGCAATGATAACAACATTATTTTTTTAAGGTTTTAACAACAAGGATTTTCCATTATAATTCCCCTTCTGTTAGCTTTATATCGGTTATTGCCTTGAAGGCAGGTTTGAAATTTTAATGAAATCGTCTTCTGCATATACGAATATATTTAAAACAAACTATGCTAACCTACACACATACTATTTGTTTATTCACGAGCACTACATTTATAAATATCAAGCTCAAATACGGCTGGACTAATTCTTGCAATTTTTTTTTGTATTCGTTGAAGCCCAATAGAACCTTTTATTAAAAAAACGAAATTTATTAAAAAAATAACACTTCATTGTTTAAGAAAAAATTGGAAAAAATATTAATTAGTTTTAGTTATATATGTGGAATATAACAAAAACTAATTAATATTTTTTCATTTTCACCAAACTGGAGCTTGTCTTTTTTATTTAATTAAATAAATAATAAAAGTACTAAATAAATTTAATTATTTATCCCAAAGTTTTAATGATATGTGTACCTATCATCCTAATTAAATATTAAGTACCTATATATAAATAAATATTTAACAACATCACATACATTGCTCAGATTCCAAGATGAGTAGCTAAAGCCCCCGTATTATGGAGTATCTGAGACAACGAAGGTACCACAACACCCAGACCCGAGTCAATATAGAAAAGTTCATTTTCTACATTGACCCGACCGGGAATCGAACCCGGGACCTCAGAGATGGCGACACCTTGAAACCGGCGTGCAAACCACTCGGCTACGGAGGTCGTCGTAAGCTTGCAAGTGTAATCATTTACAAAGGTTTTTCTTGATAATTATCGAATAAAAACAATATATACCAATTGGTAACAGCACAAAATTTTGAAAACCAATAAACTTGAAGTTAGTCAAACATAATTCATAATGCTGGGTACGGCGCGCAGCTATGAGTATATTCGATCTGTACCATTACAGATTGAATGCACTGCGTACCGTGTTGCAACATCTATATGTTAAGTAACTTTCCACAGGCTAACCATCGGATGGCTGACCAAAAATGTACTATATCAAGTAACGTTCTTTCTTTGGAAGGCATATAAATCTGTTGCTTCCGGCTATGCAGTCACTGACATCCACTAATCCAAACTGGGCCCTCGTTCTATGTCATAACTAATCATAGATGGGGCTTAATTTTATGATATGTTAATGATGATGAGAATACAATTACCCTTTGCGTCTTGTCGCTCTGCAGTTCCTCTCGTCTTCGCCTCCAGGGCACTGTGGGGTGCCATCACACCTGGAAGCTCGCGAAACGCAGCGGGATCCTGGCCCTCCGCACCGGAATGCATGCATAGGACACCTTTCGCCTGTTCCATCTGTGCAATGTTTTTAATTATCAATTACTTGTTACGTTAGCGACAGATTCGCTATCGATAAATGGCTGACCAAAAATTTTGTGCTACTTGTCCTTTATAAAGTGTTACATCAGGGCCGGCACCATATAGGTAAACTAGGCAACTGCCTAGGGCGCTCGTATTTGGGAGGCTGTATGAAATGGAAATCATTATATTTGCTCTAATTATTTGAATCTTCAAAATACTTTATCTTTAAAAATTATCGACTTTTGTCCTTATAAAATTAATCAATGTCTGAGGTATTCAAAAGTATAAATTTTTCAGACCAGCAAGCAGTACCTAAGCAGTTGCTTTTGCTGTTGGGAATATCATACTCTTTAATCGGTGTACCTACATTAGTTTCGATGGGACCTTTGAAACTATCGACTAAGTTGAAATTGGCCAGTGGTCGAAATTCGCCGAAAAAATATGGGCAATAATCAAAAGGATTATTGGACGATTGGAGGTCACCCCGAATCAAGAAGTTAAAACGTCTTTAAATTTATTTTCCTCGCATCATCGGCGCGTATTATTACTTTCTTTGGTTGTGTACGTTTTAAACGTATGGTATTGATGTAATGATTTTTAATGGACAATATAATGTATTTTTTAGCATTAGAGAATACAAATAATATTAGTATTCTTCCATACTTAGGGTGTAAAGTAGATTAACGCGAACTTGATAGACAGTTACTTCTATCTACACATCCAATTTGAAAAAGGTTTTGGAAATCTAAATTCTACAATAAAGCTAAACAATTTTTAATATAAACCCTAATTGTTGTTTCCATACTCCTTAGCTCGACTATTTTTCGTAGGAGATTTAAAGTTTTTGCTCCATTTATCATGTCCTATTTCTATTCAATTGTAAAATATTGCACTTAACTTTGTAAAATTCAAGTTTTCATAGATGTGTTATGATTGCTAACAACATTAAAAAAACAGAATTTTATTATTAGATAAAATCTTTCAAAGTGTCACGTTCTAAAATATACGTCTATGTTATTAAAGTTGTATTGTATCATAAGAAGCCATTTATTTGTTAGTACATATTTTTTGTAAATGTTGAAATAAATTCCTTTTTCATTGTGACTCAGGTTACATCTTTTTGTACCTCCTAACATTTAATGTAAAATTTTACTTTTGGATATTTATTAAAATGACTTTCAAAAGTATTTCAAGATATATTGTTTTGAAGTTACTTTGGGGAGAAATCTATATTCCTTGCTTACTTAAAAAAAACGATTTCGTATATATACCCGCGGTTTCTGAATTGAGAATTTCAAACTGTACTTAATTATGACTTAAACAGTTTTTCGTTTCTGATTTCAGTTTATTCAATGATCAGTTATAAAGAAGTTTAATGAAACTAGAACTTCATGATTTTTGAAACGTAAAAAACTTCAGTGTTTGAAAATAATCAGTTGAGTATTTGTACTTTTTTTCAATAATCAGAAACTGGCTGATAATCTTCTCATCAATCTATTTACTTTGTTCCACAATGACGTAAAGATAGAAAATCGATGCTACAGTGGATATTTTAATGCACCGTGCTGGCCTCTTCTAACTGCTATACACAGGTACCTACATAATTTAGTTTCTTATTGATTTTTTTACATAAGCAATCGTTTTATATGTGATTGGAAGTTGCAATAGAAAAATAACATCTTTACTATAATAAAATTGTAAATGAGACTGAAAATGAAATTATATGACATTTGAAATACAATAGATGAACATGAAGCTATTTATACCTATATAGTAATGTATTTCAAATGTCCCAATTTAATCAACTTTAAATAAGGAATCAAGGAAGAGACATAAATAGTAAAATAGGTAATACAAAATTAAGGTAAGTTCTAGTTTCAGATGTCGATCTTAGTCAGAAGCTTTTGAACACGTACCCGCAAATCGGAACTATTCTAAATAACAGGTTAGTAAATATTTTTGCTACAGTAATGATGCCCATAATGAGTTCATGAAACGATGAAATGAAGGTTTAAATTATACGTGGAAGAAAGATGTGCGATAAAGAAAATATAACGCGAGTGTAGATGAAATTACTTATCGAAATCTTTAATACAGTACAGGGTATATTATTCGTGCGAATTAACATTGACAAGTGAACGCTTATTCTATTTCTTTAAAAATGAAATTATGTATATTTTCTAAATGCTAATACTATTCTCCAAAAAAATATTTTTTTCAATAATTTGTGATGCCTCTGATTCACAAATAATCTTCACAGTTATGATTTTTAACAAAACTATGAAAACGATTCGAAACTTTTCGGATTTTCGTTCGAGGAGGAATGTAATAGACCACATATATTGTGTTAATACGTACGAGTTATAAGGATAAAACTGTCACTCTTAAATTGGAATTATGCAGTCAAAGATACAGAAAATAAAGATGGATCTACACTCGCGTTTCAGTGCATAGATAGTTACTGACCTTTACCAGTACCTTCGCATGTTTCGTCCGAACCGTCCGGGCAGTCTTTACGGCCGTCACACACGAAATACCAGCTGATGCACGAACCCGTTGATCGACACTAAAAGCATTAATCTATTGTTTAATCCGTACGTAAATTATATGGCATACGATTTGTTGGTTTCCTTATTGAAGTAACATAGCCATTTTGCTTTAGTTGACTTAGCTTATGTACGAGGGTCAAACTGAAAGTTCTTAGAAAATCAAAAACTGATTACATTAGCCAGTTATTAGTTTTATTATATCTTTTCAAAATATTGTCCATTCACGTCAATACCCCGCTGCATGCGATGGAACCACTGGGAAAAGCACTTTGCCCACTCGTCCTTAGGGGTCTCTTCAATGGCATCGCGATACGCAGCCACCGCTTCTTCAGCATTCATAAATCGCTTTCCTTTAAGTTTTTCTTTAATTTTTGGAAATAAATAAAAATCACAAGGCGCGAGGTCGGGGCTATACGGTGGGTGACCCAGTAATTCAACGTTTGATGTCGCCAAATAGTCGATCGTTCGCTTGGCGGTGTGCGACGAGGCGTTGTCGTGGTGAAGGAGGATCCTACTGCGAGGTCGTTTCTCTCGAACTTTTTCCAAGACAAGTGGCAAACAATTGGTAGTGTACCATTCTGCAGAAACTGTTTTTTGATCCTCTAACACAATTGTTGCAAAATGACCTATCCTTCCAAAGAACGAGGCCACCATTTTTTTTCCCGCACTTCGATCTCTCTTCACTTTAGTTGGCAACTCCTCGAAAGGAAACACCCACTGAGCAGATTGTCTTCTGGTTTTAGGATCATAACAGTAAATCCAGCTTTCGTCACCTGTTAGTATGTCGAACACAGCATTTGAGTCACCTCCGTTAAATCTTTCAATCATTTTACGACACCAATCCACACGATGGAGTTTTTGAGCCTCAGTCAAATTATGAGGTATCCACCGGGCGCAAAGCTTCCTGACCGCTAAATGTTCGTGGAGGATTTTGTGCACTTGACTCATACCGATGCCTAAGCTTGTCCGAATCTGTTGATAGGTCACTCTTTTGTCAGTCTCTATCATACGCCGCATAACACAGATGTTATCTTCAGTCGTCGCCGTAGAAGGCCGTCCCTCACGTAAATCATCAGTGAGATTAGTGCGACCACGTTTAAACTCATTAAACCAGTTGTAAACAGTCGCACGAGATGGGGCTTCATTGTGAAAGGCCAATCGTAGTCTATCATAACTTTCTTGTTGACTTAAATGACATCGAAAGTCATAAAAAATCATTGCACGAAAATTTTCTCGTGTTAAATTCATGATGACGTGACACAGACAATTTTCAATTTGCCGCCAAATCGTAAAACAAATGACAAATGAATGAAATATATACTCAGTAATATTGGCAAAGAGTTATATTTTCAAATTTTAGAATTATTTTTTTATTATATTGTTTATAAGTGGCCAGTTCTAAGAACTTTCAGTTTGACCCTCGTATTAATGTAACTTATTAACCGCAAAACGAAAATACAAAAAAAGCTTCTTATTAGTTACAAAAGTTTGCCGTAGTTTTTATTTTACTGTTTGAAGCTAAACTAGGCTTGAAATTAAATTTATAAATCGATTTAGTTTTCTAACAGGAAGAACAGAGTACCTACTAATAATGGATACTTCATCGAAAATATACCTGAAATGTTCCTGGTAGACATCCTCTGTTACGTGCTGAACAGGAGCCTGTAGAATTAGTTCTGTAAGTGCAGTCACACCTCTTATTGAGACATCGGGTATAGGGATCCACTGAGTGACACTGAGAATCTGTTAGACATGGCATACCGAGCGAAGCTGGACCCAGATCTACAACTGGTGATCCTTCTGTTCGAATACGATGTTTATCTGAATGAAAAAATATTATGTTTGTTAATTAAGACATAAGCATATTTGATGGTAATTGATATTCATTTAAAAAGAAAGTATTGTCACTATTTAATTCAACAAATACGTCATCTTATTTAGCATTTACATATCTGTATCAGAATATTTCTATTACAATTTTTTTTTTTAACTTTAATTAAGATTAATATCATAAGTTTAAATGCTGCACCATTTTGACAATGCTAAAGATACATTGGGTTTTAAGATATATGCTTTGTAAGATAAATATCTGGATAAATTAAAATAAATCACAACATTATGAATATTCGGAACACAACGAATAGAATTTCGTTCAAGAAAACATCTTTACCTTTTAATGAAGAAATTTTCTTTTGATGCCCTGTCTTTTGTTGCTTACTACTGGTCTGCTCTTTTGAGTTGCCACCTTTCTTAGTTCCTTTCTTTTCAACAGATGGTTGCGTTACTACTCTATAAATAGGCTGATCATTAGCATGTAAGTTAGCCGTTAGTTCATCAACACTTATAGTCTCGTTTGGTTCTCCATCCTTTCTGTTTGACGTTGGAAGTCTTTTTATGGGTTCAGCAGTTGGCACTTTCAATACGGCTTGCATCAACGGACTATCTTCTTGTGTGATTAAATCATTTTTGTTGGCATAAAGTGGTAGTTTACTTGGCTGAGAATCATCGGCGTTTATAACCGAATTTTGTGATGCAAAAGGGTCTCCAGATTCAGGCGTGAGTTGTGCTGTTGGTTTGGGAAAGTTAACAGTAGATCCCTGATTTACTATTGAACTATTGCGTGTGTCTCCAGTAAAGAAATCTTGCTCAGCAATTACTGCTTCAGTGATATATGGAGGTGATTTTTGTGTTATACACTTGTCAATAACTTGACGGAAATTGGGATTGCATGCACACCGACCGAAGAGGTTCGGAATGACAAATTCACAGTGACTATCTTTATCCCACAATCGACAGTGTTCGTTACTGTAGCAAACATATCCTGGTTGGGCGGCTGTAACAATAACAAAGGATTCTAAGTAATGTTAATATAGCTAGTTCTCTAAATACTACTTTAATTGTATAATGTCTTTAATTATAATAATACATTCTTTATTGCACACTAGAAAGGACACAATAGAATTAAACAAAATAAGGAAGAAATATACAAAAGTCGGCCTTATTGCTAAGCAGCAATTTCTTCCATGCAACCCATGTTTAAAAAGAAATAAATAAATAACATTTTGCCTGAAGTAAAAGGAAACAGAAAAGTAACATTTATTTCTCAAAGAAGACTTTCATCATGATATTTTAAATCGGAATACTAATGTTTTTAAGGATTAAAAAATACTCTTAAGGAAAAATTATTAAAAATTAATTAAGAGGAAAACAAACATCTTAGTGGATTTTTTAAGATAGTGAATGCAAAATTGATCAAATATAATAATTTTAAAATACGTTTAACTTGAAATATTACAATTATACAGATTATTATAAAGCATTATGGTTTCATGACACCTTTAGCTCTAATGAATGTCAAATTTGTATCAGTAATGTTATTTTAAACTAAAAATAATTTTAATGTACGTTTGTGCAACTGACTGTAACTCACGTAAATTGGATAAGTTAATAAATTCCTCTTTATTTATCTGTTCGTGTTCATAACAAATGCCAAACATGTAAATTGGATAATCCGTTTGTAACTAGGTGTAACAATTCTCATGCTGATTAAATAATATTTAATGAAAATTATTTGATTAAGTGTTGTGAATGTAAAATTACAAATGGTAATTTGAATGGCCTTTGTATGCTAATCGGTCACCAATAAAGCTCAGCACGCAAACCAAACATTGGACACAAATGGTGATGCGGCCTCAATTTTAGTAATCATGTAACTTAAAATCATACCTATAAGAAATGTTACCATCCTTATCATAAAAATGAAAACAAATAGAACACAGAAAAAGAGGTAAAAAACCTATATTTATACGAACTAGTGGTCGCCCAGTGGTCGAAATTCGAACATAATAAATTTCAATTAGACGTTATTACTGGAATAGAAAATCTTTTTACATTCAGTAAGACTCAGTAAACAAACATATAAATAGACGGTAAACATATAAAACTTGACACTGGCTAAATGCACAAACCGTGTGAAGCCAATATTCAAAAGAAACAAACAAACTACTAATTACAAAGAAACAAGAAACAATTTGACCACAGAGTACATGTATGCGTGTAGCAAATACTTGTTTGTGTGTATCAAATGCATAGTATTATATTAGTATATAATGTTTTATTTATCGATTTAATGTACTTTATAAGCATTATTAAAATATTAGCCATTTGCACTTCTTCTACATATAAACTATAAGTGTGTCAAATTTTATACTCCTCCGTCTTCGCAATTTTCGTAAAAGGGGTCCAAAGTTTTTGATTCACGTATTAGTATATAGATAACGATTTGATCGTTTCTTTATATTGAATAGGCTACATTCTCTTTTTGTTACCATTATCGGTAGAATCCGTCATTAACACATACTATATCATTTTAACACATATTGTCAAAATTCAAAAAGCATGTACTGGAAATGTTAGATGGATGGTGGCGTTATGTGGTTGTATGTACAATGTTTTGTATTTTCACTTTGACTGAGAAGGTCAATTCTGCTGAATAATATATGTTGTGTGAGGAATACGTAGCACAATAAATATTGGACTTTAGATAGACAGTAGGTGCAATGGCAAATTGCAAGATTATATTAAGGTGCGATCATTACGTAAACGTTAGCAGTGCTACTTATAAACAAGGTTTAGCGTCAGAGTAAATTTACGCTAAAATTGCAATTTTAGTATTAGTCCATATTCATATTACACAGAGAATAAGCAAATCAACTACCTTCTACGAGCAAATATTACTCCCGTAGAACCTCGTACTAGGTTAACCTTTGTTAAGTCTCTGTTTAATAATATGAACTTTGACTAATACGAAGAGCAGTCTCGCAGCACTGTAGGAGAATTGACCTGCAGAGCTTTGCATTACTGATCAAAGATTACGGGCTTTTTATTAGTAGGTAAAGCTAAAATACTAGAGGTACTCTTTACTTTTGAATTATGACATTCAGTGTCTTCCTTTTATTTATTATATAAGTAATATATTTTTAATAATTGTTTATGAGAAAAAGTTTTTTTTTTCATAAACTTTAGGATTCTGTATGGAAATAGCCGTGCGAAGCGGGAATGGGCCATTACTGTGAAATAACTAGGTAAGTAATTAACGTGATATCTCAGGGTATGAACAGTCTGCATTAATTTAAAATGACGCGTCGTGACACTACTTTCATATGCCAGAACTTCCTCTATTACCAACTTAGTAACACAACGAATGCACAGTAACATGTTATAAGAGAAATAATTGCAAATAAGGTTTGTTATAAGACTAATAATATTTTTTTTTTACTTTTAGTGATAATTGTTAAAGAATTTTAATATAAACAACTAATTAGTTAATTGAAATGTTTATATAATGATCGCTTAAACTATATCCGGCCGCTCCACTTGCCTTTTGATAAAATTAATGTTAAGTAATTTTCTTAGAATGGATATTGATGTGGTATAATATACAATGTCAGGTTAGTACTCTGCTAAAGGTCCAAATCATCTAATTATGTAGGTAGACTAGAAACTCGCGTTTCAATGCGTTTAAAAGTTGTTTTTATTTGCTTCTTATTTTATTATAATGAAAAATGCTTAAAAATCCACTTTATTTCTTATTTTATATCAAGGCTAGGCATAAAGTCAAAATGTATTTGTCATATATATAACATTGCGCCATTGAATTGCGTGTATAAAAACTATTTTTAATTTTTATGTTGTAATTACGAGAGCTCTAGCTCTCTACTATAACATTTATTTATTTATTTAAATTAGGTACACTTACAGATTACAGTCAACACATGACTTCGACAAATATATTAGATAACTTAGTCTAGACAATAATCCAAAATTAGTGTACACAGCATGATTAACGACAGTGGACAGTCTATACAGTCCTAGCAATAAAAACTAACTTATTCTAATTGGATTATTTTTTAGGTGAATTTACCTGGTCTTTAAAGAAATCAGTTATAATCTTTTTATATCTGGAGAATTTATGGTCAAAGGTGTTGATTGCAGAGTCTTTGCTGCTACGGGAAATCTCATTAAAAGGATGTATTATCTTTGTATACCTGCATTACGAATATTTTCGGATGGCGCGATTTGTGTCTCGTATTAATACTTATTGATGCGAGGAGATCCGGTGCATCAATGGAAGCATGCAATGACTTATGAAGGTAGAGTAGGCCGTATCTTCTACGCCGGGTTTCCAAGGATATTACATCGAACTTGGATAACCTTTGAGAGTAACTAGAGTTCGACCCAGGTTATGCTTCCATGAAATATATTTCAGGCACCTCCCCTGAACTCTCTCTAGATTTGATTTGATTTGAAATTGTGATGTATTAGAAATATGATATAGTTTTTAATTACATCTTATTTGAACTTTATTTTGCAGTAAAAATATTAACAAATAGTCAATTTTGGTTACCAAATAATATTAGCTGATAAATTTCTTGTGTCCATTCTGCATGTCAGTCGAAAAGTTAGGATAATAAGCTTCATTTCATTCTGAATATCGCCATATACCTATATAGCTCATGTTTTAATTTTAAATAAGGTTCTAGTGATTCATGTTGCATTCTATAATTTTGCGTCTATAATTTAGTTTCCTTTTGATATTATCAATAGCGAAAATAGTACGTAAAGAGAAAAGATTATACGATAAGCACGATCTCAATATTTGTTCAGTCAGCGGCAACTGAGCAGAGTCGCTTTATCTAGGAGATTCCGCATTACAATTCTCACAGTAACTTAGAACAGTATATCATGGTTTATAATAAGAGAAGTTCACATCGGCCCGTTGGATTTGTCGGAACAATTACTAAGTTTTTCCCAAAGCGTTTGTGTATAGCGTTCCTTTACCTTTAGCGAGTGTTCTAGTATACGACTAGATTTTTGAGCTAAAAAATATATACATCACGATTTTTACATTTCACATATTTAATGGAGTTTTCATTTGGCAATAAACAAAAATACACATATAAATCTAAATAACGTACTTTTCTGAGAATATATACTCACTCATAAAATTTAAGAGTTCTCAGACTTTTTGGTGATATTTGTTTCAGTAAAAAAGTAATGCTTACTATTAATACCTACTTATGATTTGAGAGGGAAAAATCATATATTTATAAACAAATGGTTTCTGATTCATTATTACTGACTAGTTGTTTCACGATTTAGCTCTAATAAATTATAGTTTATGTCATCCGCGTATGATGTAAATTCGTGTAGGTGAAACAATTTTCATGAACGGATCAGTATTACTAGTGGCGTAACTATAAAAATGTCAGGAGTAAGGAGTCTCCTCTGACCGGCGAGCCCTTCCAGCTGGGGGCCCGTGGCATTTTACCGACTTGCCACCCTATAGTTACGCCATTTAGTATTACTTACAAACAAACTAAGTTAGAAACTTTACCTCTTTATAATATTATTTTCAACTAACATACATGTCAGATATTATCTCTGAATATAAACTTGAAAGCATGCACTTCATTTAATTCAAAGTCAAAGTACATGCCATAAGTACATTTTACCATTGGTCATATTTCATCGATTTATATATTTGTAATAACATTTCACCGCATCTCCCGTAAAAACGATATAATTGCTGACATTACAATCTCGACTTTCATCTAACCGCTTTATAGAATTACACGGCAGCTTATCTCGTTTCGACGCAGCACAATAATTTTGAGAGGGCGTGACTAGTCCGAATCGGCGCGAGCGAGTTGACCGACGAAACCGAGAGTTGGGGCGTCATTATAATCATATGATTTTCATAACAAAAGATGAGCCAGCAATCGGCAATCAAAAATTCAGTTTCATATCATCTTGTTAATAATTGCTAATATAATTGCTTAAAATGAGGGGAATACTTCTAAATGTACGTACATGTAAACTTATAAGTGTGAACGTTCGAATTAAGGAATCTGTAATGTTACATTAAAACAAATTAGTCAAGAATTTATGATCAAGTTTCAGTGATACTGTGTAATAGATTTGCTTTCCAATTTATGTGGATAAAAAACCTGTCCAGATTAAAATGATTTATCAAATTACTCTCAGTTTATTTATTTACTAACACAGTTTGCATATTCTCTTTATATTATACTAGCTATTTTCCCGCGACTTTGCATACACACATCAGTTTATGTCAGTTACCCGCATATCATACAGCTTTCCGTAGGTGAATGAATTTTCAATATCGGTTCAGTAGTTTCGGAGCCTATTTGATGCAAATATACAATCAAATATCCATAGTATAGATAAGCATTAATATATCAAACAAATATCCCACATAAAATCATCGACACACAAAGGATATGAAAAGTCTATGAAAAGAATTCCCCGTAATATTTAATAACTTCGTAACAATTATTGTAAGAAACAAGTATAAGCCATTTGTCATTTATTTGTTGACTGTACAAATGACGGATGATTTGGACGAAATTAAATTCCTATTTGACGTCCGGCAATAATACTGACTGCGTAACAGTGACATTTTTTCTTTAGCAAAAAAGATTAATAGTGACGTTACGCTGGTTAAGCAACAATTAAACTCTTCCGATGACTTGTTACTTTTCATTTTATTTGAAACATTAATGGAAAATAAAACTCGTAATTATGTAATTTAATCACCTATAGATGCAGTAAACTTGATTTATATAAATTATATCATCTCTACATTGTTTTGTCTTGAATTAGTAATCTACAGCATATGTGTTTATTGAATTTTGATTTGTTATGATAATTTATTTATTTATGTATGCACAGCTGCACGTCACGCTACACACCACCACCGTAAGAAGACTTCTATTTATAAGGAAGTTTTATATGAAGCGAGGTCTATAAAAATTCCACAATGTATATAGTCTGACGTGCAGCCGTGTGTACATGGACATGTATAGCTAAAATTACAGAATAAAAATTTAATATATTTTATTTATTGTTTTTCATTACTTTTTCTGTATTCTTTTTGTATACTTTATATATATGTATATTATGCAACTAATTACTTTAGTGATGTGCCAAGATTAAGAAAAATCGTGACAGTACAATTATTATACATAATAGTATAATTCAGTGTCGTGAATGTTGAGAACAAATTCTTAGTGAAGAGAAAATGCAAAGAAAAAGTAGTGTACCATTTTCCATCTGAACATCGAAATTCATAGTCATAAAATAAATTAATTGCTGAGCATAGACATTTTGCTTTATGAAAATTTTAAAGGAGTAAAGGAGCCCTAGTCCATCATATACTACCCGGATAGCTAGGTAGGTGGATAATTGACCATTATATAGAGTACTGCTGAGCCCAATGGACATAGAGCGGATAGTTGTACAGGCAAAGTTAAGTGAATCGAATTCAATTATGACGTAATCATCTCGCGAACACGTACGAAAGCGTCACCACCCCGACGAGTCCACTATATTACTCAAACGCGAATATTAAATCCACTCATTAATTTTTTATACATGAAAACGTTTTGTATGTATTCGTTTTTTTTATTGATAATATTTGATCAATTTTGTATTTTCATTAAGAAATTTTTTATTGTTCATATTATTAATTTTCAAATAAATTGAGCCCTACAGCCATGTTCTGCTGTTCAAAATCAACCTTGGTTGTTTTAAAACAGAATAGAACTGTAGATTTATGCACGATGCCCCCCTATTATGCGAATAAACAACCAATCGGTGTACATTCAATGTCAATGCTTATTAATTCAAAAAGAAAGAGAGTTTCTTCGTCAGGATGGTTTGCAAAGAAATATATAAAGAAAACACTTACGTGATAAACAGGTGTGTTTCCTGAACTGCAAATGGCCATCAGTGCATCGACAGACTCCTTCTAAGCAGGCACTGAATGCTACCTTTAACGTGCATTGCTCTGAAACCACGCACTCCGATCCCAGTAGTGTAGCTGCAATGAAAATTCAACATCAAAATCAAACAAGAGATTGCACATTACCAATTTATCGACTATAAACAGTTCCACAAACGAAGCTTAAGCTCCAATTATTGTTCTAAATTCAAAAATTTGTGTACGTAATGTCGCTTAAAAACTGATAACAATTTTAATGTATGTTTATGTAACCCCATAATACACATTAATGCAATTTACTAGGTACAATAATAGTTTTTAAGTTGGCAGAAAGGGAAAACGAATGAAAAATTAAATCGAGAGATCATTGAATGAAACGGACAAAGGCTTGTAGTGCGATTTAAAGTGCAAAGCATTACTTTTAATTAATTATACGATCAAAAAGCATCAACTCTATTACTGACAAATTGCTCAATGTCAGGGCCTCAACAATAACATTTTGATTTTCACTATATTTTATTAATTAACGTTTTGAATCAATTACATACGCACTTATTAGTGATTTACATGTTACAAGTAAACTAAACTATGCAAACTTTATAAATTGTAATCATAATATATATATTTTTAAATCATAATGATGACAGTTAATTCGATTTTCTTTAATAAAAATCAGTTGTTAAAGCTTACATGACAGTCGAAAAACTATACCATTCGTATGCAAATCTATAGATACCTAATTACTTCTTGCAGAAATACAAGAACTTTAAGTATGAAGATACGGCAAGGGTTCCACACGGAAATGATATTTCACTTTCTACATCACTCATCCAATCAACAGACAAAGATCTTTAAAAAGAAATGTATTTTTTTTTTCAAACAAAATTGCAGAGTGGATCAAAGTTAGATCAATTGTTGTCGAGATAAATATAAAAAAAGTCGGTCATGCACACTTATTTACATCCATTCTTAGTCGAAAATCACAGTGTTTGTCAACTACAGTTCTGATACAAATTGACTATTATTTGATTGACAGGATCATGACATCACTCTAGGGCTGTCGAATATAGGCAAGAAAAATATCTAACTTAAAAGTACCTATATACGAGCAAAGAGTAGTAGTTATACAATTAAATTTATATCTTTTTCTATAGCGACCTTCTTTTCCTGTTGACTCTTTATTTTATTCTGATTGTAATAACCATTGCACAGATAGGTATGCTAAAATAATTTTCTTTTTTATAGATGACTGATACCCCTATTCAAATTTTGTGGTTATAATCACTTCTAGATCGCAACCCACACAAGAATTTTAAATTTGCATCCAATAGATGGCATAGATTTTAATTTAAATAATCCTATATTTATAGAATAACAAAGAATGCATATCGCTTTAATAGCGTAATTTATAGGTAATTCTATACTCATAGTTGCCAAGAGTATTCATTTAAACCAATGATTACTTATTACTTAATTAGAGACTATAAATATATCACTCCTATCAGGAAAAGTCAGAAACAAATTAATGGAACAATTAGTTACTTAGTTATGTGTTTTTCTTTTAGGAATTTCATATTAGTATGCATAACACAACTTTCAAACATTTAACAATCGATACTATCACTTCTAATAATTACTATTGGTATCCAGTCGGTAATCATCAAGGAAATTATAGGTAGCTGATTGATACAGTCGAATACACGTGAACAATTTATTATTGAGACCCCAAACGACTTCCGTGTTAATAAATACTGAATGCTGAACATCCATCGAAAAAGGTATTTACATAAACAATTACGGATCGCGTTAAATTAATTTAAAAACGCTTTAAACATAGATTTTCACCAAACGATGCAAGATTTATTAGAAAAGAAATACTGTTAGTGTTGCATATTCGAGGATTTGGATTACGTAATGTCTTTTTTAGTAATTAATATTCGCTTTTTATACTTTCACGTTTAGTTTGCATAATGTCATCAGCATTCAACTGATTAATAGACATGATTATTAGCGATTTCTATTTACATAAAGATTGAAAGCTATCAACAAATCATTGGGCATTATCAATCGTACTTCTCATTTATTTTGTTGACTAATACATCCTTTAAAATTAGAAGCAATGACATGGTGATTAAAGATAGTTTTTTATATTCAATGGAAAGCAGACTTAGCGTGCATGAGATCAATTTTCAAATCGGATTTAAGCGGCTATGGAGTCAAGGCCGAATCAATAGACCGTACGATTGATGACCGAATTTTAGGAGCAGAATCGTGTTCGTCGTTGTTTCACTGCACTTGAGAAAATTTCATACATCAAATTCCGTATACACTGTTAGAAATGGCTTCTTGATCAAATATATAGGTCTATGTCTTCGTTTATAGGAAGCGAAGAAAACGTAGCCATTTCTAATCATGCTTGCCAATTGTTTTGTGTTACTTTTATCCTATCTCGAAACGTGAATTAGTTCAGAATTTCTGATCAGAAAAATAGCTATTTGTGAGACCAAGATACGGTAAGGGCACGAGACCGTAGCAGTTTGTACTTGAACATACATATCCATTAACCCAGTTATTCGTAAAAAGTAGGCATACGATGTTGTTTAGCCGGTGCATCACAAAAATTCATGCTAGTTGAACACTAATCATAGATAAGACTGAATACAAATAACGATGTCATTATTGTCTCCAAATTAGAGCGATTTCACACTAAAGAAAGCAATTTGCTTATCCGATTTTGTATAAGCGTCTTTAAAAATGCATTACGAATGATTTCTTATAAAGTCATCCTGAATTGTTAAACAGTTATCTTCATGTTAAATTAAAAATATGAATTCAAGAAGAAACTTTCTTGAAACTGGTTAAATATTTTTTTGAAATAAATTTTGAAGTAAAAGCTCATAATTGTGTTAAAATATATTATACTAGCTGTTCTTTGTGACTTCACCTGCGTAAAAACACTATTTTAAATCAGTCCAGTAGTTTTGGAGCATATTCGATGCAAACAAACAATCAAATCTTTCCTCTTAACATAAATATAAATAAATATTTATTATTAAAATATTTTCCTAAAAAAACAATTAATTTTATTAGACAATAATTAAAAAAATAGGTTTTATTGATAGAAATAATTTATGAATTTCCTTACATCGCTATAATCCTGTTTGTATTCACAGAAGGTGATTTAAGGCTCACCTTATTTCCCGTTAGGAATATATAAGGTCCGTGGACCATAAAAGGCTATCCTGTCTTACCGTTCAGGACTCTTTGAACCCAGATTTGACTCTATTCTTCATCAGAAATATTGTGAAAGCACAATGATTTATCAAAATTAGCATCAAAATTATATGATATTATAACAGGAATTTGATTATATTTATTTATTACACTAGTTAGTGTACAATGCTCCAATCTCAACAGTGAACAAGCGAATGACTATTTTCTTTAGAAAATCTATTTTAGAAAAAGGAGTTTTTTAATACACAGTCAATAAGTCCATGTGGAAAATGAGGCGAATTTTTCTGACGCTAAATCATCCACAGTCGAAGAAAGCTAATGCGTATCGCGCCCCATTTGATGAGAATAAAAAGACTTTTGAATAACTGAGCTCACCTGACCGAAACAAATGGAAATATTTCAAGTCTCTGTTACTAATTGCCCCTTTGTTTCTTTTGTTTAAATTCCTTACATGAATATTTTGAAAAAATAATACAAAGTTCACAAAACAAGAAGTGTAAGTCGACGGCCTATTGCGTGGTATAAAGTGTCAAAAATATTTTAAATTGTTAATTTGAAATGAGTTTATTACTATTTTGCCTAAATAATATTATAAATTCACGTTTTAGCTCAATTCCTTTATTCACCTTACTTTTATTGCCTTTATTTTACAGTAGCTTCCTTCAAACCTTATTGGAACCATTCTTTAACTATAAATGCAAATGCGCTATAAGGATTTATAAACGGTTAATTTGAATTAATGCCACTTGTCTTTGCCCTTTATATTTCGGTGTCGATTATATTCAGCCATGCATTCTATTAATACTCCGTAGCTAACTGTATCGAATCATATCTCACGGTTGGCACACTGGCCAATGGAGGTGTGACGTTGATATGATGGCCAATGTCTGGAGGTTTTTGCCATTTATAATAAATATATGGCCTCTATAGAGAATTTTCGAAAGGAAATTCGAAAAAAAATACTTCTCTTTTAATCATTCTCTGTATTTCTTTTAATTATCTTCTTGTATTTGAATCGATCTATAAGTCTATAGTTAATTTAGACTGTTGTGGATCTCTGATGGAGATAAGGCTTAGCTGTCTTATGCACCTGTCATCCTTACTTCTATTGAATGACCCTGTCAGTACCCTTACGTCCATCATAAAAAAATATGGCACCACGAAATTCGATGTAAGAATTAATTACAAGCATTTCACCATAGTACACCCTCTGCCCCGAACACATATAGCCATCTCCATGATCTTACATGATTGATATCTAGACAACGCGTCAATCAAACGAAGAATTTAATAGCATTAAGTTGTTACTGGTGTAAATTTGAACATCTTGATAAGTGTAACAGTGATCTGGGACGATCGCTAAAGGAAACAGACAATTATAATGCTATTTTAACCAAGATCTTTGTCTAGTTCTTTTTTCAATATGATCTGAAAATAATCAGGTTAAAATGAAAGGTTGCGAAATAATAAGCGTATCTTATTTTAACGAGATGAAACTGACAGAAGATTGCATGTACCAGCGAGATCCGTCGTTCAATTTATTAATCACTTCGTATTATTAGTATATCAGTTTTATTTAGTAGCAATTCCAAAACGATCTTTTTAATTAGCCTCACAACATTTAGCGACTAAGAAAGCAATATTTTTGAAATCAAAAGCTGTATATTGACGCCAGTAGGACAACGATCTAGTATTCCTGATCGAGTAGGTACCTTAGTAAAAAGTAAAAATATGCACGTCTTATTATAAATTAATTAGTTGTATTGTAAAAACTAGTTTTATTGCACGGCTAGCGGTTCCGGGCTTCGGATCAAATCCTGTAACGCAACCAGACTGGACTCACGAGTATAAAGTGTGTTATAGCCGCATCCGTGTGCGGTTCCTACACATTCGTGTTACCTGTTTATTCCTAGCCAGTTATAACCACATTTTACCCATATTATTAATTTGTTTTTTTGTTATACTGAACTAAATTTAATCCTTTAATGAAGTGTGCTCCAAAAAATATGCAGCCGATAATAAAGTGTTGATGTAAAGCCAATCAGGATATAAAATTAAGCAGACATAAAATTATGGTAATCAACCTTTTCGGTGATACCGGTTCCATATCAGTTAAACGACATACTCGTATTATCATTTAAAATATTATTTTAAAAGCTTTTACCATGAAAAATTAATTGAGTACTGTTACTTTCGCAATGGATTGCACAGTAAACAGAATGAGAGGAAAACATAAAGATGGCTATGTTAAACTATATCCAATCTAAGTTGTATAAAATTATTTAGTTTCTATGTAAAAAATATCAATCACGACCTACCGGTCGGTCCTTGAAAAAGGCAATTCGCTACACAATCGGTTAAAGAACCGTTTTAATCCACCCATGATCCACTTCTCAATTTGGTGCTACTATATCGGACGCGGAAAGTGAGGCGAGCGTGGGATTATGGTGCTATAAAAACAAAAGAGTGGCGATAGAACGTCGATTGTATCGCTCGTGTCGCATTTAATTCGTTTCGTATTGAAGCTTATCTCGTGCATTGCGGAACGCAAATCAGATCGCGCCAAATTCGGTAAACTGTATGACAAAATGATTTCTATAAAAAAGTAGAGAATCTTTAATTTTATCTGTCGCAGATTTCGTTGTTCCCGTTCCTAGTTTGGTTCTGATGAGCCATTTTTACAAAATGTTTTTTAACTTGATGACTTAGTTTTTGTTGGTTAAATCTGGAAAGATAAATTTGACCCATTTTCCAGTTTTCGATGAAGCTGGAATTTTGCATGCACATATAGCTTGGAGGATAATACGATATCTGATTATAGTGCGGGAAGTTAGCCATAGGAGTTCTTTTGTAGTAAAATGAAGCAACTCCATAGAGTTTAGGCTTGTTTGACTTATATTGATATGGACTTTGGTCCAAGATAACATCCAGGGTCTGTTAATGGAACTAGAAAATGATCATGAGGATTAATTAAAAAACAAGATCCCTCCGAGTTTGTTATGTTTGATTTATTTGTATAAGATCTTCGGACCCAAGATAATATACTATACAACTTGATTAAAAAAAATATGTTGAACTATTGTAAATTGACTAGTTGGAATTTCTGTAGTAAAAGTTTATTGACAAAGCAATTACGGTACTATTAAGTACCTCTTTGAATAAAAGCAATATACTTACTTTAATTGCTCAGATGTATTCCATACAAAACTTGTTGACAGAGAAAGGTATAGAATAATTAAAGTAAATTAATGTAGCTATAAATAATCATTGTCTATATTTCAACGCGCACAACAGTATCTAAACGTTTTGACGCACAATTACTGTGGAAAGGTATAATGATTAATGTACATCGCAGTCACAAATCTAGGCAGTTAAATTTACTGCGAAGTTTTTACTTTGCCATACGTCACTCAATTTCGTGTGTCTTATGGCGCTACGTTTGATTTCAGTGAAAGTAATTTGTTAAGGTGACCACAAATTCCATCTGAATGGAAGTTAATGAGCATACTTCCATTCAGATGGAAATGGTCAGTGAAACCGCGAACGAAGCATTGCTATTACCTACGATAGCTGTTGACAGTGTAAAAAACAATATAAAATGTCCTTCTCAGAAACGCTTGTGCTTGACGCATGCGAATAAGGTTGAACACTTGAATAGGTCCTTCACCTTTTAAAGCGACATTTACAAATAGGTCGAGTAATAAGCCTACATTTTAAAAATTTCCGGATTTCAAGTGATATCTTCTACTTTATTTGAAAAATCTAATGCTATATCTATGAAATTATCTATCAGATTATAGAAATAATATGATAGCATTTTAAGCAGACCTCGCATTACCTTTTTATAGTCATTGGATTCGTAGATCAAATCATAATTTAGAATAGATTGGAGAATTTGGCGATAATCTCTACGTAAAAGTGAAGAGACTTAACAATTACTAAATAAAATGGCAAGATTGATTGTCTAGAGAATTTTGTCGGTTATGAAAATGAAAGTAGGACTATTGTCGTAGTTTTTAAAAGTTCACTTTTACTATTTTTTTTATTTCATAAAACTGAAGCCTAACTGTTTTTTTTCCTAAAGCGTTTACTTTCTCTCGTCGTAAATTAAATCCGTGCTTGTCGTCAGATCGTATTTTTTAAACGAAAATATTGAACTTCGTAAAGGACGATACAAAATCAATAACAAAACTGCTTTTCAAGCAATATTTTGGTGAAACATTTAGTTTTATTTATTCGTCTGTAATAAATCGGTGGTATTTTTAAGTGCAAAGGTCAAAGTTTTAGTAATGGTGGTGTAATCTTTGGAACTTTTTAACAGAAATTTAATTTACTTACATTCTAAACACGTTGAGTTATCAACTTTGGCATAATAAGGTTGACATTCGCAGACGCCTCTACTGCAGTGCGCGTGCGATACTTTGCAGTCCAAATTCGATCGACAGTACGCTCCAAGTATCGATTTGCTTCCCTCCACTTGTAATCTCTGTAACGACAAAAAACATGTTTCAAAATACTTTCTAAGAACATGGCTATAGAAATTAAATTCTCTTTTAATTAATCTTGACCCCTTCATTTCTAAATTTGAACCGGAAATTGGCAGGAAGTTTGCTATTTATGGCCGTTTATATTATATATGAATTATATTTTTTTTTAATTTGGATATTTTCGTGATGTTAAACCACTAGATATTTTGTGTGCAGACAACACCTTTGAAGAACAGTTATCAAATGAGATTCTATATAAATACTGTCAACGTCTAAAATAATAAAATGGTAATAAATAACCCTTGAGTGTTGTACCAACGTGAAATGTTTTCTAAACCATTTCACGTGTAAAATAGGTGTCGTGTGACTCTAGATACAATGCAAGGAGTTTTTATTTTCATGCCGTGACATGAATAGTTAACGCTTTTTCCTCACACCGGCACCGCGCCGATAAACAAAACGACGTCTCATCTAAAAATGCAAAAATTTCGCCACATTTACATGTAAAGGGACTAAGCCCTCGTTGTTGTAGTGATTTGCAAATGAGCAGTAATAATGTAGCGTATTAATCTTGGAGGCTAGCGTTCGCGGTACAACAATGCGTAAGCAAAAACGTTTTGAACTTGCGTGCTATTTTTAAATTTTTATCCTTTTTTTTCCATTAACTTGTTTGCTCAAGTCTCGGTCAAAAGTCGTCCTTGGAATGTCGTAGCCACTAGATAAATTATGAAATGGTCGTGAATGAAAAATGAGAAGTAAAGTTGACGTGTTCAATATATTTTCTAAGAGATCTTACCTGACTGATTTAATACGAGCGTCTTCTTTATTTTATTTACGTAAGATATTCAAAGATAAATTGTTATTTATGTAACTATGCATTATTATATAACCACCACAGACAGGTAAAGTTCCACCGTCAAGATTGTGACCACTTGTGTTTTACCAGCAATAAAATAGGCGACAAATCTCGTAACCACCACTTCATGAAGCATTTTCATAGTCTGTTAGAACTCTTTCTTATTATAAAACGACTACTAATTTTAGGATTAAGTAAAATAAATCAACACGTCTGAATTTGACTTTTCTCTTCTATCATTGTCAATTTGTTTAATTACCAATGGTTTAAACCAAGTACTAACTTTAGTCCTCGTTTTCAAATAAACTTGTATCAATCACTAAGTGCAGGTTAGATATGATAATTGTACAGTAATTGCAATGAACTTCCGCACGGTACGCCCGATCCTATTAAGTGTATTATATTTTCAGCACGTTTATGACTATTTGCGTATTAGGTCATAGCTGTAAATTGCTTTGACATTCTTAGCTATAACGTTGTCTTCGCTTATATTAGGATGTCCGCTTGGCCTACGCTGCTCGTTCATCATACGGATAATAATGTTACAATATAAATATAGGTAATCAAAAAAACTAAATCGTGCTTTGAGATTGAATTACACTTGACATTTCTTTTATATTTTCTGATATTTATACTACATCTCTATTCATATTATATTTTCATTTAAATATATTATATTCCTGTACCGATAACATAGATACAATATATTATGAATTATTTTTCTAACCTTATTTATTTGTTACTGTAAAAAAAAAATTGTCCTCGCTCATCTCATACAGGGTTGTGGCTGGAAATCGGTGCTTCATCTGTATTAAGTGATTTAAGTGATTTAAGTGCCTAGGCGCTTTTCTCAACTTTACAGAGGAACATTTTTGTTTCTTGTTCTTTTTTATTTCTTTTTGTTGTGTAAATATTTGGTATGTAACTCAATTGTATGTTGTTATTACAAAAAAACTTTCTTTCGTTTAATTTATTTAAAAAAATCAATGTATCATTAAACAATATTATCTAAATCTGATATAATATTCGTATATGAATCGCTTGTTATCGCAATCGTAGACAGGTTGCATGATAATTTATAAGACGCTTATCGACCGAAATTAAAATTTCACAGAAAGGTACACGTCGCCACGTATAAGTTATTCAAAGTCCGGAAACTTGGAATGGCGGGTAGGGGAACATGGGGACGTATATACTTTCATAATTCACATATGTTCCGCTTAGAATAATTAAGATAGATATAACTGTTGCTCATATATATAAATGAGTTTACATGAAGTTGTTTAACTCTAGAGTGGGTAAAGACGGTCTAATTTCAAGAATCTGTTTCGAATGTACCTCGTGGCAAAGAAAAAGACGTTTAAAAGTAAATATTACAAAAAGGAAGAAAGTAAATTGCATCATTACCTACAATCAGCAGTGCCATATCCTTTAAAACTTCAGCGTCGAAGACATCGATGTCACAACACTTTAAAAGGTAATAAAAGTTTAATTTGAATGAACCTCTAATGCTTTGACCGCGTTGTGTTAGATTCAGAATTTTATCGGAGTATCAAAGCTGGTCAAATGGTATGGAAGATTTGAGTTGTATTAATTCTAAAACACCTATTTTATTTTGTATATTTTTCTTTTTTTTTGGCACAATAATTTTGATTTTTTTATTGAAAACTTGCAAATTTTATTGAATACTTTTTATTCATATATTATTATCTGTAAATTTTCTCTTATATTATTTTTTTCACTAGAGAGCTAGTTAAGAGATGGACTGAAGAAAAACTAATATAAGGATGTATTTACGGCAGGAAAATTATTTATTAAAAAAAAGTATACCTTACTTACAGCTTAATCGCTATAGCTTACTTTAATTGCTCGATATTCAACCACGATGATTTGCTGAATAAAAACCATTATTCACAGAGCGGGTCACATCCGTATCTCATCTCGGATATTTTAATTCTTAAATAGCAGTATTGTGTTTTTATAGTCATGGTGACCCAATTCCTAAGCAGCCAAATTTAGTCTGACCACTTTCTTGTTTGGGTTCGATTGTCCAGATTCAAACGAGCGTTGGCAAAAAAGCGTCCGTTACCGTACTATCGCGTGGATTGCGGTTGTTTTGCTTGGCAGCCCACCTGGGGTCACATAACATCATCCTGTCTATGAATAAATTTACATTTTTTTTAGCATTTGTACATGTGACATAACAATTAAAACAGAGATTAAGTATTAATTAAATTGTCCATTTTACGACTTTATTCATCGTTTGAAAGTATTTCAGAATATTTTATATCATCAGAAAATTTATATATTTAACGAGTTGTAAGAAAGGTAGTAAGTTCATCGTTTTATAAATTTTATTTATCAAGAGATATGGTTTTCTTCGACCTTTAATCGTTCTTTTAATTTAATTGTCATAAGTACTAAAAACTGTGAAAATATTTTTTCACTAATGAGACACAACTCACCGAATTGCTATAAAAGTATTTATGACGTTCAAATCTAAAATGTTATTTATTTAGTATAAAAAGTTTCTCTACGCTGAGATCATTTAGACACAAGGATGTTAATGTAGTTTTCATCAAGATACAGAGTGATTGAAGAGGAAGATTTATATGTATAATACATGACGACGCGAGCGAAGCCGCTGGCGGAAAGCTAGAATATAATAGAGGTGAAGTATGTTTGAAATACGCTTACTTTTGGCCGAAATGACAAAGATCAAAGGGCAAAGCCTAGCCCTCTCGATTTCTTCATATTGCACACTCAGTGCGTTTGGGTACTGTTATCGATGAAAAGGGTGAATAGGAATGGTGTGGGCACAGGTGCGAAAATAAACAGCTTACCTTCACAAACACTTATATTGTCCACAGAGCAAAGGTCCTCGTCAAAAACAGTGTCGGTTAATCCAAAAACAAAATCAAGTAAACATCAAGTATATGTATATAAAAAAAATTAGACGAAATATAAAAAATAGGTCGGTCCAGCTGACCATCCTCAACAGGTCTGATATTATTTAGTATTACGTTCACATCAAAATGTAACACTAAAAGCAATAAAATTATATAGATTAAAAGTACCTACCATTTAAACAGGTTCATATTAAGTCAGTAACGTACCAAATAAGGAAGTAATGAAAGTAAAGAAATGCAGATGGCAAAACAACTGCAGATTTTGTTAATGAACAAAAAATGCTTAATCACGCCGAAAAAGGTTGAATGCAAAAATTATTTATCTGGTGATACGCAATCATCAGTTGAGAATGTCACTATCAAAACGAGGTGAGAGAAAACTTTCGTACCATAGATGGTTGTGGATAATGGTGTTTGATTTATATCTGATCGCAGTTTAACGCGCCGTCACTAAATACTATTCGTTCGAATGCTTTTCTGATTATTCCATTGTAATTTTCACTTTTATTGTGTGATGATAAGCATCTTATAAATATTATACTTTTCTCTTTACATAAAATTAAAATCGTTTTAGGAAAACGTTTTTTAGTAACGTTTTTTGAACGACAATTTATCTCTGATGCCTCAATTTATAGTCTACAAGACGTACTCTGGAAATAAAGAGTAGATAGTACAACATATGTAAGTATACATATTGTAATATCTAAAATAGCATTATTTGTGGCTTAATATATAGACTTTTTAAAACGGATATCGGATATTATTATATTTATAAAATTATGACAATTTTAAAATTTTGATTAAGTTGCTGGATACAAACAACTGTATAAAAATCGGCCAAGCACAAGCGTGAGTTGAACTTAATGAGCTTGTATAAAAGTTAATTGGTTAAACTTCACAATATTAACTTTATCATAGATATCTTTAAAGATATGAATGATATTGCTACTCTAAATGCTATTAACATTATTTGGTATGATGAAGATCTTCGGGATCTACAAAAATGTCTGCTTATTGTAGTTCAAATGAAAGAGCTTAAGTATATAGAAGCTTATGGACCCATGGGGTTCCATGTATTAAGACACTCGTATCTTTTTTCCTTGATACCCATATTGTATTATTTCTGGCAAAATTTACAAAAAGAACTTATTACCCACTATTTAAAAATGATATTGGATATAAGGTCCATTTGACACGCGTAACGTAACGATATAGATAATAAATCACTCTATCG